TCTGTTATTGCTTATCCCAAAAAATGCTACATGCTGTGTTAAAATTAAAGCCTTGGATATATTTAATCCAATGTAAATAGTTTTCAAAATACATGCATTTGATGAGAAAAAGTTTCTGTGTGATATTGATTTTGTTTTCCTATTTCATATAAAGAATGTTCCCTCCTTGGGTTCAACATCACTCTACCAACAATCAAGAATGAAAAGCTGGCCCGCCATGTTTATTACTCGATTGAGAGTGACTGTATGAGACTGGACACATGTGCCGATATTTCCCTTTCCTTGGCTGGATTGTCCTATACTAAAGCCATGAAGGCATACGTCGACCTGGATCCCTGCAGCTTCGTTTTAAAGGTCGGATTTGAGACCTTCCAGTTGATGAAAGTGTTGCTGAATTATGACTGGGGTAAGAAAATTTGTTCTGAATGAACAATTTTTGAAACTGCATGTTCTAGAAACAAAAGAGGGTGAATGGAAAGCTGAGATAATAGGTTTGACTATAACAAAAAGTTGCCTATGGATTTTCCAGTATGCACTTTCCTAAGCTTTCTCTCTGGGATTTATTTTCATCGGATGTTATTTCAGAGAACTGATATACAGTTATACAGTGATACATGTAATTAATATTTACTTTATGTCATTAGGTATAATTATAATTTTTTTTCATTTCAAGGCACTGAAAAGGTTCAAGAAATTTCCAAGAATGTCAAAATAAAGTAAGTTAAATGTCATAATGGAAAAAAATATGCTAAACTCAGGATCATTACAAATTTGTGGAAAGATTCAAAATATGACATATTGTCAGTGATGAGTTTCATAATTTCACTTTATCTTGAAAAGGTACAACCTGAACAGAAATGTTGACAAGAAGATTTTTATTCTGGACTTTGGCCTGCAGATTTGTTTGTCAGAGGGAGATTGTATTCTAGATGACTATCTACTTAAACAGTTTGAATTCCCTATTCCCCTCTGTGGAGATTTTGTTCTTCCAGGTAAAAAATGTTAAAAAAGATGTTAGCTTACAAAATAGCTACATGTTCGTCTTTATTTTGGAGTCATATTAAAGGTATATTGTAATGAATGAGATTCTCCTCAATTCAACGTATACATGCTTGATAATTTTTTCAGGAGGTGGTTCCATTAAAGGCATGCTTGCAGAAATCGGAGGCAAAATGACTGAGGAGGCATTTGAATTAATTCTGAGGAAATTTGAGTTAGACGTATGTTTGTCATTAATTTTGACACAAATATTGACTTCAACTATGACTTTTTTAAAATAAAATTTGAAATGACTGTACATGTTAAATTTTATCATATTTTCAGAAAGTTATTGTATCAGGGAAATGTTCAGTTCCAGAAACTCCACCAAGTAAGAGATTTTTAAAAGTAAATTGAACATGTATTTTAATTCTGAAAATCTTTGAAGGTTGCAGATCAAGTTACATATTGATAAAGTTAATTCCTTACCCTATGTGCCTTTGGGTGCAGCATGGACTAGGGAGGTGAAATTCAACAATTTGAGTGATTTTCCATCTTTTACAGCTTGTCCGTCCACATTTGATGTGAGAAAGTATATGCCAACAGGGATCAAACACATGGTGACCTGTGAATTGCCTCCTAACTGTTGGGGAATTGACTGCTGTTTAGATCTAACTTTCACAATTCCACTGGGGGACATCAAAATAACCAAAAATATTCCCTTCTGGTTTAAACTGGACCCTTGTGATTTTTTCATTGATATTGGATTTGGGACTATCACTCTCCTGAGAACCAAATTCCTAACATACGAGTATGGTGAGCAGCCAGCACAAATTTCTATGTTTTATGTAAACTATTAAAATTGAGCTAGAATCTTAATACACTTTATTGATGCGTTGCTTTGAATTACAGGAACATCTAAGACACTGACGCTTGGAACTGGAGACCCAGCTCCTGTTAAAGTCACGTAAGTTAGACAAGTCTTTGATTTTCTTTAGTTTATGTTAAAAGAGCGTTACTCAGTCTGTTGGCATACATACACCGTCACACCGTTACATACATGTACATGGTTGCAGTTACGAGACTACTAAAAAACTAGTGCTACATTTTCCGTTGAGTTGAACAACGTTAAATTTTTGGTGAAGCTTTATTAAAAAAGGCAAACTGTATGCATTTAAGACTTTATAATGACCAAAGTTACCAAGTATATTAAAATTTTAGCACAGCACGCGTGCGCATGTGAATGCATATGCATAATGACGATAACATCTTGTTTCGGATATTTAGAAATCTTGGATATACTAAATTTGAAGCGTTAAATCCAACAAGCATTAAAAATAGATCATTTGGTGTATTTTAATTTTACCAATTTCACGTGCACGCACGTGCATGCATGTATAATGACCAAACTTCTTGTGGATGATAAATCTGTTAAGGTGCAACTACCATCCTGTTTGCTTCAAGGGAGTTACAGCCATTTAAAGTCTAAGCCTAATCAGGTTGCAGCGAACGTGTTAAAGCATTTTTGGAAAAGGTTTCATTTCAAGTAGGATATCTTAATGCATGCCTATGTCTAAGATTTCATAGCATGTCGTCAAAAAACAAAAAAGATATTGATATTTTTGTTTCAGGATGCTCAAATCTGACCTACACGGTTGAGTGCAGGTTAAAGTTTTTGGTGCAGTTCATGTCTGTCTATGTTACTATAAACCCCATATAATGACCAAACTTACATGGATGATACATCTTAAAGTTTAAGCCAATCAGATTGCTTCGGATGCTGAATCTGTCATACATATTTCATTTTGAGTAAACAGGTTAAAGTTTATGGTTAAATTTTAGCATTTCAAAAAACAGAAAAGATATTGAGTTTTTAGTTTCCTATAATGACCAAACTTGCATGGATGAGTACATCTTTGGTGTCATATTATTAACACTATTAATATATGCTTATATAATGACCTACATTTTCAAAAAATGTAAAAGTTATGACTATATTAAATATATCAGTCATTTCATTCATTTCACGCGCCCGCACGTGCAACGTATGCGCGCTATGACCTTGACCAAACTTACACACCCATTAATCTAAAAAGGTTTTAACTTAGTTTGGTTGCTTCGGAACTGAATCTGACCTACATTTTCCGGAGAACAAATAAGAAAAAAAAAAATAATAATAATAATAAGAAACCGAGTAAAAACAATATGTTCCCAAACTCCGTTTGGGGAACATAATAATCATAATGCAGGCTTTAAATAGGTGTTGTTCTTTTGTGCATGAGGCAGATTTTATAATTCAATTTTAAGTATATGATGAATGTTATTTATGATCAGAGAAGGATATGACCTAAAATGAGATTGCTTAAATGATGCATTTAAGGATTAGAACTCATAATCTTGCTTCAGATGCTGTAATTTTAATTACATTTTCATGATGAAAAAAGTTTTTGTTTTTATATATTAAAATATAATGTACAAATAACAAGTGAAATTTTGCATTTTTGGATGTACCTTTATTGTTGGTTAATTGTGTGACTTAATTTGCCTTACTTAAAGACAACATTCGTTGAGGTGAGCTCTGTAATCTCTGATTACCTATGTTTTTGTGATGTAGGGTTCTCCTTTTTTCCTCAGGTACATGATTGATCAAATGCCAGAGAACAAAGGTTTTATAGTGGATGTAAAAGTTTCTATATGTTTCCCATTGGATGATCAGAGCATTTGTATTCCAAATGACGAAGGACTTCATCTAATGCAGAATGAAGAGATTCCAGTTTGTGATCAAAGAGCCTTAGTCAACTTTAAAAGTATGTGGGTCGATCTGACGGAATTCTTTGTTTTATTGTTTAGAAACATCACATGGATATTTTTGTATTAACCTATTTTACATTTCTTATATAGATTTCTCGCTTACAAATTGGGTTAAAAACAACACGTTGAGAGCGGGACAACAGTTAGCAGAGGGGGCACTGACTTTATTGTTGGAACAGCTGAATATTACCAATTTTTTCAAACGTCCTCGATGTGACCGCCACAGAAATCCTTACATTCCATCGGTACAGGGAATCCACAATAGTAAGGACATGGCTGTTAGAGAGAGATATAGATTACGATTCATATACATGTTGATACAGTCGCTGCAAAATATATGATTATTTGGTCAAACTGTTGACTCATGGGCCAATGTTTGAATTTGGTGGGAAATGGGCAAGAAGTTTATTATACCCACCGCAAACGAATGTTGCCTGATCTTTATATAAATCATCTTTGTCCGTCTCTCTGTCTGTCTAGCTGTCCCTCCGTCCGTCTAGCTGTCTGTCCGTCTGTCTGTGCAAACATGTCCGGTCCATATCTTTCTTACAGAGGAACATTAGATTCTACTACTCCACACAAAGATTGCCTATGACCCAAGGGTGTGTCATGACCTTGATCAAGGTCATATTTGGGAAGTATCAGAAATACTCAAGCTATTTATCACTGAAAGAAATTTTTTCATAATTCGTGTCTGGTCCATATCCTTTATGGAAAAACATTGTTTAAATCAAGGTTTTTATTTCACACAAAGATTGCCCATGATCTAAGGATGTGTCATGACCTTGACCCAAGGTCATTTGGTCTGGAACAATTTTTCAAAAGGTCACAGTTTTGGATTTCAATATAACTTGGCACACAAAAAATTTCATAAATCGTGTCTGGTCCATGTTTTCTTATGGATAAATTTCTGTGAAATTCATTTCACACAAAGATTGCCCATGATCTAAGGATGTGTCATGACCTTGACCCAAGTTCATCTGTGCAAGTTCAAGGTCACTGGAAGAAAAATTTAATGATTCATGTTTGATTTCAATATAACTTGGCACATCTTTAGACTATGGAAAAACTTATCGGAAAAACGGTGTTTCCGGGGGTAGAAATTTTGTCATGTTTGGACAGTTCAAGTTTAAATCATCTTTGAAGACCAAAATATACATATGGATGCATTTTAAATCAGAATAAAATGTAAAATGCCTGATCTGTACTATTTTTAAATGTTTCTCCATATAAACTTTTCAGAATGCCCCCGAACCATAGGCTTTCTTCCCTCTAAGATTCCGGACCCTATGTCATGTTACATCCCAGACTTCTGCACTGGGGTGGAGTGTTGTGCTGAGATCCCACTCCTTGGACTAGGACTCCATGCTTATGTTTACCTGGACCTGGACAAACTAGAGTTAAGATATGGGCTGGAAACAATGACAGGAACTTTAAAACTGTTTGATTATGAATGGGGAGATACCATTAAAATAGCTGTGGCAGAGGGACTGATTTACTTCTCGTAAGTTCTAGGGACCTTCTTTTAATAGATTGTTCTAATATATTCTGAGGTGTTTTCTATCAGAAATACTCAAAGCTATTTATCCCCCCTTTCTGTACAGTTTGATTTTTATCATATGACCCTTAAATCAGTTGATGCTCTGGTTTGCAGCCTTTATGAAATCCAGTGCAGTACAAGATGAGAATTTCAAGCTTCATTGTTTAAATCAATTGTAATATTTTAAACTAATTTTTTTAAACTGATATAATCTTGATTTTGACATGCTTTCTATAGGTTCAATGTTAAGCCAATCACAGATGAGCGTGTGTATGTTTTTAATGCCCATGCTGAAGTGTGCCTAGAACCAGACGACTGTTCTATAAACATCCCCATCATGAAGAACACCAAGCTGCCCACTCTTACATCAGTCGTTACTGGAAGCAACAAAAGTATTCTTATTTGTATAAATGAAAATATTTTTTACACAGAAAAGAATGTTATTTTCACATACTGAAGTCATACATGTATGTGAAGAAAGATGAGAGAAAAGATAAAAGATACAAGTTCATTAAGCTTAAAATGTTTTTCATTAATTGAGATAATATACTTGTACTGTCAAAAAATAAGCATGAATATTATAGGTTCAGATACATACAGGAAAAAATTGTATCTTTATAGAGGTGTTTTAAAATGTATTCATCTTAAACACTATTTTCAGACTTTTCTCTGAGTAACATGCTAAAAGAAATGGGCAATGTGACTTTGGATGGCATGAAGGATAGTGCTAAAGCTGTGTTGCTTCAGCAGTTAGGAGTGAGTGATTACATGCTGGACACCCCCTGTAGTATTACCGATAATCTTTACACACCCAATGTCAACGGATGGAATAATGGTAAATATACAGTGTAGCTAATGGCTGATACTTTAGTTTTGAAAAAATGCTAAAAACTTTTATCTTTACTGATTAAAATGCTGAATATTTATCACATCAGTGGTGTCAAATCCTGAAGAAAGAAGTCAAGAATCTTACTGTAGCATCTTATATTAATTTTATATGAGAAGGTAGTTTATGTATATCTATCTTTCCAGAGTGCCCCCTGACCTGGGTGAAGCCACCGAACATTCCCTTTGATAATGTGAAGTGTGCTCTGACTGAAAACTGTACTCGTATTGACTGCTGTGTTAGTTTCAAACCGCTCAATATGCATGTCCACATATTCCTCCATTTTGACCGTTGTAACTACATCATATCTGGAGGAATTGAGAAGAAGACATTTTCGTACGGACTCTTGGATTTCACAAACTTTTGGGGTAATTAAATGCAATATAGAATTATTGATTTGGAATTACTTGTGATCTATTATATTTTTATACATACAGTGAATTTTTTAGACACTAATTAATATTTTAAGTGATGTTTTACAGGAAAAGAAGTTTCCATCAGCATTGTTGACATTATTTACATAAAGTAAGTTCAAAAGATTTTTTAAAAATATCTTTGATTTTTTTTTTTTATTTGTTAAAGTGGGATTGCAGCTCATTAATATATTCAATTGCAGCTCATCAAAACATTCAGTTGGTGTAAAAATTATTTTGTGTAGGTTTACAGCTAGTCAGCTTGAGGTGTCAAAGAAGTATGTGCTAGATTTGAGTGTAGCAATTTGTCTAGAACCAGACTCCTGTGCTTTGGATGTCCCAATATTTGACCAAGTTCTTATTCCTATTCTGAACTGTGATCTCACCATGGACTTCAACTTGAAAGGTCAATTTTTATGTGTAATACTCTAAACCATTTACATGCATTTGGCTTTGTCTTTGTTGAGAATATTTCTCTTGTAATTATGAATTGTTGCGGACAGATTTCAAACTTAGGCAAATAATAATAAATGTACAGTGTATTTGGTTTACATTATTTAGGTAATAATTATTGTTTTACCTGGGTGTTTTTGTATCTAATAGTATCTTTTTTTTGCAACAAACTTGTGCTATGTTTTTTCCAGGATTTTCACTAAAGGAATACATGAAGAATGAACTTGGTATGACTGCTGATGGTAGTTTATCCACAGCTTTGTCTAACTTTGTTTTTGAGAAACTTGGATTGAATTCATTTATGAAGGAGGTTCCTTGTGAAAGATCTGAACCTCCATACAGCATCAACAAACTCAACTACACTGGATGGTCCTCTGGTAATTATTTTAACAGTAATGTAATATTTTACATGTTGTAACAAAGTATTTTTAAAAAGTTTATAAACCTTACCTTCTTATTCTTATTCTTATTATGAGGACGAGGGATGCATCATTAAATGAGAATTTAGCTTATATAAGCATAAAGAGCATTCACTTCACTTTTTCGTATTTTTTCCTTGCAGAATGTCCTGCCAATTTGCCACTTTTCAAAATCCGAGGAACCAGTAATTGTAACATTAAAAACACCTGTACAGCAGTCTCTTGTTGCGTGGAGGTGGGAAAAGTGGGGAGGACATTTGAGTTTGTTATGGACATTGACTTCTGTAACCAGAAATTTACTGTGGGGATTGAAAAGCTGGTAGAGGAGGTGTCCTTAAATATGTTTGACTATGGTAAGACCTATAGATTAACATTGTATAAAGATTTTCAACAACTTAGATACTATCATTCTTGCCTTTTCTTTGTAAGTTTTTAACTTTTAGATTATTTTGAAATACTGTTTTAGTTTATAAATTTGCAACATATTGACTTGAAGTAAAGATACAGGTATTTGACTGTGTATTAAATTTTATGTAATTTGAAATGTCTCTTTTATAGGAGTAAGAAAGGAAATTGTCATCATGGGTGTGATAAAATTATGGTATGTGTAGCTCTTTTGTACAATTCAACTAAACATTTGTTAAATAACAAAGCAATTTTTATTTCAAATTAATATTTTTTTCTATATCATAATAAAATGACAGATTTTTTCCCACATTTCTTGAGGTTAATATTACATGTATATGTGTAATATTAGCTTTTGATTCATTATACCACAATCAGTGATTCATTTTGCCCTGCGTATTGCGTAATTTACGCATTAAATTCATTAAATACCCATTGGTTTTTGTCCAGTGCGTCCCGAATACGCATAAGTGATAACCCGCATAAAATAGAATCGAAGTTTCCAGTTTCTATTTTTATCGTTCATTCTGTTTTTCGGAACAACTGCAACACGTTTTAGCATGCTTCATATTTCATTTGTCTTCTATAAATCATTTAAACAAAAGGCTTAATGTATGAGATACGGTAAAATTACATTTAACAAGTGTTTTTAATTGTTTAATATGTCGTAATTAACACGCGCTAAGCCGCTGACACAGTATACGAAAGCTGGTCATAAACCGTCCCGATTTTTAACAAAGAAAATATTAATAATCAAAGCAAATTATAAGGACAGTGAAAAATCAGTGATCTAACTGTAAAAACATTGCTTTGGAGTTGGTAGACACTTAATTGCCTGGAGGGGTGTTGGGAGATAATTATCAAGTGACCAGCGCACGTGTTTAAAACATTGGCTTCCTTTCATTGGTACGTAGATAGGGGGTTTATGTTGCAGTGAATTTTCACTGAGTTATTTACAACCTAAAATATTTTTTTATTATTGTATTAAAAAAAAAGACATTACTTTGTCTGATTATTACGGAAGGAGTGAACGTCTAAAAATAACATCGGTAATGGCGGCCTACACGGAGAGTCGGGGAGACAATAAACATGCAGCTCAAATTAATTTTAACTTGCTTTTTCATGTAATTATAGTATCAAAAGGTTATGAAAATGACATTTTTAACAAGCATACATGTACTTTCCAACAATAAATTCAGAAGTTTACATTAAAATATGGCGATAAACAAAAGAAGTTACACATGTCTTTATATGTAATAATACGGTATGTACGTATGATAGCCATGTTTCACCTGAAAGAAAAACATATGAAAATCCCATTTTCATGTAAAGTATGCGCTCCTTTCTTACAGAAATTTATTTTAGGAAAAAGTGCGTATTATATTCCGCCAAATATGGTAACTGAAGAAAAAAACTTGGCTTTATATCACATTCATAGTTGTTAAAATTCTGACCCATTGATTTTGAGTTCTGACCCATTGCTTTCTGACAGAGGGGTACACTGTACCCATTCATTCAATTTTCAAAATGAATCACTGCACAATATAACACTATCTCTGATGTTCTAGGTACACTATATGGGACAATGTAGGGGAAGGTGTCTATGTGGTGACAGTGGATCTGGCGATCTGTTTTGAAGATGGAGGGGACTGCCTAGTGAATGTCAATATCTTTGATAAAGTGAAGCTCTCCAAACAAGTGTGTGTTTGGGCCACACAGTTCTTAGATCCAAGTAATGTTTTTTTTTTTTTCAGATTTCATCATTATGATAATATTCTTTGTATTTTTCTTGACACTAGTTGTTCTTCAATTACATACAGTATACAATATCATATATTGTTTGCTAATTTTTTTTTTAAAGTTTAATAGCTTAAAAGTCGGTAACAAAAGTAGGAATTAACACAGATTATGAGATGACATGTTTATTAAAACAGATGTAAAGATCTTTAAAGTTATATTCTTTATACTTTGTAGACTTCTCCCTGGAAGATTATATGAAAAAGCAGGGAATGAATGCTGTAGATCAACTGAAAGGACTGGCATTGGATAAACTTAAGGAAGCTCTGGGTCTACCTACTTACCTGAATGACCCCCCTTGTTCTCTGACAGATTCAAAGTATGTCCCAAATACCAATGGAATCAAAAAAGGTAATTTGTGAATCAAAACAACTTTATAACAGCTAGTGGTTATGATGATTCAAAAAGAAATTTAACTGTCACCATGTGAACATTATAAAATTTCTTTTCCAGTTTGTTCTAAGAATTTGGGACAGGTGAATTCTAACTTACCCACTCTGCCCGGTAACATGGTGTGTCAGATAGGAGACTCCTGTACATCTATAGATTGCTGTGTTGGGGCCTCCATCATCCAACACAACTTTCATGTCTATCTAGACATTGATCCTTGTAATTTCCGCATCAAATTTGGAATCGACAAGCTAGAGTTCATTATCTACATGCAGGAATTCTCTTTTGGCATTGAAAAGGACTTTCGCCTTGTGAATGTTGTCAGAATTAAGTAAGATAACTTTCAACAATACATTTGAAATCTCATGATATTACTCATAAGATTATAGATGAAATGTGATAATGTTTTTTTGTTTGTGTTGGAAAAACTTTATTATTCAACCTTGTCCAGTATCTTGATGTAACTTTTTTTTGTAATAGATTTAAGATCTGGGACCTGTCAGCCGAGAATCAGTACTTGGTGAACATGAAAATTAGTGTGTGCTTTGAGGAGAGCTCTTGTGTTCTGGACTTGGTTATCTTTAACGAGAAAAGATTTCCTAAAAATATTTGTGATTTTGCAGCAGCCGCACAAATTCAGAGTAGGTGTTGAATGAAAACAGAGCAGTTTCACTTGATTTTCTCAGCAGCTCTTGAATCTTTTTTCCATGTGAACACAAAGCTATATCAAGTAAAAACATTTTCTTTTACAGATTTCTCCTTTAAGAACTGGAGGGATGCCCTGCCTGACAACCCAGGGGAAATACTTGCAACTGCAGCCAGTGACCAGCTGATGGAATACTTGAGTATTGCTGGTTACTTAAAGAAAGACCAATGTTCTGCTGCTCCCACAGCTTCCACAGTCAAAGGCTGGAATGATGGTAATCCAAATTTTGTAATAGAATTTTTATGAAGTAAAAATCATATAAATGGTACAGTAGAGTGTCAGGGTGAAACAATGTGCTTCCTGAGTCTGCTCTCTGAGATTGCCTTTGATCTGGTCTGGAACCACTTCAGACTGCCTGACTAGGCTTAGGATCTACTTTGATCTGATTTTATAAGATGTGTCTGGTTGCTTCTGTAGTAAATCTAAAATGAATGCACAATGCAGAAGTAATTTTTTTTTATTTTGGATACAAAGGGTTTACACTTTTTTTTATTTTAATTGAATTACTTGAATGGATTTTTTAGGTCACCTGAGTAAACTCAGGTGACCTATTGCTGTCTGTTTTTGTCCGTCATCTTTCGTCGTGCATTAACATTTGAACATTTTTAGCTTCTTCTCTGAAACCACTTGACCAATTTCAACCAAATTTGGCATATAGCATCTATGGGTGAAGGGGAACAAAAATTGTGAATCTCATGGTCCCTGCCCCCCTGGGGCCTGGGGGGTGGGGCAAAAACCACTAAAATTAGTGCAATCTTTAAAAATCTTCTTCTTTACTCCTGGACATCAAGCAGTTAAACTGTTGGTATGATTGTAATCAGCATTGAGTCCTCTACCAAAATTGTGAATTTTATGGCCCCAGGATCAGGGGTTCTGGTGCTAGGGCGGGGCTAAACAGGTTATATAGTGAAATGCATTATTTCTTTGAAATTCTTCTTTTCTGTATGTGGGCATTAAATAAACTAATCAAGTGCATAGGTAAGTTGAAAATGATCGCCTTTTCCAAAATTGTGAATTTCATGGCCCCAGGGTCAGGGGTTCTAGTGCTAGGACGGGGCTATATGGATTATATAGTGAAAATGCATAAATTCTTTGAAATTCTTCTTCTCTGTTCATGGGCATTAAATAAACTAACCAAGTGCATGGCTATGTTGAATAAAGCTGCCTTTTCCAAAATTGTGAATTTCATGGCCCCAGGGTCGGGGTTCTAGTGCTAGGGCGGGGCTATATAGATTATATAGTAAAAAATTAATTATTTCTTTGAAAATCTTCTTCTTTGCTCCTGAGTATTAAATAAACTTACCAAGTACATAGTTATGTTGAATAAGGCTACCTCTTCCAAAATTGTGAATTTTATGGCCCCAGGGTTTGGGGTTCTGGTGTTAGGGCGGGGCTTTATTGAATATATAGTGAAAATGCATAAATTCTTTAAAACTCTTCTTTTCTGCACCTGAGTATTAAACCAATGAATTATGTACATAGTTATGAGGAGGAAGGATGCCTCTTTGAGATTTTTGAATTTCAGGTCCCTGGGTTAGAGATTCTTGTGTCGTTGGGGGGGCTCTAATGATTATATAGTAAAAATGCTTGAATTCTTTGAAAATCTTTTCCTTTGTTATTTTGTTATTATATAATAGTGTTGCATTATGCATGTACTATGCCTAAATAGTAGGCAGGGTTTGACACATGGTGCACGAGCCGGAGGCGAGTGCACTAAGTGTCAAACCCTGCCTACTATTTAAGCATAGTACATGCATAATGCAACACTATTGTTATTATTATGCTGACTGTTGTAATTCTTTATGCGGCAATCTATTTGACTTTTTCCTGAAAATATCGGTGCTTAAACAGCGCACCTGCAAGAACTAATTCAAATATTCATGCTAAAATTGTTTGCATACTTAGTTATTTTGGTTACTAGTATAATCTCTAAATAAGTCGGGATTTTCTGTCCCAAAGCAACACATCTTTATTTTCTGTTTTGTTCGTAAGCCTTATTTGTTTGCAGACGTCGATTCTCATTGATAATTTTCTTTTACATCCTTCAATCAAGCGTCATATAAAAAAGCGTTTTAATGACCCTATAAAATCAGTTCATCTAACGATCTGTATGTAATTAGTTTGAAAGTTTGTTGTACACATTAATCTAAAGTTCCTTAGAATAATATAACTGTTTTCAAATAATATTTGTCTATTTTCTCCTTCTTGTGTCAATTGTATAAATTAAGTTTATATATTTAATAAAATGATACCAATTAGTGATCGTCTCTATGGCGTAATCGATAAGGCATCGGACTGACAATGTCATGGTCGTGAGTTCGATCCCCGGCATGTGCATGGAAGAATTTTATTCAGTAAATAAAGCCATGCACTATTTCGGCATAGTATGCTTACGCTATATAAATCCTTAGACCACTATGCGAGAATAGTAGGGTATGGGTTATATAGAGACAAACTGACAGGAAGCATAATAATTGGTAATAATGCCAATGATCTTAGTATATATTTATGAAAAAACCTGCTTCTTCCAAAAATGGTTAATTTCCTGTCCCCATGGGTCAGAGGTACTTTTTTTTGGGAGGGGGGGGGGGGGTAACATAGTCTGAAATAATTTAATGCTTTGAAGTCTGCACTTTGGTGTTAATCAACAGCATGATAAAATAATTTTTTTTTAAATTTCCAAAATTTTGAAAGATTTGGCCCCAGGGTCAGTGGTTCCTGTGGGATGGGGAGCTCAACTGTGGACCCGCCCTAACAGAAGAAGCCCTTACACAGGGGCCCTGAAATTCACTTAAAGTGAAAATGCATTCTCTCTTTGTTACTTTGATCTACCTCTGGGTTTTATTAAAATAACCAAAATAAGCATGCTGAGTGTATAATTATGATAAGCAATGGTGCCTCTTTCAAAATTGTGAATTTCATGGCTTCTAGTTTAAATATGAATCAAATTCAATTGTTGGAAAGTTGTCGCATGATACTCAGGTGACCTATAAGGCCCATGGGCCTCTTGTTTAAAATTGTAATCTGGTTGAAAATTATTTGGATTTTTATAAGATCTGAAGCATCCTTACATCAATTATTTTTACAGCATGTCCCAAGTCATCTTGGTACACAAAGCCCGATTTGTCTGGTTTGCCTGTCCTCTGCTCCATCTCTTCTAAGTGCACTGAGGTCAGATGTTGTGTGGAAGTTAAACCCATCCGTCGAAACTTTGAGGCCTACATAGATATTGATCCTTGCTACAAGACAATGGTAATTGGAATTGAAGAATACAAAACTAAGATCAACCTCCTAACATATTCCTTTGGTAAGTACAGATGCATCCTTTTATTATGTAATTGAATAATTCCAAGCTTTCAGATTGGCTTAAAAGCAACATTTTAGAAACATGCTGTTATATTTTAATTACCCTCTAGGTGAAAATATTTTCAATTTCAGTTACAGTTATGCTCAAAAAGAGCAATATTTCAATATTTTACCTGATAATACATTAAATAATACAAATAATTTGAGATTACTCTTGTTAAAAAGTATAAAATTAATGCTTTACAAAATATTTCAATGCAGGTACAAAGGACAGTTTTTGGCTGCAAGATGTGGTAAAAATAGAGTAAGTCCTTTATTTAATTATATTAATAGATATTACATGCATATATTTTGATTTTGCATGAAATCATGGATTTTTTTTTCTATTTGCCACCCAGGTACAGCGTGGTGGATCTGGAAGGAGATGCTAAGTATCTGATTAACATGCAGCTACAAGTTTGTATAGAAAGTGGACAGCCATGCATGTTCTCTCATGACATTGCCAAAGATGTCTATCTTCCCAAGATTGGATGCGACTGGTCCCTTGACTTCTCAAGTAAGTAATTTAATTGTGCTGAACCTTATATTTCTCTGACAGAATGTCCATTGATAAACTTTAGAAAACTGCAGACGAATAATTAGATATCTGATATAATGTTTAATTTTTTTTAAGGTTTCTCCCTGACCGATTTCTATAAGAACATGTCAGTGACTGCTGGAAATGTGTTGTCAGCCACCCACTTGTCTCTTCTGAAGGAAGCCCTGGGAATCACAAACTTTCTCCTACCCCCAGCTAAACAGTGCAATAGGGACTCAGCTGATTACAAGCCAGAGACTACAGATCAGCCGGGCTGGAAAGTGGGTCAGTACATGTACAAATTAAAAAGATTTGAATTTTTAATATTAGATATGTACATGTAATTTATCTTGCATGAAAAGAAATTATTTTATGATGGAATTAAATAAGAGTCTTGAAAATGTTTAAAATTACTGTTAGATTTTTCTTCTTTGATTATGTGTTATAGATTGTAAGGTTGCAGCCTGTTGAACTACATGTGCATTACATCTTGTAACTGTTGAATAATGAATTCATTTCAGATTGCCCTCTGAATGTTGGAAATATGACTCGATTTGGACAAAATATTCCAATCAACTGTCACATGAAGAAGCACTGCACAGCTGTTGAATGTTGTATAGATTTCCAGGATCCTCTGCAGCAGACATTCCATTTGTTTCTAGATTTTAATCTCTGTCTCCAGACATTTGAAATCGGCATAGAGAATCTCATTCAAAAAAGAACACTGTTTTCCTACACATATGGCGTTCAGGATCATTTCCGTCTTGGCGGTGTGGCACAAATTGAGTATGTGGGATTTTAATGAGAGAAAGAAAATTGATGTTTTGCTATTTTTTTTTATTTTAAAAAAGTGTTTCTTACAAAAATAAGTTTTCTGTGGCTATACAAATTCAGGAAACATTTGCAATGTACAATGAAGGATGTTTTTATTCAACTTATTAATTGGTTTTGTAGGTTTAAAGTTGTTGACCTGGATGAGAACTTGGAGATGACGGTGAAGTTGAAGTTCTGTTTAGAGGATAATCTGTGTGTATATGAGCTGGATTTGTTCGACAAAAAAATTATTCCCAAGCCAGGCTGTAACTGGGATCTGCCTTATATAGATCCAAGTAAGACAATATTCCAGCTCTATGTAAAGGTTGATGATCATATTAACAAATATAGACAATATTGTTATTGCTGCCCATGATACCTTGACAGACCTCAGTTTCGATATCCTTAGTAATGGATCTAGTTTTAAAAATAAATCTTTTGCCAAATACATGTATTTATCAATTGAAGTTTATCATGCAGCATTTATAAAATGATTGAACTCTGTTATTTCAGACTTCTCTCTAAACAACTGGTACAGTACCATGCAGTTAGCCATTGGTTCACAGCTCTCCAGACTGAATGCTGCTAAGCTGCTGGAGGAGTTAGGTGTCGCTCAGTTCCTGAACAGGGAACCTTGTGAGAGATCCAGTCCAGTCTATAGCCCCTCTATAGATGGCTGGAAAACAGGTTGGTTCATTTACTGTAGATCACCAAATTGTTGTGGCACTTGAATTTCACAAGATGGCCATTTGGTATTGATAAGCAAAGCATTATATTTCACAAATTCTATTGTTCAACAAATGAATCAAATTTTCACGAGCAGGCAGTCTTGCATATTAGGAGAAAATAAAGTTCTCGCAAATAAAGAGTAATGTTAAGTATTACAAGACATATACCTTAATAGAGCTACAATTTCAAATGTAACTTCAGACATTGAAGAGTAAATAATTGATGTAATGACAACTGTGAGTGAAGGAGTCAAGTGATGTGTATTACATACAGTCATGTATATTTTGTTTTGTTTGTTTTGCAGACTGTCAGATGTCTGTAAACACTACTGCCCTGTCAGGTGATGTGACCTGTCTAATTAAGGACACATGTACCAGTGTTAGCTGTTGTATGGATGTAAATTTCCTACAGAGGGCATTTGAGGCATATGTAACCATAGACCCTTGTAACAACTATCTTGAAGTTGGCATTGAAAAGTTAAATTTTAACGTCAGCTTGAAGGACTTCACTTTTGGTAAATATTCTGTTGAAAATTTACAATCTCTTTTGCTACATAAACTTTACAAAATTGCAATGCTTTAAGTTCTTTAAAACAAAGAATTTTAAGCTCTAGTTGTCTGTCACCATTGTTAATAATGAACTTATATTTCTTGTATGCTATTAAAACTGATGTATTGTATATGGTTTGTTATTTTCAGGAAGCACAGGAAAGTTTTATTTAAATGGCATTGTTCGCATTGAGTAAGTTTATTTCGTTAATTTATTTTATCAATCCAGTAATAGTCCATAATTGTATATGAAATGTAGTGAATTTATGTTTGTGTACGAAAAAATTCCTCTTCTTGATAGTTACACAATTGAGGACTTGGAAGTGGAAAGACAGTTCAGGGTGTCTCTGGTTTTGAAAGTCTGTTTTGAAGCCACAGATGATAGTCAGTGTATTCTAAGTTTGGATGTACTAAATGGAACTTTGCTACCCAAGTCTATTTGTGACTGGGCTGCAGGATTTTCAACACCAAGTAAGTTTGCAGATAAAAGGATCAGTTTGTTTATATTTTAAAGAAATTGTTTGGATTAATTAATGTGGTATGTGACAACTTTCTGTTTGTCCTCTTAGATAGAAAAAAATTAACTTGTGACTTTTATTTTACAGACTTTGATATTAACCAGTGGTACACAGCTGAAAACATCAATCCTAACACAGTACTAAGCCTTATAGACAGGAGGAAACTACTGAACAAACTTGGAATCGGTTCTTATCTCAGTGTCAACCCTTGCTCATTTACATCTGAAATGTTCAGTCCAGCCAATAGCAAAGGATGGAAAAATGGCAAGTTCATAGTTTGAAAGGTTTTTTTTCTTGTTATCAGGAATTCTTTTTATTCTGTTATCAGGGATTCCAGGGCAGAAGCAACTGAAGTTTGTAAAAAAAATATTGGCATTTTCCCAAAAACTCTGGACATGAAAATAAGAGGAAATAAAAAGAAAATTACTATCATAGAAACCAAACTTGATCTGTTAAAAAGTGATGAAAACTTTTCTAGAGAACTAAGAGTTAGAGTCAAAATAGAAATATAATGCATTTAGATGTATAACTTAACTCAAATGCACTTACTAGCTTAGAAAGTTCACTCTTCTAATGATGAGGAACTGCTTGTAAAACTGTTCCTGACTCTAATTGAGAATCAATACTAGGGGACTTGCATTTTTAGGTATTTTCTACCTTTTTGTACAGATTGTAAAAAGGACCTGTCAGCAGATGTTCCAGCCCTCCCTGCCTTTGCCCGTTGTAACATAGCCTCCTACTGTACAGGAGTCACTTGCTGCCTGGCTGAAAACACTGTCCTGGGTACACACTTCACTGCAGGAGTCCATCTGGACGACTGTAATCATGTCCTGACAATTTATGTAGAACAACTTACTGTTAAAGTCAGTCTTAATGGATACAGTTTTGGTAAGATCACTCTGGACATCATAATGTTATTTGTAGGGAGGAACCTTCACAATTTCGGTATATAATTTGATGAATTACTTACAATATCATTTTGAACAATTTCTGCGCTTTTCAATTCATTTGTCTTCGTTAAACTTTTATACAACTATTTTCCCAGGTGTCACTGAGAAGCGCTATTTGATGAGTGTTGTACAGTTTGAGTAAGTATGAATCAATTGTATAGCTTAATCTTTTTAATTAAGTCATATGATTGCAGGCAAAAAATTAGATTAAAGGAGGAAAAACTAATTCTTCTGCTTTTTGTTAGATTCACCATTGTTGATGTTCCTGGAGAGAAGAGCTACAAAATTTCTCTAAGTATTGCCATCTGTTATGGTGTGGGACCATGTGTTCTGGACAAAACCAATCTACTCACAGATTACAAGCTTCCAAAATCTCTTTGTGAATGGGGATCTGGATTCAATATTCCAAGTAAAGCACACAAATAATCTGTATCCTTGTGGTGTAACAAGTTTTTAAGTGAAATTCAAGTTTTGAGAAGAAATTTTGCCTATTAGATTTCCAGATGCTTAAATGTAACACAAAATGAGCAAGTCTTTTTATTTCAGATTTCTCTGGAGTGTCCTGGATGACAGCTAAGAACCTGGCCGTGTCTGCAGCATTATCTGTGGCTGACTCTGACTCTCTGTTGTCTTTGCTGGGAATGGACCAATATCTGTATAATGCACCAGACCAGTGTGTGAGAACATCAGCTCCTTACACTCCCAGCATAAATGGATGGAAAAATGGTCAGTAAGAACTGTTTTTTTAATTTTCTTCAAAAAAGTAAATGAAAAACCCATAAAGGCTGATTTGCTTGAAGTTAACATTTACTTCACCTTGTGCAGTGCATGTGAATAACAATTTTTGTCAACTACATTTAGATGCTGATAAAGAATTCTTCTTTTCAGACTGTCCTAATGCCTCCGTTCCAGTGGCCTTGCCAGACAAGGTGTCCTGTCTAATCCCCAGCATATGTACAGGAATAGACTGCTGTGCCGAGGTGGATTTCCTGGCCGGGCGAACCATCAGGGCACAGGTGCTACTGGATCCTTGTCAGGCCATAATGAGTTTGAACCTTGAGAAGATGCAGTACAACATCACACTGTTTGATTATGATTATGGAACTACAGACCATTTCTCACTTCAAGGAGCATTTAGATTAGAGTAAGTTTCCTTAAGACTATTGGCTTAGCATTTTGTGAATGTACTTAAACTCACCATGAACATGTAATATACATGTATGTAAATGTTCAAACAGACATATTTTATTTATATGTACCCAAATAGATTGATTTTCAAAAATGTACTTGACTACTGTTGGATGATGTGCTATCAAGTGGTTGATTTTTGTATAAATACTTGACAGCTGTTACATACAGTGCTTCTTTTTTTTTTTTAGATTAAAATATTGCAGAATTAAGTGGTTTTAGTATGTATCTTAATAGGTAATCTTATTTTTCGACTTAATATCTATATTTTTTTTTTTTGCTTGCAGCTTTAACCTACAGAACTTGAAGATACAGAGGAAGTACCTTCTGAATTTGAACCTGAGCTTGTGCCTGGAGGCAGCTAATCCTAATGACTGTGTTTTCTCTGCCCCTATATTTGAGAATGCCATCCTTCCAAAGAACCCATGCAATATTGACCTGAATTATATAAATCCAAGTAAGGCATTTACTTTTGTAAATGCTGTTAATTAATACCTGCATAATAAAAGAAATTAAATCATTTTTGATTGTTTAATGCAAAAATATGTTTCTCAGTTCTATGTCAACATATTCTATTGTAGGTTTTGATTTGTCAGCATGGAAAACAGCTAACAGTTTTGGAGCTTTACTGACAAGAGAGCAGAGCATGTTGTTATTGAGAGAGCTGGGTATTGAGGAGTATGTAGGAGTAGGCTGTTCTAGGACTGCCACTCCTTACAGCCCTGAAACACACCCAGGCTGGAATGTCTCCTCAGGTAAAGGGATCAATTATTTTACTTTCTGTAATTGCTAATTTTCTCTTGATTCTCCTAGATGTATTATTGCCTTTCACAGATCTTTTATTTTGGATACACAGACTAGATTTTCTTTTATTCTTCCAAAATTCACTTAACATTTCAAAATATCTATTCCAGGCTGTTCCCTGACTCCCCCTAGCCTGCCTAGCAGTAAGATCAGCTGTTACGTTGGCACTACCTGTACCAGTGTGTCCTGCTGTGTAGAAGATGACCTCACTAAGCTGTCCTATCAGATGTCCCTGGACATTGACACGTGTGCAGAGAAAATGATCATTAAGCTGGAGAAGATGTCCTACACTGTGTCTCTGTTTGATTATCAGATGGGAACCAAAGGCACCGCTAAACTGTTTGGTGTTCTGGTTGTGGAGTAAGTCATATTCTTGCTTCAAGTGACTTTAAAGATATGATTTAATATTTTTTTCTTTCAGATGTGATTGTTGTCGAACATAAAAAAAGATCGTCTTGGACATAAATTCTAAATATTTCATTTTTTTGAAAAAAAATTGAAGCTTAATCTTTTCAAGGTATTAATTAGTGTGCATTTAACGGGCAAATGAAATGGGTTGAATCACTTTGAAAAGTAAATCTACTTTTTTCTTTCAGGTATGTGATAGATGACTTGACCCTGACTGGTCAGTTTGTGGTGGACCTTAAGATGAAGCTGTGCTACAGCAGTGGTGCTGGATGTGAACTTGACATCACTGTACTGCAAGGATTTAAGCTCCCCAAACCTCAGTGTAACTTTGCTGGAGGAATGTTTGCGATTAAAGGTACTGCAGTATAATTAAACTTATTATATGATGTTGCCTGTTAAGTTTCCAATAGGAGCAAACCATGTGTTTTCTGCCTGTTATATTAAAGCAAATTTTTTTAGCAAGCAATTTTGAATAAAATATTGTAGTCATGTAATGCAAAGGTAATTGCACCAGATGAGTGTGCGTTTTCTTGTTGTTTCAGACTTTTCACTGAGTAAATGGCTAACTGACAAGAAAGCAGAAATACAAGGAGCCAGTCTGGAACAGTGGGCCATTGATCTCCTGAAATCTGAACTTAAAATCTCGAACTTCCTCCTCGATCCTGCCTGTAGTAGAAACAGTCTGGGTGCTGGAGATGGAAACTGGAATCTGGCTGGTGAATCTTTGATTTTATTTCTTTTATACTTCATTGGTTAAAAGTAATACATGGAAAGTGTCAAATTTGGTCCACATTAAACACTATTTTTATACTGTTTGGGGGGGTATATAGGAATCACCTTGTCCGTCTGTCCATCTGTCCGTCTGTCCGTCTGTCTGTGCAATCGTGTCTGGTCCATATCTTTCTTACAGAGGGACATTACAATTTGGTAGGTTCTCATTTCACACAAAGATAGCCCATGACCCGAGGATTTGTCATGACCTTGACCCAAGGTCATTTAGGGAAGTTCAAGGTCACTGGAAGAAAAATTTCATAATTCTTGTCCAGTCCATATCTTTCTTATGGATAAACTTGGTAGGTTCTCATTTCACACAAAGATTGCCAATGACGGAAGGGTGTGTCATGACCTTGTCATGACCTTGACCCAAGGTCACTTGGGGAAGTTCAAGGTCACTGGAAGAAAAAATTCATAAATCAAGTCCGGTCCATATCTTTATTATGGATAAACTTGGTAGGTTCTCATTTCACACAAAGATAGCCCATGACCCGAGGATTTGTCATGACCTTGACCCAAGGTCATTTGGGGAAGTTCAAGGTCACTGGAAGAAAAATTTCATAATTCTTGTCCGGTCCATATCTTTCTTATGGATAAACTTGGTAGGTTCTCATTTCACACAAAGATTGCCAATGACGGAAGGGTGTGTCATGACCTTGACCCAAAGTCATTTGGGGAAGATCAAGGTCACTGGAAGAAAAAATTCATAAATCATGTCCGGTCCATATCTTTATTATGGATAAACTTGGTAGGTTGTCATTTCACACAAAGATTGCCCATGACCCAAGGATGTGTCATGACTTTGACCCAAGGTCATTTGGGGAAGTTCAAGGTCACTGGAAGAAAAATTTCATAATTCATGTTTGATACATATATTTATTATGGAAAAACTTACTTCTGAAAAACCCAGCGGGGGGTATTTTGTCCCGTTTGGACAGTTCTAGTTTTGTTTTGAGGTGACTCTCATTCTTTCTAACTTGCTCTTTAAACTGGAAAAATTGTGATATGTTTTACTATGGTAATACATTCAGTGCCGATTTGTTCTAGCCTGCCCCAATGCTCCCAGCATTCCTGCACTTCCAAGTCACACATCCTGTTCACTCACTTCCTACTGCTCTGGAGTTACCTGTTGTACTGATGTGGCTCTGTTGAAAACCTCCGTTCAGTCCGAAGTTAAAATTGATCGCTGTAAAGGCAAAGTCTTCATCAAACTGGAGAAGTTGGAGGCTACCATTATTCTGACCAAGTTTGAATTCTCCACATGGCAGAAGTATACACTGCAGAATGTTTTCAGATTGGAGTAAGTTACTACTAGAGAGGAAGAAAGTTCATAATAAAGTGAAGTAATTTTTAAGTCCTGAGAGATAAAAATTTGGATGAAGATGTTTTTAATGCTAAAACAGTATTATTTTTTCGAACAAAAATGAAACCCTTTTACATAAAATTTTTGATAATAAAGTTCTGTGAATTGTTTCCAGGTATAAGATTGACTTCCTATCTGCTGAGGGTGTGTTTCTGTTCAACATGAAGATCAGTGCCTGTTTTGAGAGCTCTGGAGATTGTAGACTTAGCTTCCCAGTAATGACTGATGTCAAAGTGCCTTTTCTTGACTGCGATTTCAAAACTCTGCCATATGCTATACCAGGCAAGAAGATGTTCATTTGACTATTAGAAATCAATACAATATCTATTGTTTAAACTGAATCATGTCATGTTTAGTTTCAATTTTTCATCCAGAAATACATGCACGTAGTTACATATTCATAGATATGCTTGATAATACCTATAAGTTTTGACAGATCATTGTATTTTGTAAATAACTTTGATGCTTTCAGGCTTCACCTTTAGTAATTTCCTGACAAGTAAAGGTCTGCCACCCTCAACATCAGTTCTTACAAGCTTGATAGCGGAACAGCTTCTTGAAGAGTTGGGAATAGGAGGATTTTTTAAGGCTACTTCTTGTAACAGAGCCAGTTATACAGCAGCTCTGGCATCAGGCTTTGAAATAGGTACTATTTGGATATTTATATTTTTTTTCAGATTTTATGCTGTGTGTAAGTAAATTTAAGATATGATACACTACCAGTTTTTTGTTTCAGATTCTGGATGCAGAGAGAATATCTCTCCCTTCCTCTCAGCTCTGCCTGGTAATACAAACTGTAGGATCTCCTCCTCCTGTACTGGGATCAGCTGCTGTACTGATGTCTCCACCATTGGGAGGACACTGCAGTACAACATTGATATTGATGCCTGTTCACACACTCTCATCCTGGCTATAGAGGATTTCAGCTTCAATATATCACTTATTGACTTCAAGTTTGGCATTGAACAGAAGTTTACAATTGATCAAGTTTTCTCACTGGAGTAAGTTCTTGCAATTTTATTTACCAAAAAAAAAAATGACAATTTTATGTCGATTTATTATAGTTTTCTTTATTCTCTAAGGTACATTTATATCTTTACATATGCTATTGTGACTTAAATTTAAGGGATATGTTTTAAGGTACAAAATAACAGATTTGAGTGGACACAGACAATTCCTGATTGATGCTAAATTAAGTGTGTGCTTCAATGATCCTTCACCATGTGTTATACAAGGCACTCTTCTCAGTAACTACCTGGTCACAAAACCATCATGTGCCTGGTACACAGGATTTTGGAAATCAGGTCAGTTTGCATTCATCTTGAAAGGATATGATAGTCAGTTCTCTTAATTTGATGTATCACATTCAAGAAAAAGATCTTGGTATTTATTTATGTACTTGTATTTGCAGATTTCTCACTGTCCTCATATCTTTCTACCAATAACTTGCCAAGTGTTGGGCAGCTGAGTTCCAGTCATGTCTCTAAACTATTGGAGATTCTTGGAATTTCAAAATACATGAAGCAACCTTCTTGTGAAAAAGATTCTGGAATATATGAAGATGCTTATCAAGGGTGGAAGTCAGGTAAAGGATTTATGTTGTTTTCTTCCCTGTTGGTTGTAGAAATCATTTTATTGATACATAATGTGAATCGTCATACTTTTGTCCTTGCAACAAGTTTCCTAACAGTCGGAAGTATTATTAAAAGCCTAACTCTTAGCAAATTTCATGACATCCATCGAAACATAACCATAGTGAATTTTCAGTGTGACTTCTTTTTGAGCTAAAGTATGTATTGCATGTAATTTCAGAATGTTTGAGGGACAGCTCTGTCAGCAAACCTGTGATTGATGATAACCTGGCTACCTGTATCCTGCAGGAGATGTGCACAGGTGTGCAGTGCTGTGTCAGTGTGCCCAGGTTTGGGCTTTCAGTGGAGACCTTTATACAGATCAGTGCCTGTGAACACCAGCTGAGAGTGGGAATTGACAACCTGAAATTCAACAGAAGTCTGTATGGATACACATTTGGGAACAGAGAGCAGTTTGACTTGTATGGTTTCGTGGTCATTGAGTAAGTTTTGCTTAGAATTATTTTCAAAGGCAGTTTCATTTTATTAACATATTTGTTTTAATTCTCATGAGGCTATAATTATTATTCATATTGTTTAGTAATATAAAGGGTTTTACCTAAGGTAATGATTGCTTCTTTCTGAAATAAGTATTAATTTCATTATAGTTGATGGATTTGATCCTTTCATTTCAGCTTCATCATAACAGATCTGAAGTTTGAGGGTACTAATGGACACTACTTGGTCAATCTTAACATCAGTCTTTGTTATGAAGCAGGACAGCCTTGTGAAGTAGTGATTCCAGTGTTTGAAAATTCAGCTCTTCCTAAAGAAATTTGCAACAGAAAACAAGATTTTCTAGACCCAAGTAAGAACTAAGAACTTTCTTCCAATTTTATGTACCTATTGAAAACAATATTAGACAGGTTTATATAGAAGGGAAAAAATCAGTACTACAGTACAGGCCACGAGTTTTCCGCAAAAAACACGGGGCCCCGTGGACCGCAAGTCCACGTTTTAGCGTGGACCTCGAACCTTGTCGGCGTCTTTGAAGTCAGCGTGTCTGTGCACCGTGTAACACAGTGTGTCACAGTTCTGATGATAAATAATTTAAACATTCTCATTGCCCTTATTTAATAAAATTAAATCAACTTTCGAAATATTTGTTGTACTTTTTCCATACATATACATGTGTATTGGTAATTTATCGCATACAGATAATTAAACTAATAAGATGCCTGAAAACTTAATAACAACGTACTCGTGTCCAGCAAAAAAAAATATACAATCACGTTTCAAGTTAAATCCTAATTATAGTAGTCATAAAAAGTTCAATAGACTATTACTATATTACACTAAGAGGAAACACGCTTTCATAAACGAATTACTTAAAGGCCGAGGTTTTCAACCGTACGGTTTTCCTCAGGTAAGTTTGGTGTGGGGTGGAGCTTAATCGAAGCGGCTGAGAAGCCCCGAGGGAACCACGCTGGTTTGTGTATACTATCTATATACACAGGATGTTACCTGAGACCCTGAGTGTATTACCTGTATGTGTTTTCCTACGACTTTGTAAACCGAGGCCGTTTTTTTTTTTTCATGTTTAGCTCATGAATTGAAATGCGAAATAAAGCATTTTTTGTTGCAGACAGAATCCTTCTCTATTTCTTTCTTTTAAAATAATTAATATTTTTAATAATTCGACATTTTTTTTTTTACATACAGTGTGTTTCTTAATGAAGTGTAATAACGAAAATACATTTAGCATCAAAATCTGTCGTTGTAATCTGGCGACAAAAAGGGAAGTAAATAATTCAAATTACACGTCGTCTGTACGCAAATCGAAAGAAGAAAGTGCATCATAAAACAGTCTCTACGTAAATGAGAATGAAACTTAGAATCGATGTTTTGAGAATAAAATGTTAAGTAGAAATATTATTGTCTAAATAAATATCTTTTTAAGATAAACCCTACTTGATTTTTCCATAACGCATGGTTGGGGTTGATTCCCCGACAGCTATGAAACGGGAAAAGAATCATCTGCATCTTTTTTTTCTTTCGGAATTCATTATTAATTTCAAACATTAAAAATCCAAAGCAAGATGTTATATTCCGAGTAATTTCTCTTCTAAAACTTATTATTATACCGTAACTTCGTCACTATGTCTCCAAGAAAAGTGACACGTACAGCAAGTTTGTCTTATAAATATAAATTCGCTTGACTCATGAACAATGTTACAATGTTGTCATACTTGTTTTAAAAAATAATTTTATTTAATTCCATGATACTAGCTTCAAACGCAGGTCGGTTTATTTTGTTAATTAATGGAGGAATAAATGTACATTAACTCATGTTTTGACACGGAAATTAAAATTATCGATTGTAATCGTGATACGAAATCCTCCCTTTTAAAATTAATTTTATATATATATTATATAGCCATGATTTTCTTGTCATTTATTTAATTATTTGATAGATTGATTATATTCATGGCATATTCTTATGAATTAAAAAAGAAAAGAACGATTTGATTGCTTCTTTATCACGTTGGCATACAGTGCGGTAGGCATCAAAAGTCTGAAAGTTAATTCGATGGTCGGTTCGATCTCCAGACAAGGTACACAAGATATACACAACAGCAGCAAACTAAATGTCAATCAAATCAAAGTATCCAATCCCAGGCTTAATTTCAGATGATTGACAGAGGTTCTAAAACCAGGTAAATTTGAAGGAGGTGCTTATTTCCTCCCCCTTTAATTGTCTCTACTTTCGATTTTGATTTTAACTGTGTTCAATTAAATCGTTGATACAAGATCGTTTTCCCCTTCGTATTACATATCAGATGCGTGATTATACTAAGTGAATTAATTATTTTGTAAGAATTTAAATGTACATGTCCTGTGTCTAGATTATTTTTTTTGTAAATACACATCAGACTCGCACATGAATTCTGCTCTTTGATACCGATACTCGGCGAATCATTGGACAGGTTCAGATAAGGATTATTGCTGTAAGTCTACAGATAAGGATTATTGCTGTAAGTCTAAGTCTAACACTAAAAATCTGTAGTTATGTAAAATATGGAGATAATAATTATATGCGGTAAACTCCAAAATCTACTGAACAGGCAGAGATGATAATCTAAATAATTTCATTAATTAAAATAGTAATAAACTTAGTAAACACGCTGAATACAAAAATCACAGCCGAATTGTTGGAAAATGAAATGTGCTAACTTCAGTACGAATATTACTTCATTCTGAAATATATCATGTGAAAAAAAGAAAAAACGGTTTGAGAAAACATAGATATTGAGCGAATTTTAAAAATGCCCCCCCCCCCCCCCCTTCTAGAAAGCGATACGAATCAGTTGGTTAAAACTCTATAAGAAGTCTGCAAATTTATGTAATTTTTTTTTTAAAATCTTAATCTACAGGATACATTATTTGTGTCTGAAAAAGGATAAATAAATGAAAAAATAATTGTAAGTTTATAATTGTTGTTTTAGTGAAACCTGGAAGGTGAATTTCGCATGGTATCAGTTGAGTGTGTTACGTTATACACTTGCTGTGGTCAGAGCTAAAGAATTTGAAAGGTGTGATAAACATACGGCGCCCCTGGCCCACCGGCAGAGACCCAATATATTTTTTGAACAGGTGTGAACTCGGAACTGACCATAAGATTGTTTCAAATCACAAGAGAAATTCTTTCCGCGTAAACAGACTTTCAAGGTCACCTAGCGTCATGGTATTTGGATTGGCAGGTGATGCACGAGAATTTTGTGCGTACAGCATATACAGAGAACGAATTAATTGCATTACATGGGTTGAATATGAACAAAAGTTGTGGCAATTGTTAGAATTATAGAATGATTAATTTTGACCTCCTTAGCTTAAATAATAGGCAGAATTAAAAAAATTACAGATTATATGTTAAAAGGGGGTTGTATGAGTCTCTCTCTCTCTCTCTCTCTCTCTGGTGTTGCTCTTTATACACTTTACAAGAAAAGAAAAACTTACTGAAATAACTACTTACACTGAAAGGATTTTAAAAACACAACGTAGTGAATACTTCTCTATGAAAATAATGTTTGCTGTTACGAGAAATACGCTTTGAAATTATTGCATTAATTTCGTGTTTCTGCTGACGATTTTCGCATCCACATTCAGAATAATTCAAGATGAACAAAATAAATGTATTTTAATTAAGGAATAACTGTCTTATTTTTCGAATTCATGAAGTGATCAATGGATTGGCTTGTGTGATAATTTGCATAAACGCCTTCGGCGTTTATGCATAAAATTATCACACAAGCCAATCCATTGATCATCTTCATGAATTCGAAAAATCTGACAGTTATTCCTTATATTTATTCCGCCAATCCACGGGCTCCAAGCCTGCTTCTCTCTAGGTGTTGTCCCGCCCTGCACGTGGTTTTTTTGGAACCGCGCCAAAACATTCAGGAAATCAATTACATTTACAATTGGTAATTTTATCTCGGACAAAGACATTGAAAATGTAAATATTAAGGAATATACATGATAATGCTTGGATCGTACAATAGTACTGTACATGTTAAAACCATGAACATAAATACAGCTGGGATTAAATTTTATACTGTACTATACAGTGTATGAGACACGAATCAGCTCAACACCATTTCGTCTTCCTTTGTAACATGAAAACATGAGATTAAATTATTCATTTGAAATAAAATTCATAATTTTGATTTTGTAATAATTTTACTAACATAAATTTCTAGACACACAGTTAATTCAAATGAAAATCATTCAATTTTTTTTTTTTTTTACCGATTTCTAATCTCAATATTATGCGTGCCATTCGAAGTCCAATATCTGGTAGAATAAAAACGATTATTATATATACATAAACCAAAGTTATAAATTGTCATCAAAATTTATTATCAAATTTGTATCAGAAAAAAACGATTTTGTAAATACTATTTATACGGTGCAGCTTGGAGGGGAATTTCCTGGACATGCAACGGAACGAAATTTACTGGACACGGTGCGACACGGAGGACATTAGCCGAGGTTTTTCTAGACACGGTGCGGCACGGTGTGCCTACCTGTATATTTCAAATCCACACACACCGTGCTATACCGTGTACACGGTGTAACACAGAGCGTTTCACACGGTGTTTTTTCCACCGAGCGTTGCGGAAAACTCGTGGCCTGTACTGTATGTATGTTGATGTGCTTTTCTACAATGATTGAAGGATGTTTTTCTGAAATGATTTATAAAATTTGTATAGCTTTCTCCCTGGCTAATTGGAAAACAAGGCTTGGACTGTCAGGCCCCACACTGGAGATCCATTACATCAGGCAGCTTCTACAGGACCTGGGAGTCGCCACATATCTGAAAAATTCCACCAGCAAATGTGACTGGTCAAAATCTCCTTATAACAGTGCTGATAGCAATGGATGGACAGACAGTAAGTCAAAATAATGCTTTTTTAAATATTTGAAATATTTTAAAACCTTTTCTCAGCAGAGCATTATGAATAGACAGTGAACAATAATTAAATGATCAGGTCTAGCTGTAAAAAAAGAGGTTTTAAGGTCTGACAACTCATTCCACAAATATCTGTATAAAATATTAGTCATAATTATCTTTTGATTGATTTCAAAAAGTCTATATTTTAATTTAAAGTCATTGAGTGCAGGTCTGCCCCAGCCTGAGCTTGCGTGATGTTACATTGATTAAACATTTCATGCAATTTAATAGTTATAATCCTGTGCTTTTTAAGAATTTTCGATTAACATAAGATTGATGCTACCTAATTAAAAAAAAATGTTTAGATTGTACCACACCTACTGGAGGACTTGCTTCCCTTGGTGCTAAAACAAAGTGTGCCATCTCGGACTCCTGTTCTGATGTACATTGTTGTGTACAGTCTGACACAATACAAGACACACTGGAGGCCTACATTAATGTGGATTCCTGCAATGGGAAGATAGCTGTGGGTATTGAGAAATTCCACTGGACTGACAGACTACTTGGCTATGAATTTGGAAAAGTCAGACATTTATCAATGCTGGGTGTTGTAAATCTCGAGTAAGTCTCGTAATGAAATCAGAGTAAAATGGAATATTTTTATATTTTCTAAAATTCAATTTTTTTTTTATGTCTCTTTTGTTGGAATCTTTATCCATTCTTGACCCATTCTAATTTGACCAATCTCTGCTACACATATACATATTACTGAATTTTATTTTATAAAGTAATGCAGAAGTCTACTAAAATGCAGTGTACATAGAATTATTTCTAATCTCTTCATTTACAGTTACTCCATAGTGGATCTGGATGCAGAGAATGTGTTTGCGGTCAGCATGAACCTGAGTGTCTGTTATGAGTCGGCTGGACCCTGTGAACTCAGCATCCCAATATTCAATGAACACAGACTCCATAAACCAACATGTAACTGGACTAGAGGATTTGCTGTCAATAGTAAGTTTATCTTAATACTTGAATAGACAAATTCAAGGAACCATCTGATTTAATATTATATTTATTCCAGATAATGCAGTCATATACAGTGCATTTATTTCAATTTGTCCGGATATGTTAAGCATCCGGATATCTGAATCACCAGTTAAACAAGACAGAATATAATAAAAAAAATTTCGTTCCGATGAAAAATCGTCCGGACACTGAAGCATCCGGATATCTGAAGGTCCACTGTACTGTAAAGCTTTGCTAATTCAGACACTTATTCTCAAGCAAATTGTTCAGATTAATGATTACTTAAACAGACCTTTTTTAGAATTATCAAATATTTCAATAAGACAAGTAATTCTGTTTCCAACAAATATCATCCAGAAGGGGAAGCATCTGAATTGTTGGTGTTCAGATGATTGGGGCTTCACTGTACTCACCTTTAATGATTAGCACTGTACTAACCTTCAATGATTAGCATTTCATGTATAATCTTTTCTAAACTTCTCTTCTCTAGACTTCTCTAAAGAAAAGTGGTTGGGATCACGTGGATACACTGTAAATGACACACTGCCCTCTTATGTCATTTCGGAGTTGTTACATGACCTTGACATTATCCAGTATTTGGGAGATTCCAGCTGTAACAGGAAATCAATTCCTTTCTATCCCAACAGAAATGGATGGAATACTGGTGAGAGAGTAAAACATTGTTGTCTTATAACAAATAAAATGACCACTTAATTTTAACCTATTCAGTATAAATTAAACCTTAAATTGGAATTACACAGTAAAACACACTTATAGCCAACACATTTATAATGAATTAATGCTTAAAGCAGACCGAGTGATTTTCATATCCTGTGGGTTTTAAACATACATGTATCATGAAGCTAACTGATACAGAATGTATTACAAATTATATTTAAAAAGAAGCAAAATTGTCTTTCTCTAACACTTCTTTATAAGCGTGTTTTTACTTTAATTTCTTACATAGGCAGTGAATATCACTGTTGCTCATGCTGTATGTTTTTGTTTTAGGCTGTGACAGACCAGTAAGCTTGGCTCCCATTGGTTCCGACACCACCTGTCACCTGTTCAGTTTCTGTACAGGAGTACGGTGCTGCTCAGATCTACCCCAGCTTCAGAGATCCTTCAACACCTGGTTACTCATAGACCACTGTAACTACAAACTCAGCATCGGCATTGAGAGATTCGCTGTCAATGCTAGTCTTCATGACTTCAAATTTGGGAGGAAGGAAATGATTAATCTTAATGGAGTTGTTAGACTACAGTAAGTGTACATTATGTAAAAAATAGAGATGCACATTTAATCTTTGTTCAACCTTGTGGATGGGTAAACATAATTTGTTGCTACTGTAATACACTAAATTTAGACAAGATTGTTTTTCATCTATGCACTACCTTAATTTTAACATACATGAATTGCACAGTAAAAGTAAATATGCATATTTCTATAAGTTATGTTAACTTTTTCATAGGTATGAAATCAATGACCTACCAACTGAGAGGAAGTTTTTGGTGAATCTGAATCTACAAATCTGTTTTGAGTCCAACAAACCATGCTCAATAGACATTCCAATATTTACCAACACAAAATTACCCAAAAAGCCATGTGATTGGACCACAGACTTCATTGATGATGGTAAGAGACCAAAACTACCTTTAAGAAATTTGACATGTTTAAATAACATGGCTTGTTTAATTTCAGTCGATTGCCCATCTTACTGTATTGGTAAAATAATTTAGGGTTAATGAGGTATTTTAAAGATAAAGGACTAACTTTGCCATTGATGTTACAGCATTTTCGTTCAACTCCTGGAAGGCTACCCGAGGAATTACAACAGCTGGTCTCTCCGCGAATCAGCAAACAGAATTAATGGAGGACCTTGGACTTTCACAGTTTGTGAATGAAGATATTCAGAAATGTAGCAGTAGCAATGCACCATTTAATGGAGCTGTCAACAACTGGAAAAATGGTGGGTATTTCATATGAATTTTTTTTATCACATACAAAAAGTGGATTGCTTCTTATCTGTTTAATAAGTGCTATTTTTGTAGACGTTCAATATTTAATATGGTATTCCTTGTATTACAGAATGTCCTCAGTCCCTCAAGTCCGCCCTGCCTTCTCTGTCTGGTCAGCCTATCACCTGTCATATTGACTCCTCCTGTGGTGGTCTCCAGTGCTGTATAGATGTGGCTTCCCTCAGCACCACCTTCATCACCAGACTGGAGGTGGACCCCTGTAACTATAAGATGACTGTGGGCATTGAGAAACTGACCTTCTCTAAGGACCTTTTCACTTATGATTGGGGTCAGGAGGAACAAATGTGGATATTTGGTGTAGTGCGAATGAAGTAAAGAATGCTTTAAAATCACATGTTGATAGGAATACAGATATATCAGACTATGTGACACATTTTTTTAAAACATGGGCAATTTTCTGTACATGAATGATCATTCACAAATTTACTATTTTAGGTTTAAAACGGTGGACCTATACACAGAGGGATACTTTCTGATTGACCTGAAATTGGAGGTGTGTCTAGAAGCCAGCCAGATCTCACCCTGTGGATTATCAGTAGAAATACTGAAGAACTTTTACTTGCCAAAGAAAACTTGTGTATGGGATGCACCCTTCATCACCCCAGGTAACTTTTAAAACACGTGTATCTTGAACACTGAAGAGAAATTCTAATGTGTTAGACGTAAACAGTAAATTTTGATCGGAGAGCTGTTTCATTCATATTGAAACCCAAAATTATTTCTCATTAACCTGTAAATTTTCAATGATCCACACAAAATTAGCCCATTAAATTGAAGTGCTTTACAGTAAATCAATTTCAGACTCAACTTTGATATTTCAACCTCTCACATATCAAGGTACCACAATCAAGATAATGAGGTTTGACTGTATAGGTTCATTTTATTTCAGGTTTTAATTTAACATCCTGGTTGGCTACAGAGGGAGTTTCTAACACAGTGCCTCTGGAGAGTGGGGCTGTGGACAATCTACTGTCAGATCTCAACATAGCAGGCTTCCAACTGTTTCCAGCCTGCTCCCACACAGACAGTACTTACCAAACAGCTGCCACAGACTGGGGAAAATGTAAGATAATAGTATATACTCTATATAGTACATGGCTTAACAATTCTGGATTAGCTATCCACAATTCTTTTTAAAAATCTTGTACAATTCGATGACTAACTGTGTATCCTGATTACTGGTAAATACAATCCTGTAAGTGAACTATAGATTCATCTTACAAATGATGAAAATATTTCAACTTCTTATTTACTACAAAATATAAAGATACTGCTTAACCTTGTATGACTTCATCAGGCTATTTTACTATTAATATAATAACAAAAGATAAAATACATGAAGTTTATAAAAAAAAAAGTTGCTATTTTGCTGGTAACTGGCTTTTATACTTTTTACCATGGTAAAAGAACTGAATCTTACAATTTATGTAATTAACAGAACTGATTCTGACAATTTATGTTACTGAATTTCCTCTACAATTTACCTTACTAGATTGCCCAGAAGAGGTCCAGACTACACTAGCTTCCCTGTCAGACAAGGCTCTGTGTGCTGTCTCTACCTCCTGTACTGGCATCAGGTGCTGTGTCGCCATACCACTTCTCAACAAGACGTTCGAAGTCAGTCTGGATATTGATGAATCCTACAACAAAATGGAAGTTAGTGTGGAGAAGATTCAAAGAAGACAGTCCCTTGTTGGATACACATTCAATACCCAGGAAACGTTAAGTGTTCACGGAGTCTTCAAACTTGTGTAAGTGACCTCTTCATAAATTGTAGTATTCATTAATGATATAGAATCTCTAATGATGTAATGTAGCATGTAGACTTTTGTCAATGAAATGAATTATAATTAGGGCCCCGCAAGGATTTGCGGGTGCCCTATAGTAATCACTCTGTCTGTCCGTTCGTCTGTCTGTCTGTCTGTCTGTCTGTCCGTCTGTCACTCTTCCGTCCACAAATTTTCTGTTTTTTTCTAATAACTTTTTTTATGGTTGCCCAATCAAGTTTAAATATGGTAGTTTAATAAGAAATACATATTTTGATGCTAAGTTTGATTCTCTATGTCTTCATTTATGTGGGGTAGAATAATATGCATGGAATGTAAAACGGGCAACTTTTTTTATGGTTGCCCAATTAAGATCAAATTTGTACGCTTTCAGTAGGCAAAAATACATATTTTGATGCTAAGTTTGGTTCTCTATGTCCCTTGGTTTGGAGCTGGGGTGTTGGGGTAGATTCCTTAACTTTATAAAAGAATGCATTGGCAAAGAGAGATAACTGCTGAAGATGTTCCCATTCAGTAAACTGAATGCTACAAGGAGTCCCATGGGATTAATTAGCTTTCCTCCTGAAGAAAATCCAGAGCATTATCTTTATCTGTCACATTGAGATTAATTACCACCTCTGTCTGCAAATGAAGTTTATTTTGAAGTTAATTAGTCCATTTGGAATGCTATGAACACTCTGAAATGTGGATTTAAATATAAATTTTTATTACCGTAATTTCGGGAATATAGGTCGATACTTTTTTTCTCAGAACCGCTGGGCTCGACTAATATTCAGAATTCGACCTATTTAAGGCTCAAGTTTACGAAAAATGCCCCCAAATCAGTAAAATTTACGCCAATTTCAAAGCAAATCTGTGCCACTTTCGTAACTTTTTTGATTATTATCGCGAAAAAAATTAATGCTCCAGTAAACAATAAAATATTTATTCTATAGCTTTCTTACAAAATAAGTTCCATTAATTATCTGTTGATGACAAAGGAAAACAACGTTGCTATATCTATTAAATAATTCCTCAACGTATTATCCATTAACATCATGCGGTATCCATCTTGTGAAGTTAGGAAGTCGCGATCGTTGCACTAAAAGTAAAACCGCAACCGTATCAAAATTTAAATTAAGGAAAATTTTCACGATCACAACTGTTGTGTTTTTACCATTTATTAGTAGCGATAAATTGAAATAGTATATCAAATATGTTTTATTGTGTTATGTTTATTTAAATGTAAAACTAAAGAAATAATCAATTCAATTCCTAAATTTAATTAAAAAAAAAAACAAAAGTCATTACTGTTTTTTTTTAAAATATTAATTAATTATAATACCGGTCAAAAGAACGGTATACACAGATTGGCTTCTAACAGAATTTTAATTGTCTGACAGATAAAGGGATTTACACTGTGTACACAAAGGTGTTTAACACCTGTGTTCAATGTTGGTTTAAATGCCTGCGGGGCATGATTAAGAAACCCACGTGCCATTATAGGGTATTAGTGTTACACATCATTGAACAAACAATGTCGTGAAATTCATGTGTCAAATTGTGAATGTACTCTCAATTAAAATTTATAAATTAAACTTATAGAGTGTTAATATGATTTCAATTCTTTACTGTTGCTTGATATATACATTCAATGGTCATTATTGTTTTACAAATCCCTGGAGAAGAAAAATAAAAAACATCGAAGTAATTGTGTCCACCGGTAAATAATGTTTGAATAAAATTTATTAGGAATGTGTTCAAGTTGTTCATCGGAATTACTTTTATATATCCGGGTATTCCCGATTTATAGCTGTAAAATAATAACGTATTTACATGTTTTTTATGCCTCTGATTTAACAACAGTGTGAAACTACGGATGCATTGAACAGGCAAGTTGGAGAAAAATAAGTAGTTACACAATTAAAATAAGTTTTAACTACTTTTTTTTACAAAACTGTATTTAATTGCTGTACTCATTAAAATACCTGATTGTTTTCTTGATACGTTCATGTCACGGAATAACTCTGGTAATTCTAGAGGTTTACCTGTTCTGATACGTTGTATCTGCGTTAAAATCTCAAGAAAACGGGAAAGAAAGCCTCGACCTATATAGTATGTTCGACCTATCTTAGGATTTTTCAAAATTTAAGGCTGAAAATGAGCCTTTCGACCTATATACCCCATCGACCTATTTTCCCGAAATTACGGTATTTATTTTTGTTTGATATTTATGATTTCATTGAATCCTAAAAAAAGAAATAGATTAAAGAAGATTTTTTGATTTACCAGGGTACTTTTTTTTCACTGTTTTCCTTTTTTTTTTTTAAAAATATATTAATTCAAGAATGTTTTTAATTTAATGTAGTTGTATAAAACCCCCATTCTATCATTAATACTGAAAAAGTTCTTATTGTAACTTTAGAAGAAAATGATGAGAGAGGTACAATTAATCCCTTGGGATTAATTATCTAGCCTGCTGCAGAAAATTTAGTGCTTCTCTTTGATCTGTCACTTTAAGATTAATGAAAACCTTTGTCTGCAACTGCTGTTTGTAATTTGAAGTTAAGGTCAAGCCTTCATGATATTTGCATTCATTGAAGGCTGGCATTTTATATAACACAAGATTCATAATTGTTTAAATATGAATTCAATGTTAAGTTGTTCTTTACTGCCTAATGTAAATACAAGAATATTATTTTCAGGTTTTTGAATATTCAGGAATAATGTTGAAATTTTAAGAATACATATACATTTATTAATCAAATGTAAGCTGCACCCTTTTAATTCTACCCCATGGCGGGGCCCTTGCTGACTGGTCAGTTTTCTAGTTTATTTAAAAATATGTTAACTTCTAATGATTTTACATCCACCGGACACAAATTATGCCATTTTTTATGAATGGTAATTTGTTCACTTATATGATAAAAAAAAAATACACATATTTCAGTACATGTAATGATTGAAAAGTCATCCTCAAATGCACAATTACATCATGAATGATTTTATACCATTAATGGCTACTTGAATGGATTCAGAGAAAGAGTTTTAATTATTCCCTTCTCTTAACCAGTATGGAATAACAAATCTGGTGTATCTTACTTTTCTGTTTTGATAGATACAAGGTGAATGACCTGGTGGATGGCAATATGTTTGATGTGTCCATGACAGCCCAGGCCTGTTTTGTGGATGGAGGGGACTGTGAACTGAATCTTCCCATTCTCACCAATGCTCTGATTCCCAAGTCTGGAAGACAATGGAATGATCCATATACTACCAAAGGTAGCTAGAATTTCATCCACATGAAGTTATTGAATTCATCTTTGCTTTGTTTCTTTAAGTTTCATTTTTCTGGTCATTCTAAAATACATGGATACTTTTGACTATGCTTTATCAGTTGATCTCGTTTTTTGATCTTGCAAGTGAACTTCAGATTGAAAAGTATTGTTTCATTAAAAAGGGATAGCAGCATCTTTATGTAAATATGTTTTCTGTTTAAACCATTTGCTTGTAAAATCTTTTGGATCCCTATGTTGAAGCCTATGTATTTAGCCATATATTTAATTCTAGGACATGTTTTAAACAAAGTTAGAACATGCTGTATTATGTAAATGGTAATTGAAAGGTTACTCTGACAGTCAACTCATGTATGAGGAAAAGATAAGTTAGTTTAATAATATTGTATACCTTTTCCTGTTATTTAATAATAAGTAAGAGTATCAATCAATAAACTGTATTGCTGTTGTAATATTTGCTGATGCCTATTTCAGATTCCCTGAGCCAGTGGTTGAGTGAGAGATCTATAGCAGCAGGTACTGTACTACCTGACTACAGAGTCAGTGACTTATTTGAGACCTTCTACTTGAAGCCATACCTCAAGTCACCTACCTGTAACAGAGCAGGTGCTCCATATTCTGGTGCTGACCCTAATGGATGGAAAAATGGTACTTAAAGTGATAAAACACTTTATTTCTTTTATTAAAAGATGTGTACAGTAAAACTTGTTTAGTACGAACACGGATATAGCAAATTCACGGATATAGCGAAGTTTTCTGGGTCCCCGGTAAAATTCTTAACAAATCTTTGTTAAATTTTACGGTTATAACGAACTCTGATATAACAAATTTACGGATATAGCGAACCCATTTTGAGTCCCGATGAGGTTAAATATAATGAAAGAAGTATATGCGGTATATTACATATATTTGCCCCCACAAAAGTCAGATTTTGAAAAATACCTGAAATGTGCTGAATTCAATAAATTGTATGAGAAATATAAATTAACAGAAAATATTATAGTGTCAAAGCAGTGTATTCACAATTTTTGTTTTTATGACGTCACAAACTAGTCCGATTTTATATCCTTTTTCAGAAAGAGGGCAAAATGGACAAAATTTTAACAATTTTAGCTTTAGAATTTATAGAGCGCAAGTTTGTTCAGGAACAATATTGACATATTTCATTGATATTATCAGTTTACACATTATATCAAAATATTGATCCTGAACACAGATGCGCTCGGTGACTTTTACTCAAAATATCGACGAAATATGTACACTTTTCTGTAAAATTCATAAAAAACTGAAATTTATGTCATGTTTGTGACGTCATTACATACATATGGCGTCATTACTTATGAAAATATTCAGTGCTTTGAAGTCGGCATATACTCCCCTGTTTGAGAACTAAATTAAATTTATCTCCATCAAAGTTTGATTTGGGGGGCAAATATTGGTTATTACCGCATAAAGTTCTTTACATCTTTTATAACGAACTGTCAAAGATCTTAAAATTTGCTAAATTGAACTGACTTTATTTTCATGTAGCATTTGTATATAAAATTCATTTCATAATAAAACCTTAGTTATCAACAGTATGTTTTGTAATATTTGCTTCCCTAACATATTTGGTAGTAATACTTGAAGAAAAACATTCATATTGCGAACTCGCTATAAATGTTTATACGAATTCGTCATACGGATATAACGAATTACGGATATAGTGAACTAAATTCACAGGTCCCCAGGACTTCGCTATAACCGAGTTTTACTGTATTTATAATTAAAAGACATCAAATTACTACATTTAATCTCATATTGTTCCAGCTAGTGTACAAGTTAAATGCTAGACAGTCATGCTTTTGTATTAAAAAAAGATATTTGGTCATCCCCTTGACACTCAACTTGCTTTCTGCAGTCTGTATTCTATTCAGGCACTGTTTTGATTCTAGACAGAGTAAATTTGAATTAAGATTACCCAATGACCTTGTTTGCCAAAGCATGTGGATTTGATTTAGGGAATTTTCATAAACCATGATTTTTAAATCTTGTTCTGGTTTGAATCTGCTTTAAGGATTAATCAATGATCAATACATGGATCCTCCTTAAATATATAATGCAATTACAATATTTTTTTGTTGTTTTGTAGATTGTGCAGCAGTGAGTATCCTGTCCTCCATGAGCTCGGATCCTTTGACCTGTAACTTAGACAGCAGCTGTAACAAGGTGTCCTGTTGTGTGGATTCAACATTTACCTCCAGAACATTTGAAGCAGTAGTGGACATAGACCCTTGTACAAGAATGTTAACACTGGAAATTGAAGGCCTAAAAGCAACCATCCCATGGTCTGAAATCAAATGGGGTATGTGTTTACTTGTATTTTGTATTCACTGCTAGCTTACTTTTCCCATGCATAATTTGTTTTTTACATACTAGTTTTTCACATCTGTTTTTCCATTTTAAGGTACACTCAGTCAGTTCTATCTGTACCGTGTTGTTAGAATTGAGTAAGTATCTGATGTTTTTATTGCCGTTAAGTTATTCCATTTGAAAATTTAATCTGAATGTATTTAAGATGTAATTGTTTCATTGGCATGTGATTCTATTCAGCTATGTCATCCATGACCTGTATGCAGAAGATTTCTTCCTGGTTGATATGAAATTGTCCATGTGTTGGGAGCTGTATGGAGATTGTGCCTTTGTGTCCACTGTTTTCCAAAATGCATTCCTTCCAAAGAGATCTTGTCCTGGCAACATGGGGTTCAAGACAGGAGGTTTGTAGTTATATTTTCTTAAGCTTAATTGTTGTCAGTTTAGATTTAATAGTTTATGATGTAGAAATAATATTTGAATATCAAAGATAACATAGGTCAATCATCTTTTACAGCATTCTCCCTTAGCACTTATGCCACCACCAATGGCCTTGACCAGAACAATCTCCAGGGAAATGACCTGGCCTACCTGTATAATTACCTTGGAATTTCTAGTTACCTGGACAGCACCTCTTGTAACAGAACTGATAGCAAGTACACACCTAGCACTGATGGATGGAAAAGTGGTAAGTGTTACATGTGATTAATCTTATTAAATGTATTTCTATCAGTCACAAAACCATGTCCAGTCCATGATTTAAGAACCATGATTTAAGAACCCTTGATTGGAATAGATTCAACCTTAAATAGTTGCTGTGGATGTGTCATAACTTGACTTTTTCTTATCAAAGGTCAAGGTTATCACATCAAAGATATAAAATTTTGACCCATTAGGGTTTTGAAGAAAGAAATGTCTATTTTGGCAAAGGAAAAAATCTACAATAATTATCAAATTGAATTTGTTCACTATTTTTATGCTTAGGTAATATTTTCATATCAATATAAGGAATCTTTCTTTCCTTTGCAGATTGTTCTGCCAACTTATCCTCTGTGCTGCCAGCACTAGGTTCTGAAACAAATTGTGTGATGGATTCCTCGTGTACCAGTGTAGACTGCTGTATGGAGATTGGCAAGCTGTCATCCCGCCCAGTGAACTTTCACCTCTCTCTGGATGACTGTGATTGGAAGATCAGTTATGGAATTGACAGTTTTGTTATCAAGCCCACTGTTCTTTATAACTTTACATTTGATCAGTGGAATGAATTCTGGATGAGAGGAGTTTTCAGAATGAAGTAAGTAAATTTTGATTTGTCATAATTGAGTTATGTATTGTCATAAAATTTACCTGTCTATATATCATATATATATATTTCTTTTTACTTAGATTTAACATTTGAAAAAATACTTTTACAGGTTCAAGGTTACAGATCTTAGTGGACTGAACAAGTTTAGAGTCAGCTTGGTCTTAAGTGTATGCTTTGAAAGTGCAAGTGCTTGTGAAGTAAATCAAGTGGTGCTTGACAATGCTGTATTACCTAAACCCCAGTGTGATCTCAATATAGGAAATCAAGTGAAAGGTTGGTGTCCACATATTATAGCTGTTACATAAAGCACTGTAATAATTCAGTATTTAGTCTAAATACAATGATCTGCTTGCTGCTTTGTGAAGCTGCTTACATGTGTTACAGATTGAGAAACACAAAACTCAGTTCGACATATTAGTAGTTGGATATCAAAATAATATCCAATGAAAAATATCCACAGGATAAAGGGCTAAACATGGGATAAAGATGATTTTTTTTTTAGGCAAAGAAGTCTTTAAGTAATGTCAACTTTTTTTCAGATTTCGTGCTTAATAACTGGAAGAGTGAAAAGGGTGTAACCAGCATGGATGAACCTAGTATTGCCAGACTGGAGGAGGAATTAGGAATGTTTGGTTACCTGCACAAAACAGGAGATGTTTGTAATAAAACTGCAGGAATATTTGCATCACCAGCAACTGGATGGACCAATGGTAAATAGAACAATCTTGATAAGAATACATACAGTATTCTGATACAAATCTTCCATAGTAACGCTCTTTAAAATGAAAATTGTTGATCTTTAAATTATGTGTGTTTGTAATGTACATGTATTCAATGTTTATTTTGTGTTGTAACCAAAAGTGTTTATTGTGTTGCAGATTGTCCCAGTGTTTTGCCGATTTCTCTACCCGTGGTCAGTGGTCCCTTGACCTGTAACTTGGGGTCATCCTGCTCAAAGCTGACCTGTTGTGTTTATACAGAGGCCCTGTCCAAACATATAACAACCTTCCTGGACCTTGACTTCTGTAACGACAAACTGACTGTAGGCATAGACAGGTTCTCCCGTGAAATGAAACTGAGCACTTACCAGCCCTGGGGTATGTATACAGTAACATTTTCTTCTTAGTACTTGTATATCTGAATACTCATTAGTGCAGTTGTACATGATATATTTTATTTCACAGGTCAGCAACAAACATTGGACTTCAGTGGGATCTTTCAAACCAAGTATGTCTTTAATTTTCTTTTTCAAAACATAATTGTGACTGTCCATGTTTTCATAGAGAATATTTTTTCTTAATTAGAACTGATCAATGTGTTACATCAGTGTTGAAGCATATCACATGTATGTTATATTGCTAGTTTTACCCTGGAGGATTTGCCTAACTCCAACATGTATTTGGTGACCTATACAATTGGTGTCTGTTGGGAGGGATCCAGCAGCTGTGAGGGATATGCCATCTTAACCAATATACTCCTCCCCAAGTTCACCTCACCCTGTAACTGGAAGGGAGAATTTGTGGATTCTGGTTTGTATAACTTTAATATTAGAATATTGTGAAGCAATGAAAATATCATCAAATTTTTTTTATAACTGATTTTTAAATATATTGTTGCAGATATGTAATATTAATAGTCTCTTTGCTGATGTATATGCTCAATTACTGAGATGTAGATACATTTTTACTTTATTCATGATTTTACAGCATTCACCCTATCTGGCTGGCAGGCAGCAAACAGCTACGTGGACACCACTCCGCTAACAGATTTGGTATTACAGGATCTGATGAAGTACCTACAGATGTCCTCCTACAAGGATGATGACTGTGTGATGACTGACCCTCCATATACACCAAACAATGGCAATGGCTGGAACACCAGTAAGATAACACAGTGTCATCTAAAATTACCCCCACCCCCACCCACCCACCACCACAACTTGTTAAATTTTATTCCAATTACTGTAAACCAAGTTTTATTTGCATGGAAGAAATATCCACGAGTTCAGCGACCTACTTTGGTTTGTGAATATTTATCGTTGCAAACTATTTATTTTGCTATGTTTTTGTAGACAATGTTTTCCTTTAATTTTACGTATTGATTTCAAACACTTTGAATAACAGTTGGTTTACAGCAATGTTTGAATTCATAGACATGTATCAATAAGGTGTGAAAAAAATTGATTATGAATCGCTTCAAGTTTAATTTTACTTGACCACTTTGAATTTCAGCGTGCACATACAACACTAGTCTCCCTACACTGCCCAGTACTATGTCCTGTCACTTACGCGATAGCTGTGCTGGACTGGACTGTTGTGTGTCCAGCCCTAAACTGAACAGGAAATTTAGAGCTACACTTGACATTGATCCATGTACATCAAAGGTCTCTGTTGGAATTGACAAGTGGAAATTTTCTGAAATCTCACTGGACACCATCTCACAGTTGAATACAGGTACATGTGTAAAATTGAAGACTGTTGTGAAAATTTGAAGACTGTTTTATATTAAAGATGTCCATTAATATATTTTTGTTTTAAATAGATATATAAATACATGTCAAAATGTTTATGTTACAGAAATGTCAAAAAGTGTATGGCTCCAAGGAGTAGTAAGAATGGAGTAAGTAAATATTTTTCTCAACTGTCTATGATAAACTGTATATTCAGTATAATGTGAGACATACTGTATTCAGAATTTTCTCTTTTTTTTGCCTTTTTAGTTTCACCATTGAAAATCTGTGGAGTGCAAACAAATTTCTGGTCAACTTAAAAATGAGCATATGCTTATCTACCTCTGGGCCTTGTGAAATTGATAGTGTACCAGTTTTTGAAAACACACTTCTTGAAAAGAAACAATGCAGTTTCCCCTCACAACTCCCAGCAGGTATAGTGAGAAAATTTTCTCAATTATTTTCTTTTAAAATATCGATGATATTCATTTTAATGAAAAGTGCAATGAAAACTTTTCTTTTACTAACCAATTAACCAACTGTTAGTTTTTATTACCTAGTAATAACTTGGATATATATTAATGAATTTGTAGGATTTTCACTCTCATCCTGGAAAACAAACCAAGGTTTCGGTGCAGCTGACCGCCTTCCTACACACACAGCTGCCAAAGTGCAGGATTTCCTGAATATTCCTCAGTATAAACTGAGTTCTTCCTGCAGTAGAAGCCTGGCTCCTTATTCTCCTACCTACATTGGATGGGTGGAATGTAAGTCGAAAATTTATAATTCAGAGAATTTGGTTTTGATATCAGCTACATGGACATATCGTAAATTATGCATAATTTGAAATATTTTCAGGGTTATAATTTTTGGTAAAAGTAAAGTCATATAGGAGCAAATAGTGGAAGTGTGTCTTTGAAATTAATTTTATTACTTACTTTGCACAGTGAACAGCGCTTGTCAAGTCCTTGGACTTCCTTACAACCTTGGCCTGTTGACATACTGTGTTGTGGAATCTAGCTGTACAAAGATTAAATGCTGCACAGATGACTCAGAATTCCAGTCCACCATTACTTGGTTCATTGACATTGATTCTTGCAATCACAGGCTAGAAGTGGGCATTGAGGCTTTGAAATCTGAAGTGTCCCTTCTAAATTACAAGTTTGGTATGTATAATAATATGGAATTCTGTTTGAAAAGAAATAAGGATTCTCTTTGTTGTTGAAATACATATACCGGTATTAATGCTGATCAGTAATAGATACAGATTTCAGAAAAAAAACTGCTGCTGCATTCATATACTATTAGAAACAAAATATCTGCCTCAATTTTTTTTCAGGGGAACAAGATTCATTTAGTCTTGGAGGAGTATATCAACTAAGGTATGAATTCAATAAAAGAAAATATGTAAGGGTGTGAAATGAATATTCACACTAGACATACATGTATATTTTGTGAATTAGCTCAATACATAGTTTTAAATTTAGTTAGCTTGCTTTTTTATTTGTTAGCTATGTGATCCATGACTTGAGCAGCGAGTCCCACTACCTTATGAGTGTCAATGTCAGCATCTGTTATGAACCAAACAATTGCTCTCTCTCTGAGGTCATTGTGCAGGACGTTATGTTCCCTAAAACAGTCTGTAACTTCAAAAGCACAGACTTCAAGCTTCCAGGTATTAACGTCTCTATTTTGTATGCCATAACATTGAGCAAAATAAAATGTGTTACTTCTTCATATAATTTTTTGGGAGAGGGAAAGTTACATGTAATTGTGTTTAGTTCCAAAACAATAATTTATCACCACAGAATGGATCATTGTTGATATATATAAGGTCTTCTAGTTTTTCAATGTTTTATTTACTGAGTGATTTCTCCCAATATGTTATTTTTTTACCACAGGCTTTGAATTGTCAACCTGGAGCACAAACCGCAGTTTTACCCCGGGGACAGTTCTACCCGAGCATGGAGTGATGAGACTATTAAAGGACCTGGGGCTGGCTATGTATATGAAGGATACCACCTGTAGTCCTTCTGACAATCTCTATGTCAATAGCACTGGCGGCTGGGATACAGGTATCTACTGTTACTTTGCTTGAACAAGATTTTGTGTTTGTCTTAAAAATTTTAATGATTTTCTAATCCCTGGTTAAATCAAAATATAAAATATCTATAGAATAGAACTTGTCAATGTAGAAACTATAGATATAATTTTCAGCATGTTTGGTACTTGGCTCCAGGGTCATAAAACTTGGTTGAGTTTATTTTTTATCTCTCTCTCACTCGTACGAAAGGAATGTTTCATGGAAAAGTAAGATTGAGATAATTCAAGTTTATGGTTCTGAGGCCCGGGTCCCGGGGCTGCAAAACTTCGATGAGCTCACTTTTGGTTGCATGCAGTCTCACTTTTACAAGAGAAATATATTTAGTGGAAAAAAGAGACTAAGATCTAAGGCCATAATAAAAATATTCCTAGATTCTCATCCCCGCCCGCCCCGTTTTTTACCCCCGCCTCGATTTTTTTTATTTCTGTTTTCCTTCGTCTTAACTCTGATCGGGATTGGTATTCATCTACCATTCTACTTTCGTTTCAAATCCCGCGAAAGTCGACATGATTTTGACAGCTGAAAAAGATGGTAATTGCTGTAATACATGCGTATATATGTTAAACAAGGGTCATTGGTTGAAAAAGATTGATGATGATGTGAAGTAAGAGATAATTGTACCTTTACTATGACTTTTATTCGGGTATTGTATATAAAATTACACTGATTGACCAGATCAATAAAAAATCTGCAGAATTGAAAAAATATAAAATAAAAGCCGCCCGCCCACCTCGATTTTTGAAAAAATTCGGATGAGAATCTAGCAATTTATTTATTATGGCCTAAATTGGGCTTGTCTAAGTTTCATGGTCATGGTGCTTGGTCACTGCATGTATGTTCTGTAAATGTAGTGGTAGTTTGATAAATTACCAATGGTACCTATGGACAGAGATTGGTCTCTAACTGTTCTAATTTACAGATTGCACCCTTCCAATAGCAACCAGTTCTCTGCCCTCAGGCATTGTGTGTCACATTCCGTCCTCCTGTACCACAGTTCAGTGCTGTCTGAATGCCACCACACCACTTGGGCGGTCATTTACCTCTGTTCTAGATCTGGACCCCTGTAGCCACCAACTCACACTGGGAATTGAAAACTTTGTGTATAAGATATCATTGTATGACTTTGAATTTGGTAAGATAAGAAATTTTTACTGTTTATATGATCTTTATGTAGAAATACATTTTGCCAGGTGCAGTTTTTAAATGTTTTTAAATTATTTTTTTCAGCAAAGGAACATTTCTTTTATTTGAACAATGTGGTCCGAATGAAGTAAGTATTTGTGTCAATCTTTGCCAACTTTTTTTCTCATTAGCTCATTTCAACAAAGCTGAGATGCTCTTACATTAAACCCCATTTGGAGCAGGTCCATTTTCAGCTGCTTTCACTGTAATTTAGGAATATTAAGTTTGGTTCATACACTGTATGTCTGTCATTCTGTCTGTGTGTAGACCCCTATTGATTTTGAGGTCAAAGGGTGAAGGTCATGAATTCTTACAGTCACTCTCTTTGTGTAAGAAATTGTTTTCAGAAGTAATCTCAAGAAGTCTGAGCTGCTTTTAAAATGCAGTTTTATATCGCAATTCCCTGTGGTCTGAAGGAGACCCTTATTGATTTTGAGATCAAAATTTCAAGGTCAGAAATTCATACATTGCACAATGATTAAACAAAAATGTTTTCCTATTAATAACTTAGTTTTCGTCAACCTATCATAAATCCTATTGACTTAATGAAGAATCCTATTGATTTTGAGATTAAAGGTCAAGGTCAAAATTCATATTTTGCCTGAAATAATTCTGGTGATAAGTCCATTTCTGTTATAGTTTCTCCTCTGAAATCATAATAACTTTAGTCAATACAACTTTCAAAAAAAATAATAAACATGCAGAATTTGAGGTCAAAAGATGAAAGACCAAAGTCAGGAATTCACATATTGCTTGCATTGTTTTCAGATGATAAGGCTGGTTCTTTGTAATCCTTTGCAATGAAATGTAAGGTCATGAATTTCTATCTCCTTTTGTGTTTCCTTAAGTTTTTCTACTGTTGTCTTTTTTCCTTAAGAATAGAAAACAAATTCCTTAAATTAACTGTTATATTTGTAATCTTTAATTATCTCTGTTTTTTTTAGCTCTGCTGGTCAGAGACCAAAATAGCTTATGCGATAGTAATGTGTCCATCGTCCGTCCGTCTGTCTGTCTGTAAACAATTTTTCAAAATGCTACTCCTCCTACAGTTTTGGTCCAATTTCAATATAACTTGGCACACAAGTAGACTACACTAAGATACATAATTCTATATATCGGTTTTTGATTTCGATGAATGATGTTGCCGTGGTTACTAAAAATAGAAATTTCTGTGAAATTCTTTCAAAATGCTACGCCTCCTACAGTTTTGGTCCCATTTCAATATAACTTGTTAGCTCTACTGGTCAGAGACCAGAAGAGCTTATGCGATAGTAATGCGTCTGTCGTCCGTCCGTCTGTCTGTCTGTCCGTCTGTCTGTAAACAATTTTTTAAAATACTACTCCTCCTACAGTTTTGGTTTGATTTCAATATAACTTGGCACACAAGTAGACCACACTAAGATACATAATTCTGTGTATCGGTTTTTGATTTCAATGAACGGTGTTGCCGTGGTTACTAAAAATAGCAATTTTTGTGAAATTCTTTCAAAATGCTACTCCTCCTACAGATTTGGTCTGATTTCAATATAACTTGGCACACAAGTAGACTACACTAAGATACATAATTCTGTGTATCTGTTTTTGATTTCGATGAACGGTGTTGCTGTGGTGACTAAAAATAGAAAATTCTGTGAAATACTTTCAAAATGCTACTCCTCCTACAGATTTGGTCTGATTTCAATATTACTTGGCACACAAATACTACACTAAGATACATAATTCTGTGAATCGGTTTTTGATTTCGATGAACGGTGTTGCCGTTGTTACTAAAAATAGAAATTTTTGTGAAATTCTTTCAAAATACTACTCCTCCTACAGTTTTGGTCCGATTTCAATATAACTTGGCACACAAGTAGGCTACACTAAGATACATAATTCTGTTTATCAGTTTTTGAGTTCGATAAACGGTGTTGCCGTTGTTACTAAAAATAGAAATTTCTATGAAATTCTTTCAAATTTTAATAATTTGTTTAAAAATAATTGGCACACAATTAGATACACTAAGATACATAATTCTATATATTGGTTTTTGATTTCGATGAAAGGTGTTGCTGTGGTTATTAAAAATAGAAATTTCTGTTAAATACTCTCTAAATGCTGTGATACAGTTTTAGTCTGATTTTAATATAATGTGGCATGCAAGTAGACTACACTAAGAACATAGGAGACTTATAATCAAGGATCATTATTCAATTTATTGCTGTTGTAAAGTTTCAAATTGCAACTGCTTAAGTACTTTTCTCTTCCTTTGCAATAAGTACAAACCAGTAGAGCTTCAGTTTCGACAGAGACTTCTGGTTTTCTGTGCCATAATGCTTAAGCATTCATCTGAAAATGCCTTCTGGATCAAACAAAGAATACTTAACATTAAGCTTATGTTTAGTCTTACATATACTTCCATTTCACAGGACCAGATTTACAGAAGCTTTTTCTGTTTCAGGTATGCAGTGTATGACTTGAAGACAGATAGGAAGTACCTTGTAGACCTAAGTATTGCCCTCTGCTTCAGTACAGCGGGAGCTTGTGAGCTTGACACTGTTGTCTTACAGCATGTAGCACTGCCAAAGAGAGTTTGTCAATTGTATGCTGGATATACTGAAACCAGTAAGTGTTCAGTTTACTGTTCACTGCATGTATCTCCAGTACAAGAATAAAGTTAATGGTTAAATTGTTTTTCTCAGCAGTGGATTGAACTATTCTCTTGATCATTTCTTTTATTGTACCAGATGTTTTTGCATATTTAATTTGTTTAAAAAATTTTATTTAATATTATGCATTATTCATGACAGATTTCTCCTTGTCTGCATGGAAGACAAATATGAGTGTGACCTCTGACCCAATGACCCCTGCTGAGGTTGCCCTTCTACAGGAGGATCTTGGGATAGCTGAGTACCTGTCCTCCTCCAGCTGCTCCAGGCAGTCCGGAAACTATTTACCACACAGCTTCTACTGGAGTGATGGTATCACAGATTAAAATGGAGGATAAAGAACTAGAACTTTTTTCAGATTAAGCAAGAATGATATTTTTGATATGTGGATGACATCAAGAAATTTTCAGGGAATAGATTGTTTTCAAGAATGATAGGAAGACTGAAATAAATCTTTAATGCAAAAAAAAAAAAAAAAAAAATTCCTGAATATAAGTTATGCAACATGAATGAGATTGCTGCAAGGAAATTAATTGGTGAATAGATAAAATACAGAATGTCATTTTTTTTTTTTTTAGTTTTTTTTATAAGTTCTTCAGTGAAGACATTGATTTCTGTCTGTAGCTTGTGGAAGGGTGTCTGGAATGACCCAGTTTACAGCAGCAGACAATATTAACTGTTACCTGGCCTCCAGCTGTACAGAGTTCACCTGTTGTATGGACGACCTTGTTCTTCAGAGGACAGTGGATGTCAGGGTAAACCTGGACAACTGTAACTTCAACCTCAAAGTGCAGATCGAAAGACGATCAGTGGACATCTCTCTCATTGACTATAATTGGGGTACTTCATTTCTCAGAGCTAAAATATGCATAAATTATATGTTTTATGTCATAGAATATGTTCATATTCTGGATATGAAGAATCCTTTACTTTTCAAAATGTATGAAAAAAAGAATTGGTTTTATTTTTTTAGGTAAAGTGGAAAGGATGGATCTGTTTGGAATTTATGTCATCAGGTAAGAAATACTGACTCAGTATCCATATGACAAAAATTTAATAAAAGGTTCTTTTTAATGTTAAGAGACATTACATGCAAATTTCAACCTATGCTTCAGTTTTGTTGTGGAGAACTTGTACCGAGAGGGAGCCTATCTCCTGAGTGCTAACATAAGTCAGTGTTACGAGGCCAGTCAGGAATGTTCTGTCAGCCACGTCCTCTTAACCAATTCACTCCTACCTAAATCTGTCTGCGACTGGTCTACAAACTACCGTATAGCCAGTAAGTTTTAAACATGCCCTGAATAAAATGTCTTACTACTTGAAAATTGGAGCTGTGGTTTTCTTTTAGTGCCATGATGAATTTCTATTTTAAAATACATAGATATGCCCTTGATTATTCAGACTTTTCCCTTCTTACTTGGAAAATGGAGAGAAGTTTGGGATCTGGGGATATCCCAGCTGTTTACTTACTACAGCTTTTGGAGGAGACTGGACTATCTGGGTACCTCAGAGAGCCAACCTGTAACAAGACAATGGGGATCTATACGGGGGCAACAGATGGCTGGACAAGAGGTAAAACAAATTCTAAACAAAGCAGTCCATGCATGTAAAGATTATAGGATTACACTTGGCGTAAAAATTCTATTTTGACAAAAGCCCATCAGCTGTAAGGTGTGTTTTTTTCTCACCAGCCTGCAGTGCCAATGTCACCTTGCCATCCTTGAACTCTGACCTGAGCTGTCACTTAGAGGACTCTTGCACTGGTCTACAGTGTTGTGTTTATGCCTCTCAGTTGCAGAGAAGTTTTGAGGTCTTCTTTAACATTGATCACTGTACAAGTAGCCTAGGCATTCAGATAGAAAAGATTTTCTACAACCGCACACTTGTGGGATTCCCATGGGGTGAGAATAAGCTCCTTTATATTGAACTTCAACTGAAAAACAAGTTATCATTTTACTCTTACTTTTGGCAGGAATACAGTGTGTTATAAAGTTTCATTGTAAAAATATTTCTTTTAATTCAGGAACTGAACAAGAATTCAGGCTTCAAGGAATATACAGAGTGAAGTAAGAATAAATGTTTTCTTTCGGCTTTTGATTTTCCAGTGTATCATAATTTTCTTTGGAAATTAAAAAAAAAAATTTATTATAACTGGTAATTAGTTCATTAAGGAAGTGGCAAAAAATATTGCTCAATTTTTTTAACAGGTACACCATAGATGATTTGCCCTATGACAGAGCATACCTTGTGTCCATGCAGATAATGGACTGTTATCAAACAACCGATCCACAGTGCTTATCTGTAGATACATTTACTGTGCTGGACAAAAGCATAATACCAAAAGCCTTATGCAGCTGGGATCAGAGCTTCATTACAACTAGTAATTCCACATTTATCTTGTTTCTTTAAGAAAACACTACTAAGGATACCCAAGCTTTAAAATATTTTAGCAAAATTAACAGTATCTTAGGAAGCAAAAAAAAAGAGATGAATTCTTGTGAAAATAGATATGTTGATGTTATTTGTAGACTTCTCATTGACTGATTGGTTGGCTGAGAACAGTCTAAGTGACACTACAGCCCTGTCTAACCAGGCTCACAAGTTATCTCAGCTGCTGGATGAGATGTCCGTGTCTCAGTACCTACAGACTACCATGTGTACCCCTACATCAGCCTCAGCTGTCAATGGCTGGACGCAGTCTATTGGTGAGATATAGGATCTTTTTCATTGAGACTTTTATAGTACAATGCTTAACAGTCAATCTTCATGAATTGTCACATATTTAAGTTTCTTTATGATTTAAAATTATAGATTGTCTAAAGACTGTGTCAAAACCAAGTATTACCCAGAGTTTATGTAACCTGAAGGCGGATTGTACGTCATCCGAGTGTTGTACTGAGATTGACTTCCTCAAACGATCCTTTAACACCTATTTAGACATTGATCCATGTAACTTTATCATGAAAGTCAGCATTGAGAAATTCAGCAGAGAGATATCTCTCAGAGAATATAAGTGGGGTTTGTATTCTGTCACATGTTTTCAGGAAAGATTGTTTCATTTTGCACAGACTGATTTCTTCAAAATTTTAGATTTTTTTCATTAATTTGAATTTTTTTTTCTTCAGGAAAACGTGATCATCATTGGTTAGCAGGTGTTGTGAGAATGGAGTAAGTATATCCTTTTCAAGCAGAAAAGTCTTTAAACATCTTAATAATGATTTTCTCTTTACTGTTCCTTATTTTTTTTTCAAAAACAGTTTCACCATAGAAGACTTGTATGGATCTCGACAGTTCCTTGTAAACCTAGATGTAAACTTTTGTTTTGAATCATTTGGTGATTGCTACAAGAATGTCACTGTTTTCAAAGACACCATCTTGCCCAAGAAGCTCTGTCCATTTACTGACAATCCAGGTATATCCACCTGAAGTAATTGCTATGTTATCTGTAGCTACTTTTATTTATAAACTGTATTACATGTACTATATGATGTTTGACAACTTACATGTTTTTGATATCATGTTTTATCTGAGGCCAACATTTTTTTTTGTTTGATGTTTTTAGCTTAAGACCACCTTTTTTATCAGTACATGTCAGATTAATACACACTTGACATATAAAAGCTTATGTGCTGTAAAAGATATATTTTTAATGACAGGAATTACAATTGAAGGAGATGTTTTATTTTTCAGGCTTTTCACTGACTGCTTGGAAAGACAGCAAGGGTATAGCTGCAGCAGACCCACTTCCTTCCTGGGCTCAAGTTCTGTTATTAGAAGAGCTGGATGTCGCTCAGTATATGGACTCGGCACAGTGTAAAAGGGGGAGTGGACTGTACTCAAACACGGATAAGAATGGAGTAGACACTGGATTCAACCAGAATCCTTCCTTGTCACCACAGTGTGAGTACAGTTCATACATCTGATGGTGATTTTTGAGTGAAATTTCTACTTTCATTTATTCAAATGAAAAGCATATTAAACTTATTTTTTAAACATATATCATAAAATTTTCTTTAATTATGTACTTGTACATGTATTGCTAAAATCATATTACAATTTCATTTTTTTAATATTACAATGTATTGTACCATGTATTGTACCGTATTGTTTGAATTATACTGATAATTCAATTAACCACCTGTACATTTCAGTATGCCAGCTTGGTGTGAACCTGGCAGATAATGCCCTTGAGTCCAGCACAGCTAGCCTGATGACCTGCTACCTGCCTACTTTGTGTACAGCAGTTCACTGTTGTGTAGATGTTCCAGCTATCAATACATCATTTAATGCTCAGGTTGAAATTGACCCCTGCAAATACATGTTACGGATTGGAATAGAAAAGTTCAGTTTCAACAAGTCTCTTGATCAGTACACATTTGGTATGTTCTCAGTTGCTTGGAATATGTACTATGCAATTTTCATGTATGATAAAAAGTTGTAAGATTTAGAAGAGAAAATGTATTTTCAATTTTTTTTTAGGAAATGATGAAATGTTTTACTTGGCTGGGATACTCAGGTTGATGTAAGTGAATTCATTAATTATCAAAATTTAAAATTCTAAAAGTTGAATTATTTTGATGATGTACTGATGTTGCTCTGCAATGATCTCTTTGTTCACAGGTATAATATCCGAGACTTGCCCAATGAGAAATTGTTTGTGGTGACAGTGAAATTAAGTATCTGTACTGAGAGCTCTGGTTGTGAAGCTAACCACACAATATTTGAAAACATGATGCTACCCAAACAGCCTTGTTCTTGGAATGAGGGCTTTGTCAATTCTAGTAAGCAGCAATCTGTACAAAGGGGAATAATTCTTAATCCAAACAAACTCTCTCTCTACATATACACTTGTATTTTCAATTTGTCAGATATTTTTACATTCATTTTATTTGATATTAGCTAAATTAGCTCTAAGGCCATAATAAAAATATTCCTAGATTCTCATCCCCCCCCGCCCCGATTTTATACCCCCGCCTCAATTTTTTTTATTTCTGTTTTTCTTCGTCGTAATTCTGATCGGGATCGGTATTCATCTACCATTCTACTTTCGTTTTAAATCCCGCGAAAGTCGACGTGATTTTAACAGCTGAAAAGATGGTAATTGCTGTAATACATGCGTATATATTTTAAACAAGGGCTATTGGTTGAAAAAGTTTGGTGATGATGTGAAGTAAGAGATAATTGAACCTTTACTATGCCTTTTATTCGAGTATTGTAGATAAAATTACACTGATTGACCAGGTCAATAAAAAATCTGCAAATTGAAAAAATATAAAATAAAAGCCCCCCACCCGCCTTGATTTTTTAAAAAAAATCGGATGAGAATCTAGCAATTTATTTATTATGGCCTAACTCATGTTTTATTTTGTATTTGTTTCAGACTTCTCTTCCTCTGTTTGGTTGGCCAATAATAACTACGCCTTCCCCCTGGTGGAGTACCAGTCAGCAGAGCTGATGAATGAGATGAAGGCCGCTCGATACCTCCTGGAGGACTCCTGTGATTTAACAGCCACTTCTGGAATTTATGCCAGCCCTACCAATGGGTGGACCAAGTGTAAGAAGCCCTGTGAAAGGCTTTATGTTTTTTTTAACACCTTTCTATTGAACAAATATAGTTCAGATCTGTTTAACCAAAATATTTTAGTTCTCTCCCTCAATCAGTTATTTAAATTTCCAAAAGTGTACTTCATTTAATACATTCATTTTCTGCATATTTATATAAATTAGTTTTAATCAATGTTATCTTTCAATAGCACATTTGAGGAGCACATATTGTTTGAAAGTGCAAAATTTCAGTTGAAAATGATTGTTTTCATGAACCCATTGTTTTTTCCCCAGTGTGTCCTTCCAACGTGATTCTGAGTAATTTGACCTCTGAGCCCATGGTCTGTCACCTGGACTATGCCTGTACTGGAGTGGACTGCTGTGTACGGGTGGACATGGTCAGTAGGACCTTCAGGACCAGTGTCAAACTGGACCCCTGCTCACATATAATGACCGTAACACTGGAGAGGATTTCTATCAAAGTGGACCTGCTGAATTATAATTTTGGTTAGGAATATTTTTATCATTTTGGTTTATTTATAGGTATAGATTGTGCTTTTTGTTATGATGATATTCAGAAACTTTGAGATTATTAATAGCATTTATTTCATATTCTTGCATCTATCTTCAGGAAGCACATCAGAATACAGCTTGGTTGGCATGCTGAGAATGAAGTGAGTAGTGTAACTTTTTACATGTAAAGGTACTTGTATTTGACATCTAAACAGATTAGAACCATATTTGTAATGACTGTCAAATGCTGTCTATTTCAGTTTGAACATCAAAGACTTGACTACAAAGAATTTGTATGCTGTGGATCTTGATATCAGTGTGTGCTTTGAGAGCAATGGAACTTGTGTCATTGTGGCCTCTGTTCTCAGTAATGCTCACCTGCCTAAACCAACATGTGATTGGAGCACAAATCTTCAAGGTAGCTTATTTGTTTTCCCTCTGGTGTGGTTAAGATAAGAAGTCTGAGTTGTGTAAAAAAAATTATTTAATGTAACTGGAATGAAAAGTACAATTTCCATCCAGGCTTCTCGCTGAGTAATTGGCTGGAGATGACAATGAAAGTAAATGGAAGCACAAGTCCTCTCCCATCCTATCTCCAGAACCTGTTCCTAGAGGAGCGAGGTATAGCTAACATGATGAAGGATACACCATGTAATCAAGCCTCAGATCTAATCTACACAGGCACAAAAGTTGATGGATGGATATCATGTAAGACTATTAGCATTACAAATCTATTTAAAAAATATTTTAATTCATTTACTATTCTATATTTTGACATTATGTAGATTTTGCTTCTTATCTAGTATGCAATTTTTGTTCAGCTTGCGCCTCAGGGCCTAACTTGCCTGTACTACCTGCTGGCATCACCTGCTATAACCCCTCTTCCTGCTCTGCAGCCACGTGCTGTATGGAAATCTCTAAACTCAATAAACGGCCCATAGAAGTGTCAGTAGACTTCCATGAGTGCGCCAACTATCTGGATCTCTCTATAGAACGAATACCTGTATCAGTATACCTACATACCTTTGACTATGGTAAGTGAAATCACTGTAAAATCTTCATCTTACTTTAGTTGTTTAATATTTACAGTAATTGTGTGCATGTATTCTGTATTCCATAAATCATTCCAAATATACTTAAGTCTGAAGTTTTAAAATAAGGAAAAAATTTTGGATGTTGTAATGAACACATACTCTGCTATCCTCATTTTGATATTTAAGTCTCATGTTAAATCAACTCTTTTCAGGGAGGGAACATAGAATGTCATTGAAAGGTGTTTTTGAAGTAGTGTAAGTACAGTTTGCAATGTTCTCCATTTTAGCACTATAATATAACAGCATCTTATTTTCAAAAGCTTGAACATCAGAAATTTAAGATGTGGTTGTCTTTTAGGTACACCATCACAAGAAACGTTGTGGAGAGGAAGTACTACTTTGACTTGTCTGTATCAGCCTGCTATGAAGCTTCAGGATGTGATGAAACTTTTGTCATCTTCAACCAGACTTCATTTGATATCACACAATGCACATACAATGATGGTTTCTTAAACACCTGTAAGCATTTCATAACTATTGACTTGTGATTGTTATAAATATGAAATTGAAATTTAATTGCCAGTTAGGACTATACTGTAAAATCACATATTTTTATGGGGCCAAATTTACGTGGTTTGAGGAAAATCTCTTGGTTCGTGGGGATTTGATTTCGTGGATCAAGAATTCAAACATTTGATATGGATGTAACATTTTATATTTCTGGACCATCATTTCCAAAACAACGAAAATTAACAAAAATGAAAAAAGTAAGGTCGAATATGCTCCCCAAATCACATATATATCTTTTTATTTTTTAACCCCCCCCCCCCCCCAAAAAAAATTGAATAGCTTAACAAGCAATATATCTTACTTTCTTTATGAGTAAAAATGTTTATAACTTTGTTTTGCAGCATTTTCCTTGGCTAGTTGGATGTCAGAGAGATCTATAGCTGGAGAAGAAAACATAACAGCTGTCCAGTCCAATGAGCTGATGGTGGAGCTGGGTCTGGATCATTTCTTATCTAATCCAGACAGGTGCTCTCTGGAGGATTCCATATTTGGAGCAGCCAATGACTATGGCTGGAACAATGGTAGAATTGATTCATATTGCCCCCAGAAAAGCTTATTTTTTGACAGATTTAGCTGTAATTCTATAGAATATTGGATATAGGGATGTAGGAATGTGTATTGAATAGAAACTTGTTCATGTCAGTTCTTTTGTGTAATTCCAGAATGCACTAGCTTCCCTAATGATACAGTGACCAATATAACGGACACAGATAAAGTGAGATGTCACATCCCCTCCAGCTGTGATAGGGTGCACTGCTGTGTGTACATCCCGCAGGTCAGACATCACGCCAAACTGGAACTCAACATGGACACCTGTAACTATCAGATGGAGGGAGCCATTGATAATCTTAGAAATACTTACGGTCTCTTTGAATATGCATGGTGTAAGTAACTTTCAATAAAATGCTTACATTTTATTTATCTATAAATTTTAAAAAGCTTGTATTTTTCAAAAATTTTCATTTGATTTTTTTTAGCCCAAAATGAGCAAATATCTCTCCATGGAGTGATACGATGGGGGTAAGATTTTGATTTATTTATTGTATAAAAGATATTTTTACTTTTATTCTGCTTTAGTTGATTTTTAATGGAATCTTAATTCTCTAGGATTAAAAAATCAGTTAAAATATATATACATTTGTATTCGTCAATCATGCATCATTGATGTAAGCATAATCTTTTTCATAGAACACTTAACTTTGATCCAGACATAATACATGTACATGTATGTAAGTAAATTTATATGCCAGTATTATTAGAGATAAATTCTATCAAATCTTGTCAAATCTTTGCACTTTAGGTACCACGTGACTCATCAAAGTTCAAAGAAGAAGTTCACCGTGGATGGGACAATAAAACTGTGTTTTGAACAGTCTTCATGCAGTCTGGATATTAATGTGTTCCAGAATTTAGCATTAGGATATCAGACTTGTGCTCCTAATGACACTGTACCATTTACAGGTCAGTGATAGATGGATTTTCCATCTAAGTTCATAATGTGTTTCAAAGCAATGCTTTAAAGAGATTAATTTTAATTCTCACAAAATCAAAAGAGTGTTCTTTAGATTTAAAAATTTAACAGGGAATTATATACATGAAAATATATATAACATCTTTAAAGAACCTTAATGATAAAAATGCTAGTCATTTTGAGTGAAAAAAGGATAATATTCTATTGTTTATTCATAGCTTATCTTGCATCAGACAAGTTGATGAATTTAATATTCATAGGTTTGTCAAATATTTTTTAAATATATAGTATTTGAAAGGATTTTTACTTAATATAAAAACCTAAACTGGAAATTTTTGAATAATTTTTGCAAATTTGCGAGTTCATTGCATTCGCAAAAATATTAAAAATAAATTACCAATAAGAAAATGTAAACAAAGCAGTGGTCATTCGCAAAATTTTGAAACGTAAAAATTTATAGACCAAAATAAAATGGTTTTAAACATCCAATTTTATGATTTAATACCTGCTCTACCCTTATTAATTCTACAAAAGACATTCAAAACCTTACCAGTAGCAAGAATGAACTCTGTAAACATGAAATATCACAAATTGTAAATATCTTCTCATCGCATTTCTTTTCGAAAAGAAAAGAAAAATGTGGAACGAACTTTCTTAACAACCTTTAGTTGTTGTGTTTCAGCATTTGGAATATTTCCAAGACTTAGAAAAAATTTACATACATGTATAAGAAAAAAAAACAATTCTTTGATGTAGAAATAGAACTCATCTAGCCTGGGAATTTAATATTCATAAGTAAATATGCTTTTTTAAAATGTATAATTCAATTTTTACAAAAAAAAAACTACAGAATAATTGAATTGGACCCCAGATTAAAATTTGTCAAATTGAGGAAAATTAAACCAATGGTTTCAGATATTTTGGCTATTTAAAATAAATCTAATGCAAAAAAAAAAAAGAAGAATAGAAGAAAACTAGATGAGGTCACTGTATTTACCTCTTAATATGATGATCTTTATTGTACGATAGAAATAAGACTCGTTATAAATAAATTGATGCCATATGTTTGAATTTTATTTCAAAAAATAATTGAAAGTAGATTATTAAAACATTGACATTATAAAATATTTCTTTTCTATCTTCACTGCTGTTTGTTACTTGTAAGTGTTATATCGTCCACGTTATATTTGAAAAAAATTAAGAAACCGGCACATTTCAATTTGACGATTTAAAGTATTTTTTAAGAAATGGGATATAACAAAAATATTCAGCACTAATAAACGGCATAGCATAGTTTTTAAAAGATGTTTATTTTGTACTATGGCTACAATCCGCACGATATTGTACAGAAATTGATGTCAGAAAATGCCACATTTGGTGGTCTGTATATATACGTAATGAAAATATTTTAATAGTGATCGTGAAAAGAAATCTTTCTAACAATAAAATTTTTTTAACACATGTAAATCAAAAATTGGAAAAAAAAATTTGTGTAAATGCATGTTCACATGCACGATGGATAGGTGGATTAATAATTTATTTTATTTCAATATTCAGACTCTTTTAATCAAGTGATTTCTTTTATTTGAGATTAAAAAGGATAAATATTATTAATTTGTATTTTTTACTCGTGATTTTTTCTTTTATGTGAGGAAAACATTTTCTAAAACGATATTCATGTATCTTATTTTTTTCCTTCAAAACATTACCATGATTACGATGAATGCGTTAAGTTTACAAATAAATTTCATATTAAAATAATTATTTACGTAGTTTCACTCAAAACCAGACACAAAACACGTAATGTTGACCCTGATTACCAAACACAGACTTCCTGTGTAATGCTACGTATACATAGATTTTTGACATCTTGGGTATTGGGGGTCTCCAGGTAAATAACACCACTGTTATATAGACGATGTCTCAGGTAATTTTTCAAAAAAAATTGGGTGAAAATATTTTGGATATTTAAAATAAATCTGATGCAGCCTTCTGAATGACCAATATAGATAGTGATAATATTCTTTTTTTCTGGTCACTTTTTAAGAAACAAAGATTAAGTAAAACAGATTTCATGAGTATTTTGTTTGACTTTAAGTCTAAGTCTGCTTCATCATCCTTGCACTCTAGTTTACAATAGATCTCGATTTTATTTTGCAGGTGTAAGCTTTGACTTTTGGAGACAGACACAGTGCACCCCATTTACTTTTAACACTGGTAAGAAATTTTCATGCAAATTAGAAAAACAAGTTTATTAAGAGGAAATGAACAGAAATATTCAGTACTGACTACTGAGAATTAAATTGTAGGTGCTTGTCCAAATATTAGAGAAGTCAATTCAGCAGTGGCTCTTTCAAAGTGTCACTATCTTCATGACTGCAGTGGGTTGGAATGCTGTATTGACAGTGCCTACACACTTGGAAATCGCTCCATCTACTTCAAGATCAGAATAGATTGTAATTTTCTTGAGTACCAAATTGAATCAAAATCTGTCACAAAATCTTTGACAGCCCTCACTGATGGTAAGTTATTACTTTGAAACATAAAACAAAAAAAATTTATGAAATGCGTGAAAATGAATACATGTACTAGGATTTTTTATTTCTGACAATGACTTTGTGTTTTATTTATCAAAATAGATGAATGAAGTGTGTGTTTTTGTAAAGTAACAATATATTGCATAATTAGTCAACATATAAACCTGAAGTCTAACAATATCTTTCTGTGTTTTTTAGGAACATTATACACAGAAGACATTGGAACGGGACCATCCTTCCAGCTGAATTATCAGAAGACAAAAACTGGTGTAGAGTATGGCCTTGGAGCCACTCTTGTCTTTAATGCTGTGACATCAGATCCATCAGAAACAGTCACACATGATATATTGAATGCTACAACTGTAAGGATTAATCCTCCTTCTTGTACTGGGAAAAAGCGTAGAAGAAAGAGAAACGCCCAGACGACTGATCAGTAAGAAAATACTAGGGCAATGTACTTAGTACTGTGAACTAGTACATCTTAAATGAGGTTTAAAATTAATTTTCAAATATTTTTAATCATGCTTAACGAGGCCCGATCTAGTTGAACTGCGCATACGTTTTAACGCAGCGTCGACTCAGGCACGTCACAGTACCCTTGACTGCCGTCGCAATTGAACACAATAACGTCACAATTAAAATGACGTCAAATTGCGCTAAAATGTTTCGCTGATCCTGCATACCTGGTAACTCCATAGACTGTACATGTTGAAAGCTGGTATTTCTATTATTTACATGTTTTTTTTTAAATATTTTTTTTAATTGATAAACAACTTTGGAACATGATTTATTTTCAGGTATCAATATCTTGGTACATATTCATTAATTTTACATTGTTTTATTTTAATTTGTGAGTTAAAAAAAACAAACACTGCAACCGAAAGTATAAATAAAATTTACGATTTTAGTCTTTCTCCTTGAACATGTTGAAGTCTTTATACACACCTTTTTTTTGAGGACTTAAATATGCTTGATTTAAAAAAATCAGTCTTTGAATCATTTAAAGCAACCCCCAATATATTTTATTTTTCTATATATTACATGATATTAGTAAAATTCATCATTTTCGCCTTTTACCCCCCCCCCCCCCCCCCCCCCTTCCACGTATAACAACGCCGCATATAAAGAAAAAAAAAAAGAAAGCCTGAAGAGAAAATTATTTCAAAATGTAAGAAGTATTTATTTTTTAGAAACTAATACAGTATTGCATCGTTTGTTGATGTTATGTACACCTATGGTGACTTATTTCATGTCTAGTTGGATAAAATAAGTGCTAATTTTGTGTTTCGATATGCCCCCTTTTCACTGCAATAAAGGCTACCTTCAATTTTCTTTTCATTTTTTATAAGAAGAATGAAAATTGCATGGTATATGTGAAAAACAAAAATTTTCATCATGTACCTTTTTTTAATTTTCAATATCTTTGTTTATTGGAGGGTTTTACTATGTTATTGTGTATAAAAACACAAAAAATGGTCCATATCTTGACAGTGCCCCCATTTGACTACAATAAAGGCAAGGTAATAAAATTTCATTCTAATTTTTCTTTGCATAATACATACAAAAATATTTCCAAATATTAAATTTTTTTATCATTCCGTTTTCGTAATTTTCAACTAGATCGGGCCTCGTTAAGTCCAAATAATGCATTGTTTCATTCAATGAAGGTTGCATTTAATAAAAATAATGTATCATGTCTTTCTACCAAACAAAGCAATCATATTCAAATGTAATATCTTTGAACATTTTTCGAATATTCTTTAGCTCCGTTTTTTTTTTTTTTTTTCATTTCATTCAACAGGCTTGATCCAAAAGATTTTTCAGCAGGACTAAGAATTCTTATGAAGAATGGGGCTTCTTCAGAAGAGATAGAAGCTTTCAAACAAAAGTGTGAGGAAGCTGATGTAAGTCTTGGCTAGCTGAAGATATTACAGTATTTTTCTATTATTACTGTTTTAAGGAGTTATTTGATTGTTTTGATATGTTATGGAAAGTTGAATATATAATTTACTGTTTAATTTTTTTAATAACTTATTTAAAGAAAGCAGAAAAAGAGCAGAACTTGCAGGGAGCACCTGTTGCGGAGGACGATTTCAGTACGAGTATTAAGTCTGGAATCGAGGCTCTAGGAGCAGGAAACCCCATGACAATACAGACAGGGGGACCCTTACCAGGGACTGTCACAGTACAAGGAGGTCAGCACATTCAAACAGCACTCAATTGTATCTAGCAATCTGTTATATAAGTTATACTATATAGATATGCTACAAGAATGTTTTTTTCATATTATAATTGACGTGCGATCAATATTTTGATGATTCTTTTCACAGTGATTACCAGTATAATGACTCTGTGAAGATAGTAATTTAACTGCCAAACATTTGTTATCCAATTACCACTTACTCACAGTGAATTTCTTTCAGTAATATATTTTATTTTCTTAATATATACTGTACATAGGTGATGCTATAACTGGGATGATTGGAACTGTGCAAGAAATTGCTGGGCGAGCTAAGCAGGCCTTCATTGTGGGTCAAGGGTTATCACCAGAGGGCGCTAAGCTGTTAGGCAAGAAATTAGCCTGTATGACCATTGGTGACCTAGAGGGCTTATTGGAGATGAAGAACATCGATCCCTTCAAAGTGGCTGAACTGATAGGCCATCTCAAGGATCTGGCCAAAGCTTTGGTAAGAGTGATTTATTCAATACACTGTAATTAAATTCTAATAAGTAGAAAATTATATAAATTTTGTATAGTTTGTTACAGGAAATTCTAGGGGTAAAATATTTCATACAAGTAATATAATCTGTTGAATAGAAAATGACTAAAAAATGATGTAATTTTGTGTATAGATGGTTGCAGAGAATTGTAGAAATGGTGTCATGTAATTTGTTAGAAAATGATATAAATTGTTTATACACTCAGTAAAACAAACTTGAAAAAAAAATAAAGTTCAGACTTTATTAAAAAGTCACAGGAACTGAAAATCACTTAACTGTAAGCATTGATTCATTATGAGTATGTTAGTTAAGAGTATGTTTTACTCTAGATGGTCATTGAAAATAATATTAATGAATTTTAAATGAAATTGATGATTAATTACATGATTTTGAATTCTTTATTTACAGTACTCTGAATTCATAACAAAGGTGTTGAGCGATGCTGAAAATATCTTCAGTAGTTTTGATCTGGAGCTTAAAGGAGATTTTAGTTTTCCTAAACAAAATGTAAACTTCTTCAAATTCAACAAGATCTTTTTCGTTGGTGGCTTAATCACAATGACATTTGGTAAGTTTTAGAAGATTTTCCTTACATTCCTGATAATTTTTACACTTTTCTGTGGTCACATTTACCCAGTTTCTTAATTTTATTATACTTGAAATGTAATGGTCTAAAAATAAACTTTCATGATTTTGTAACATTCTGGCATCTCTAAGGTCTGTAAACGTGATTGAAATGGAGATGGTTAAAAATATGGATGTACTAGCAATGTCAATCAAAGCAGGTTATTTATGTCATAAGTGCCTTGACCTAGTTTTGTACATAGATGTCCGTTTTGTGTGTACAATGTAGGATTTGGAGCTGACGGTTACTATGGCATGAAGTTTGTGGTTGGAGCCAAGATCATGGATATGAAGGGTACAGCTGGTTGTGAGCCCTATGGTGGGGTGTCTGTCTGGGGAGAGCTTGGCATCGGCTTATTACTGTACGGAAAACTTCGTCTGGAGGGAAACATCATGGATATGGGATTCCCCACCACTGCTGAAATCGGATTCAAGAAGTTCCCTCTGGATGTTCAGTAAGTTGTGAAGCATTGATTGAATCTGATTAAAATCAGATACTTGTGTATGAGCAGATCAAAGGATCTGATTTTAATCATTTAAAGTGGCTGGAGGGTCAACAAATTAACCACAAATTAACCACCAGATTTGACTTATTTTGTTAGATACGGTATCTTAAGCTGTCAACTATCATTTAGCAAAGAAAAAATTCATACATTTTAGTTTTAAAATTTGATCATTTTTGTATATCTTTATATGGAGATCTTTTAAAGGAGATCAAAATAGTCTGAAAATGGCTGCCACCCCCCAGCCTCTTTAATAATCATGATTGAGCATTGACCGATTCTGACAATTTGCACATTTATAGTTCTATCAGCATAGTTACAAAATAACATTTTGAATTTTTAAGCCTGACTATGTACCTGCGTTTGACCCCAATCAAGTTGACACTATATGCCCTGGTGACTCTAGAGGTTGATTTAGGCTTCACCAGCTTCAAGAAAGTTTTATTTAAAACCAAACTCTGGCGCTACAAAGCTCCCAGTATTATGAAGTTACTTATAGACAACACAAAGAAAGAGGAAGACAAGTCTCCACCAGAAGTCAAAAGCTTTGGGGTAAGTCAATGAACAATACTAGCAATAACTTTTAATTTTTATTTGTAAACATAAATTGTGTAGGGACAGTTACTTTTATTTCTGAATGGTTTTGATTTATTCTATGAAAAAAGTTTTATTCTCATTCAATAATTTTTCTTGACCGTTTCCTGATTATTATACTTAGAATCTGGATGCCAAGATACATGTTTATTTGGAAAATTGTGATTTTTCTTACCCTGAACTAGAAAATAATTTTAAAGAAATTGAAAATTGATCTCAGGGTGACACCAAGGAGGGAGAATGTGGAGTACTACAGGAGATTGGCCGTGACCATACCGAGCCCGAGTTTACTGTGTTCCTGGAAGCTGAGGATGACAGAAGTAATGTTATTCTGACCCTAGACATTGGTACTAATCCAGGAGGAATTGATGTCATGACAGGCAAAGAACTCGGAGGCTTCTCAACAACTCTCAATGATGTAAGTTTACTGCTTCTCAGTTAAACATGTATATAATATTAATATGTGACCCCCCCCCCCCACTATTTTTTTTTTAAGAGGGGGGTAGGATGCTTTGTTGGATCATGGTTGTACATGGTAGTTTTCTTGGAAGTGTTGTGTACCTTTTCCCAATTCTAGGATTTTTTGAACTGTCACCATATAAATACAAATGATATGTACATTTTTCTGGAAAATTGTACAACTTTAAAAGCAAACTTTATAGAAAATTTGAATTTCTGATGAACATTCTTAGATACTTCAGCCAGCTGGTCTCCCCTTATATTTCACTGTCCATGTGGCCAATGAGGCAGGAAATAGTATTAGGGCATCCTGTAGACTACCAACCTACGACATGACCATACCAGGGGGAAGAATGACAGAAGCTTTCCAATCCACCAGCAATGCCAAAGTCCTGAAAGGTACTGTCACCGTGTACGACGACTCTGCTATTGAGGTGAGCCAGGTAGCAGTAGGGTATGGAAAGGACATCTATGGAGAGCAGATTATCAGATGGACTAAATCAGACATACAAGCCAACACCATTGACTATAATGTGGGTGAGTGTCAAATTCAGATTGGGGAAATTTTAGGGTTCATGTTTTATAATATTTTGTATTTCTAATGACTTTGTGAATTACTTCAGATATTTATCTTTTGAATGTTAGATATTTAATGGAAAATATAATGTACTTCGAGAGATTTGATCATAATTATTCTTATAACAATATTGCATAAACAAGCCTCCTTTTAATTTTGTTTTTCAATATTAACATAGCCCCTGATCCCCTGCATCAGAAAGTGTTGACCTTGTTTTCTGATGGTAAGATGGCCAGACTGGTGGGAAGGGGAATCGTGGTTGCCGAGTTCCAGAAAATCTCCACCCCTGGAGAGTGTGCCACTCTGTGTAACTCGATGCATGTCTCTAAGTGTCTCAGCTTTAACTACGACTTTGGAGAGAGTGGGCATTGTGAACTGTTAGAAGGAATAGAGGGGCATGACCACAAAACGTCATTAGTAAGGAGAAGCTATGAAAAATGATTTCTCATACATGCAATTAACATTAAATTTGATCAAATATGATTTATTTTGTGAATTAAGCTGCATTTTGTTTTTACAAATTGAGACAGTTTGAAAATTTTCTTAGAGGAAATTTGAATACTGTTGCTTAAGTTTTCTCTCATTTCTCTTCAATTAAAATGTGTATATTTTTAACTTTCCTATTAAAGGATGGCCTGTATATGCATTATGAAAAACTGGGCATTGGATCAAACATGGCTTTTGAGTATTCCAACCTCCAGATGCTGCACAACAAGCTGCACTACTTTAACTTCCACGTGACCAATGTCTTAGGATATCAGAACATCCTGTCCTCTCAGTCTATCATCACAGACTTCACCCCTCCCCACTACACAGAAGGTAAAACTCCTCATATACTGTAGATTGATTCATAGTGTTTATAAAGGGGGACATTTACCTAAAATTAGTAAATGACTAGGTTTTCCTCAGAATTAATTTTGCTTCTTTATGAAATTGGAATTATTAAAGATTTTAACATGAAAGTAAAAAAAAAAAACATTGCAAATTATAAAGAGCAATGTTTGTAAGTTTTTCTTGTCAATGCAGGTGTAACACAGGGGGTTGATACATGTAATAGCCCCAATTATATCTGATATACACAAGGACAAACTTGTCACTATAGTTGCCCTCCTCTTTAGATTGTTTTATTGTATCATTCAGCACAAATGAATGTATCCAGTGACATCAAGGAAATTGTGAGCTGTCCAGATATAATTCCAAATGACCGCACGGACTGGGAGAGGATTCACTGCATTGGGATGGATCCCAAGTTTAAGAACCACCGTATTGTGGTGGATGGAGAGGGCTCGGAGACGGTGTACAATGGTCATGAATTTAAAACAGATCTGAGGTACACCAGAGCCAACAGATATGTCTCAGGTCAGTGTAATAAAGCAATGCTGAACACTCTTTATACTTTAAAAAATATATTGGTATATTTGCATCACACATAATCAAAGTGTACATTTTTTTTTACATGTCTGCCTTGCACCCTAGAGTTGCAACCCTATACTTAGACCTGATTAATATGTGATATTATCTCCCTTCAAGACATACCATAATAAAACTATTAACCTTAAAAATTCAAATTTAATGGAGAAAAAAGTAGAAAAAATTAATTACCAGTTGTCTACTGAAGAAGACATAATAAATTGTCTCTATAAACATGACACATGCTCTAGACCAATCAGATTGACTATTATGCTGACGGATAATAAACTATGTAGTATCCCCACTGAACAGTCTAAAATAATTTTTATGTCCCCCTTCGAAGATTGCTTTGCTGCTGTCTATCAGTCAGTCAACCATCAGTTTCCATTCATTTTCTTTGTAGAGGTTGCACATATCGAAATGATATTTGATAAACAGATTTATCATAAAAATATCTAGGTCAAATTCTGTTTTGGGTACAATCGAGCCATTTTGGAAAGAGTTGGGCCTCTTGCACTTAAAAAAATTCCAATTATTTGCAGTTTCTGTTCATTTTCTTTGCAGAGGTTGCTTATTTTGAAATGAAATTTGGTATACAGATTTATCATAAGAATATCTACATCAAGTTTTGTTTTGGGTATGATAAGCCATTTTGGACAGAGTTATGCTCTTGGACTTCGAAAAAATCCAATTCATTTGGGGGAGGCGGGCATAAGTGTTTTACAAACATCTCTTGTTCTACCTTTTAATTTGGGTAAGACATTGAGAACTTGAAATTTCTTGATGAGTATCTCCATGCCTTATGTTTTACAGCTAACTGGGATGGGATCTATGACCATGAGACTGGATTGCTCGGTTACTCTGTAACAGTGGGCACTCAGCTGTGTGAGGAGAAACTGAAGGATCATCATGATCCCCACGCTCACTTGTTTGACCGCTCCCAGTGGACCAACAGTGTCATGATGACCCCCCTGGTGCCTCCCAGACTGCCAGGTCAAACTTAAAATCATAATAAATGAGGAACTAATAAATAATGAAGTATATTCTTTTGCATACTGCTTTTGAGAAATTTTGCCTTGATAAATCAAAATTGTGATTCAATTTCAATTTGGTGCATATATTCAGGGTTCGACACTAACATTTTTAGGCTTTGGTCCGGCCGGACTAGTGCTTCTCTACTTTTACTAGTCCGAGGGCAATTTTATGAGTCCGTCAAAAATATAAATAAATAAATAGAATTTATGTTGCAATGTATTTTTTAATACTTTTTGAAATAAACAAAGCATTTACATGAAATGTTTATACCAAGAATTCATTGAAATCGCTCAATCAGGAACTACGATCGTATTCCCGATCTCATTTGTTTTTCGCTATACATTATTACATCATCCAAACATCCGACATCTTTCTTCATGTTTCATACAAAATCATGATCGCTAAGATGTTTAATTTCATACCAATGAGTCCAAAATTAAGCGCGAATTGACTCAGTATTACCTAACTTCCCGCCAAGAAGCTAGAAAGTTAAAAATAAATGCGGGGTTTTCCAGTGAAAGTTGTCGAGAATTTGAACATCGGTAAATTCTTTTTTCACCCCCAGAAAACTTTATTAGTCCGTTCGGACTTATTAGCTAAAAATTTTATTAGTCCGAATGAAAATGTATTAGTCTGAGACTAACGGACTAACGTTATTGTCGAACCCTGTATATTATTATTTAATACTTTAAAGTACATGTACCTTCAAGAATTTTATGAACAGCCTCAAGTCAAAACTTCAAACCAATATAATGTTAAATTAAAAAAAAGTTTGATGGTGAAACAAAATTTTCATCATATGTTTGAATTTGAATGTAATATATGTGTAAGAGATTAACAAATCAAAATTTGACTTGTCTTTTCTTATTGTGTGGTCTTTAAAAAACGGAAAATTTTTAAAAATGTGCATGCAATTATGATTTAACTTAGTCATAAAAAGTAATGCATCATTGACTTTACAATAATATTATAAGAATATTATGATGTATTCTTTAGATGGACCATACTTTGTGACAGTACGTGCTATCAACAAAATAGACTATGGTGGTCCCTTGGCTCTGTCTATTTGTCACTCCACGCCATACATCATTGACAACAGTCCTCCATTTATCTACGAGATTTTCAATATCAAATATGATGAAGAAAATTTCAATTTGAGTTTGAGCCACAATTCTACGTAAGTTTAATTTAATTTGAATGATCAAAGGAAATCAAATATATATAAACATTATCTAATATTCCAATCTTAATAAAAAAATTTGCATTTTTATTCAGTTTTTGAACTTTACACACAGATAAATATGCCAAGTGAAAATTGAATGTTTAGTCTTTAAAAAAAAATGAAGATTTCTCTCTCTTTTTTGTTTGGAAATTATTCTGTGAAATTGTTTTGCGACCAAATTTTTTTTTCTTAGGAAAGAATTTTAAAAAAGCCATTCAAGTCCAATTTACAAGAAATTTAATTAATAAGAGATTGAGTCTTAAAAAATGGATAAATTGAAATTATTAATAATCTTTAGATTAAAGATAACAGATATAAATTTTCAGTATTTATGTGTATCAAAAAAATTTAAAAACTGTGTTGCTTTATATAGAGATCCTGAGTCCGGTTTGAACAGGAATGACTTCTGTCTAGGAAGGACAACTAGAGACTGTGATGAATTAATGTGGAGTCCAATCGACTTCAATCCAAACATCACTCTGTTACACAGGATCACTAATGGTGTCCCAGTCTGGATCAAAATCAAGGCTGTAAATAATGGTAAATATCACTGTAGTCAGAGTCTAAAGGTGTAAAAAAAATGGTAAATACCACTGTATGGTTAATATCACTGTAGTCAGCATTCTAGTCAGAGTCTGAATGCTGTAAAAAAAAAAAAGTGGATATCACTGAAGTCAAAGTCTGAAGGCTATAAATATCACTGTAGTCAGAGTCTGAAGGCTGTAAATATCACTGTAGTCAGAGTCTGAAGGCTGTAAATATCACTGTAGTCAGAGTCTGAAGGCTGTAAATAATGGTAAATCATATTTATAATGATTGTATTCTTATCTTACTTGTAGTGGATTTAAGAACCATTGGAATAGCAGACTCCCCCATCATTGTTGACCAGTCCCCTCCTGTGGCAGGTCAAGTGTTTGATGGAGAGATTTCTGGTGAAGACCTGACTTACATGAAGGATAACAACAAGGTAAAGAAATATAATTGTTCAACAAGGGGGGGGACATTATATCACTGATGTCTTGATAAAAAACTAAAATCTTACAAAGACTTATCAAAGTTAAAATGCATCAGCAAAAATTTTGATAAATACGGAATCCTCATTTCAGATCTGCAGCAACTGGCAACACTTTTTTGACCCTGAGTCTGGTATTGCCATGTACATGTTAAGTGTAGGATCTGAGAAGAATATTTCTGTAACAGATGTTGCCAACAGGACCCAGTTCTCTGCCAGAGAGAGCAAAGCCTGCATAGAACTGCCCCCCTCCAGATACCTCCAGCATAACCAGATCTACTACACTACAATATGGGCTTACAACGGAGGCAATAAACAACTCAATGTCTCCATGATCTCGGATGGAGGTCTGTTAACAGAATCAGAAAATTGATTTTAAAAATTATAAAATATCCGTGTAAAATACATGTATACCAGTAATTTACCTGTGAGAATTTAACAGAATATTAAGTATGAAACTGCTGTCATGGAGTTTCCCTGACCATTAAGTTAGGATTTTTTAAATAATTGATTTCTTTTTTGTTCCAGTGCTGGTTGACCTGACAGAACCTGAGTCTGGAGAAGTGATTGATGGGAAGGAGGCGACCTTTACTGACCTTCAGTTTACAACCAATCAGGCCAAAGTCGAGCTTCAGTGGAGAGATTTCCAGGATCCCGAGTCACTGATCAAACAATACGAAGTACAAGTGGAAAGTGCCAAGTGAGTTCATATGTCAGAATCTGTCAAGGTGAAAAATAAAAGGCATTTAAAAATTCGATTTAGCAAGAAGACCTGATGCATTTCTTTGTGAAGAAATAAAATGCAAATACAAAAAAGTGGAAGTATAGGTTTAAAATGTTCATATTGTGATTATTTGTTGAGTGAACACATGGTTTTACTGCTTTCATGATAACATTATATTCCAGGAACATGAGTGAGGATTACATCGTTGTAAGAAACTGGACATTATTCTCCAATGCCACCAACAGTGTCACATGGTTGAACTTCCACCATCAGCATAGGGACCGTATCAGAACCATTCTGAAGACCACTAATGGAGCCCTACGGTCCATTTCTAACTCTACTGACAGCTTTGTGGTGGACCTGACGCCACCTCTGTTACTGTATATCAGGGATGGGGCAAGCACCAAGGATAGGGATTACCAGGTTGGTTTGATTCTAAAGAAATCTTATTACGCTACCTTATAGACACTTAAGTTCATTGAAATGATAGAGGTTTCTGTGGAAATTCCAGATTTTAAAAAAAGGAGTATATAGGAAAATGGAACATATGAAATTACTTGGAGAACCTTAGATTGCTTCATGATATTCTAGTGTCTGCTTAGGCCCTTGGCTCACTAGTATTTTAAAAGTGTTATATGCCTATCATGCTTCTGTGTTAAGTGGAGTGTTATTTTACAGTCTGAGCTGGATAGATTGACAGTGAGCTTTAGCTATGTGGACAAGGAGTCTGGTGTTAATCACTACAAAGTCCAGATCTATGAACTGTATCAGGGAACAAGAACACAGAAATACCCAGGTCAGTTTTCTTTTCATTTATATTCTACATATATGATTGATTAGATTATTTCATCATTTCATTTGGCTATTTTTATATTTTTAAAAAATGATACAATATACATGTACATGTGTCTCTTATCCACTTAACTTCATAGAGGAGATTAATATTCTGCTCTTGTATACAGCAACAAAGAATGATTGGAAGGAGTTGACAGACAAAACAGCCACTAGCTACACTTGGACAGGCCTGACTCTGAGGGAAGGAGCCCGCTACAGTGTGAGAGTGGCAGCCATTAATAATGCTGGCTATCTCGCTCCATTTGAAACCAATGGTGTCATCATTGATACATCTCCACCCATTGTAAGTACATTACCAACAATGATAGTAAAGCAATTATTAAAACTTAAGACTAGAAAACTTCATATGATTCAGAAAAAAATGTTCAAATTGGTTTTTATTTAACAGGATTTTATGCAGTAAGAATAAAGTTTTTACTTTATTTTGTAACATTTTCTAGTTATTTATGCTCTGATATAACTGGTATTATACAGTTTTGCCTTAATTTTGTCTTCCCTAGGTGTTCTGGCTGAGGGTAGGAGTGATAGGAGGAGCTCCAGAGCAGAAGGTAGAGGGGTATGTGTGGCAAGCCGACACCAAGGGAATCAAGGTCTCCTGGCTTAGTGATGATCCTCAGTCAGGAATTGCAGGTTATAGGGTGGCTGTTGGCACCACACCAGGTAAGACTTAGTAATTCATGTTTCCTCAAAGCAATTATGCTGTGTTCTTTGGCCCAGCAATGAAAGGGGATGAGGCTAATATGCATAGGACAAAAAAAGGGGGGGTGCTCTTTTTCAAGGACTGACCTGACCAGGATTATTTCAGCATGTTAAAGTCATCAATGTTTTGGATGTTCAAAACTGATTTCCTTTTATTGTGTAGGAGGGACAGATACTTTGAACTGGAAGGCAGTGGGAGCAGAGAGTAGTCAGTATATCACAGGACTGTCCTTAGAGCTGACCAATCAAACAACCAAAACACCTGTGTATTATGTCTCAATGAAAGCAGAGAATGGCGCCGGCATTGTCAGCACCCAAGCCATTACATCCACTCCTATAGTGGTAGTACCAGAAGATAAAGCAGGTGAGGTCTAATATCAAATTATTTTGATTCTGGATTGCAAGTTTATGATAAAACTATGTTTTACTAGTTAAGCTATAATTAACTTGGAAAATTTAAGCAAAGTGAATTCTTGCTGCTATGATGACTATAATTCTCATAAATTAAAATGTATCATTTGGAGTGATTTGCCATCTCTTTTATAGGTATTGTTGTTGATGGAGCTGAAAATGTTGATAAAGTGATAAATAGTGGTGCTGCAGTAGACATTACTACAGATGTGGATTATCAGCTGGATTCCAGCACTGTGTCAGTCCAATTCTCTGGATTCGAGTCCTCTCTTCATGGGGTCATGCACTTTGAAATGGCAGTGGGCACAAATCCAGATGGAGGAGAGGAGGTTTTGGCTTATACTGACTTCAACATTGTTCACATTGAAGAGTCCAACACTACTGGAAACGGTGATTCAATATTGACAATTTTGTTTTCAGTGGTCAATGATTTTGATAAATTCTTTAATGTCAGAATTATATTATTAATAAAAATTACCGTAATGACAAGCGAATGGAGAGTTGTAAATTTACTGCAAAATTCTTTATAGGTTTGACAAGTTCAGGATATGCCCAGGCCAATCTCCCACTCAGACCTAACACTACCTACTACTCCACAATTAGAGGTGTGACAAATGATGGGAATGTATTACAGACAACCTCTGATGGATTTACTGTAGACCAGTCACCCCCCACCATCACTATTGACAGGTCTGTGTAGCAATTCATGTTCAGTTCTATAGAGAATATGTTTAGAAAAAAGATTTCCAATGGGTTACTTAACACGTTGAAGTATTGGAAAAATTGTATAATTTATTACAGACTGACAAGGCATTCAGCAGCTGACTCGGCAGTTGGAGAGGGCAGCATGGTTTACGAGTCCACAGAAGATGCCCTGTCTGCTATGTGGCATTACAATGAGACAGAGTCGGAAATCGTCAGGGCCTGGTATGGAGTGGGCACGTATCCCTATGCTGATGACATTGCCCCACGAAAAGAAGTCCCCATCTCAACCTCCCTCTCAAGCTTCTTAGCTAATAATGAAGTGAAACCAGATACTTCAGGTATGATTTCAGATTCATTCAAAAGAACCAGCAAGTTGATTTTTGCCATGTTTGCATTCCTGAGTGTTTAGACATGGATGATTTTTTGATCTACAAATAGTTTTATTTTGAAAAAACAAGAGTCACAATGTTGTAAACTTTTCACATTTTATTTTTTGAACCGCAGGCAAACCAAACTTATACAAAGTGTGTGGGTGAAGGGGATTCAAGTTTGTTCAAATAAAGGGCCACGCCCTTATTCAAGGGGAGATAATTGGGAATTAATGAAAATTTAGTGGCATATTTAAAAAATCTTCTTCTCAAGAACCACTGTGCCAGGAAAGATGAAACTTATGGGGAAACATCCTCAGGTAGTGTAGATTCAATTTTGTTCAAATCATGACCCCCGGGGGTAGGGCAGGGCCAAAATGGCCTACCAAAGTTTTACATAGAAATATATATAAAAATTCTTTAAAAATCTTCTCAAGAATGACAAAGCCATAATTCCATTTTATGTGGGAATGCAATCAGGTAGTGAAAAATTTTCAAATCATGACTCCCGGGGTAGGGCGGGGCCAAAATGGCTCAAAGTTTTTAGAAATATATAGGAAAATTCTTTAAAAATCTTCTTCTCAAGAATGACAAAGCCATAATTCATATTTTGTAGTGAAGATTCAAGTTTGTTCAAATGAAAAATGGCCAACCAAACTTTTACATAGAAATAAATAGGAAAATTCTTTAAAAAATCTTCCAAGAATGACAAAGCCATAATTCATCATATTTATATGGAAGCATGTTCAGGTAGTGTAGATTCAAGTTTGTTCAAATCATGACCCCCACAGACCAAAGTTTTACATAGAAATATATAGGAAAATTCTTTAAAAATCTTCTTCTCCAGAATGAAAAAGCCATAATTCATCATATATATATGGAAGCATGCTCATGTAGTGTAGTTTCTTGTTTGTTCAAATCATGACCCCCCGGGGTAGGGTGGGGCCAAAATGGCCGACCAAACTTTTACATAGATATAAATAGGAAAATTCTTTAAAAATCTTCTTCTCAAGAATGACAAAGCCATAATTCATCATATTTATATGGAAGCATGCTCAGGTATATTCAAGTTTGTTCAAATCATGACCCCCTGGGTAGGGCGGGGCCAAAATGGAGAAAGTTTTACATAGAAATATATAGGAAAATTCTTTAAAAATCTTCTTCTCAAGAATGACAAAGCCATAATTCATCATATTTATATGGAAGCATACTCAAGTATTTCAAATTTGTTTATCATGACCCCCAGGGATAAAATGTACAAAGTTTTTAAAGATATATATAGGAAAATTCTTTAAAAATCATTTTCTAAAAAATAGCAAATCCATGATTGGTCATGGGACTACTTTTGGATTTAAACTTGACAATAAAAAGCCATTTTCTACTTTTTCCTACCTTTAGTGCTCAGGTGAGCGATGTGGCCCATGGGCCTCTTGTTTGATCTACAAATAGTTTTATTTTGAAAAAAAAATAGTCACAATGTTGTTTATTATTTTTTGTGCAGGCAAACCAAATATAATAAGTGTGTGGACTGAGAACTCGGTTGGTCTGGTGAAGAAGGCTATGACAGGTGCTGTTATCATTGATCAGACCATTCCTAAAGCTGGACAGGTCACTTGTCCAGACTATATACAGGTATTCCATCCATCCTACCATCTGAAGTAAAAGTTTAATTTGCCTAGATAATTTCCATTTTAAATGCAATCAGTATAAAAATTTTCTTATTCATTTTCCTATTCATAAATGTGTACATGTGACAATATTTTGTTTGCACAATTTGTTCTGAAAAATGGACTTTTTTCTCCAGACGACAATTCCAGTAGAATGCTCTTGGACGGGTTTTGTGGACACAGAGTCCCCTATCAAGGAGTACCGCATAATGATGGGTAACGCTAAGGGAGATGACTCTATATTCTCTGGAGGAGTAGTGCCAGGACATATTCACAAGTTCTCCATTCAAGGTATATTATCCATTCAAGCTATATATTACGATTATCATATGGTTAACCAAAAGAGAAATTATCATTCTATGTGTAACTTCTGAAAATGTTCAAGTATGTCAAATATCTTGTAGGTATCCAATTTAATGTTTATTAAGTAAAATGTACAAAGAATAAGCTACTTTTTGAAGTTTTACAGCTGTTAAAGTGAAACTTTCAATTTCTTTCAAGGTGCTGGAAGTAAAATGAGCCATGGTGCAGAGTACTATGTAACTGTGACAGCAGTGAACACTGTTGATATGACTGTTAATGCATTCTCTAACAAGATTGGAGTAGACACCACCCCACCTAAAACTGGAGTAGTGGTGGACCTAAATTCTGTCTACAGGATAGATGCACAGAGCACAGATGAAACTGTCAGAATGAATTCTCTCATTTGCAAGACTGTTGAAGGTTAGGTTTATAACAATATTTTCTTCTATTGGTTCAAGGATTTTCATAAAGAGGCGGATTTATTTCCAGATGTTGAAAATCTTAAAATTCAAACCATACTTAATTTGATAAACAAAATAAACTCTATAACATTTTTTTTTTCAGAGTGTAAAGCATTGGATGCCATATGTACCGAGTCCTTGACCTCCTTATCTGTTACTTGGATGCCATTCACTGATCCGGAGTCCCAAGTTGTTGAGTAAGAATAGTACATATACATACTCTAAACTTTGTTCATTCAGCACACTCAACACTAATCATAATCTTCAGCTGATCAGAGCGATCATAAATCAATTAACCTGAGACATGAAAACAAAAGTATTGGTTTAGGTCATGTATATTGTTGATATACATGATATAAAGCTGATATTTTTGTGTTTCATATAGATATAAAGCTGATTTTGTTGTGCTTGATATAGATACCAGATAGCAGTGGGAACATCCCCTGGTGGAGGTCAGGTCAAGGCTTTCTACACAATCCCAGCCAACAGTCAGCACCACACGGTATCAGGCCTCAATCTCAATGGATACAGACAGGTACTTAACAAACATCAGGTCTTAGTGGCATTATGTGTTTACAATGAAATATTGATTCAGGAAATTAAAATAATTTATTGTTGTAATGTTATAATTGTATCAAAATGATCTGATTTATTAATTTTAGCTGCATTGAAAATATATGATTTATTGTTGGTTCCTGTATCATAATGGTCTAATTGTTGTTAGCTGTAATGAAATGATTTGATTTATTATTGTTATTGTTTTATTATTAGCTGTATGTGTCAGTAAAGGGAGTCAATGGAGCAGGGCTGACCAGTGTAGCCACATCAAACGGAGTGTACATCTCTTATCTCAGTCAGGGGAAGCAACCTCTGTCACATGTAGGGGTCATGGATATGGTGGATGGCGAAACCATGGACGTGTAAGTACAAATAGAATGGAAATACAGTCAAACCTGTCAAATCCAGCCAACTATTGGCCAGATAAGACAAAATTCTGGATTAGAAACATTTTAAACAATTAAAACTACTTAACTTTAAGTTTGCATCATAATAGGCAAGATTTCAGAATATACAATATCCAGCTGATTAAACTTTAAACAATTAAAATTACTGAACTATAAGTTTGCATCATAATAGGCTAGATTTCAGAATATACAATATCCAGCTGATTAAACTTGAAACAATTAAAATTACTGAACTATAAGTTTGCATCATATTAGGCAAGATTTCAGTATATATAACTTCCAGGTTAAACAAGTTCCACTGTAGCAATCTACATTTATCAGCATTAAAAAAAAAACAAGGAGGTATGCTGTTTGGTACATGTAAGACTGTTTTAATTAAGTACCACTGATTTTTTTCTTGACAGAGATTTCCAGACCGATCCATCCACCATTAGATCCAGCTGGGATGTTTCTGGTGACCCTTGTCCTCCTGTGAAATACGAATGGGCAATCAGAAGGCTGGATGGTTATGAAATCTCAAGTTTCTTTAGCACCAATAGTAAGTGATTTGCTGTAGGATAATTTTAATAATTTTAAATGGTAAAAAAAAATTGTACAACTAATGTGTAATTATTAAGACATTTTACATCCAGGCATGTTTGTAATTTGATAAGATTTGTTAAACTATAGGTTGTTAAAACTTTATTAAAACTTTTCTAATTAAGTGAAATAGTAATCAAATACATGAAAACAAATTATTTTTAATCTGAAAATAATACATTTATCAGTAGAACATAATAATGGCAATAATTTTCCTTGGTACATGTAGTGAGAACATTTGGACTGATTGATGGACTGAATATGAAAAATGGTGAGACCTACGTTAATTATGTCAGAGTGACCAACTCCATTGGTTACATGTACATCCTCCGCTCTAATGGTGTGACCATCCAGGAGAACCCGCTACTGCCTGGTAAAGTCTACGATGGAGACATTGAAGGTTTTGACCTGAATTTCCTGCCCTCAGTAACTAAAGTGTATGCCAACTGGAATGGATTTGGTCTGCCAGCAGATGCCATCAAGCAAATTGATGTCAACAGTGGTAAGAATAAAGAGTTTTTAATTTTCCACTGTATTTGTAAGCATTTTTTTTTTTTTGCATGTATCCGTCATATTCTTGAGTATTGGGGGGGGGGGGGGTGTTTCAATGTTTTTTTTTATTCATGTGCCAATTTCTTTCTCTTCTGATAGAAGTTAGACAATGCTGTTTTTTATTTTTACTTTTGTACCAGTGTGTAGTTCATTATTTGAATGCTTTCAATAGGAAATCCTGGTCTCCAGACTGATAATTCATTGATAGCTGCCCAGGATAAGAGTCAGCAGGTGGCCTACTACATGGTAGCCCTGGGTACTGATCGTCGCTTCAATAAGACCAGAGACAACGTTGTTCCCTATACTTTTGTGGGAGAAAATACTTCGGTGGTATTCACAGACCTTGAGTTGACTCCTGGTGTTGCCATGTACTATTTCTCAGTGTATGCATTCAGTAAATCCTTTTCCAAGACTCTGGTCACATCCAATGGTTTTTATGTTGGATTCCAAGGTGGTGTCACTGGTGAGTAAAAAAAAGATTTTAGAGAAGGAGGTAAAATTTCAAGGTCACCCTGGAGATGTGTTTTGCTATTCATATTTATTTCGTATGAGAATTTTGCATTTGAGTTTAAGTGGAGTTTCATTTGACTTTGTGTAGCTGGTATCATCACCCGTCCTGGTAGCTGTGTAGGTAACAATACGGTACTGGAGGTACAATGGGAGGGCTTCACATCCAAACTGGACATCCTGATGTATTATATAGCTATCTCCAACAACACTAACGCAAATGGAACAAACTGTAAAAATTATGTAAGTACATGTATTACTTTAAAAGTGTAAATGGTAGAGAAATTTTGCTTTAATGTTAAAAAGAGTATGTCACCAGCTAGGGTATGTTTTGTGTTGAATTCAATTTGAATTGCAGATATTTGTTGAAGTTTGAAAAAAATGTAATGAGATGGGAATGTGATTACATGTACAAACATAAAAGTTTCAACTCAGAATTTATAGATTCTGTTAATTATTGGGGAAAAAACAATCACAAATCTATGAACTACAAGCTTTATCCCTACATAAGTTATTGAATTCCCCAGTGCCTGTAGTAAAGAAGAGGATACTGTGTCAATTGGATTTATTATAAGCTGGTTTTCATTTGTTTATACACAGATTGATGGAGGAAAAACCCCAGATGATGAAAGAAAGCTATTATTTAATGCTTTGGATGTCACTAATCAGGGACAAAATACCTACACAAAGCTGACCAATCTCACTCTGGAACAAGGAAAAACATACTATGTCTGGGTGATGGGTAGGTTTTTCAAACCTATACAGTATACTTTAAGCTATAGGGAGGTCAGGTATTGGGAGAATTCTTCCCGAAAACAATTTTTAGCTTACCTGAACCAAAGGCTCAAGTGAGCTTTTCTGATAAAAATTTGTCCGCTGTCTGTCATCGTCGTTCGTCATCATTATTGTCATTGTTGTTGTAAACTTTTCACATTTTCATCTTCTTCTCAAGAACCACTGGACCAATTTCAACCAAACTTACTACAAAGTATCCTTGGGTAATGGGGATTCAAGTTTTTTTTTTTTCAAATGAAGGGCCACGGCCTCTTCCAAGGGGAGATAATTATGAATTAGTGAAAAATTAATGGCATTCTAAAAAAATCTTCTTCTCAAGAACCACTGGGCAAGGAAAGATGAAACTCATGTTGAATCATCCTCAGGTAGTGTACATTCAATTTTATACAAATCATGACCCCTGGGGGTAGGGTGGGGCCACATTGGCTGATCAAAGTTTTACATAGGAATATATAGGAAAAATCTTCTTCTCAAGAACCATTGGGACAGGAAAGATGAAACTCATGTTGAATCATCCTCAGGTAGTGTACCTTCAAGTTTGTTCAAATCATGACCCCCGGGGGTAGGGTGGGGCCACAATGGCCAATCAAAGTTTTACATAGGAATATATAGGAAAACTCTTTAAAAATCTTCTTCTCAAGAACCATTGGGACAGGAAAGATGAAACTCATGTTGAATCATCCTCAGGTAGTGTACATTCAATTTTATACAAATCATGACCCCTGGGGGTAGGGTGGGGCCACAGTGGCCGATCAAAGTTATACATAGGAATATATAGGAAAACTCTTTAAAAATCTTCTTCTCAAGAACCATTGGGACAGGAAAGATGAAACTCATGTTGAATCATCCTCAGGTAGTGTACCTTCAAGTTTGTTCAAATCACGACCCCCGGGGGTAGGGTGGGGCCCAATGGCCGATCAAAGTTTTACATAGGAATATATTAGGAAAAATCTTTAAAATGGCCGATCAAAGTTTTACATAGGAATATATTGGGAAATCTTTAAAAATGTTCTTCTCAAGTACTGCAAAGCCATGATTAGTGATATTTATATATGGAAGCATCCTCATGTAGTGTAGATTCTAGTTTGTTCAAATCATAACCCCAAGGGATCGGGTGGGGCCACATCATAACCCCCAAGGGTAGGGAAGGGTCTCAATGGGGATCAAAGTTTTATATAGGAAAATAAAGGGAAAAATCCCATTAACAGAAAATCTATGATTAGTCATATTGACATGTAAGCATTCTCATGTATTGATGATTTAAATTTGTTCAAATCATGAGTACCCTTTGGGGTAGGGTGGGAAACAATGGGGAGTCAAATTCAAATTATTACAAAGTCATATATACAAACAAAATGTTTAAAAAAATCGTTAAAAATCTTTTTCTCAAGAACTTTCTCTAGAAGTTTTATGCAGTATTCATATGGAGGCATTCTCTGGTAGTATTAGAATTCAAGCCTCCCCCACCCCCTCAGTAACTTTTATATTTCGGATCTGATTTGTGCTTTTTCCTAGCTCAGGTGTTTAAGTTGTGATTTTGTTTCCTTTGTATGGAGTTCAATGTTCCAAATCTAGACAGTCTTTTCTCTCTCTCTCTCTCTCTCTCTTTTCACAAAGTGCTCTCTTAAACCATATTTTGATTCATAAATTGAGACAGTAAAAAATAAATACGAAAAATTTGGATAGTCCAGGTATTCAGACACTTCAGTTATCCATCCCATTTTGACTCATTAAGAGCCAAAGTAACCAGATAAATGAGGCTCCACTGTATATATGAAATCTGTTGAAAGAAAATGATTTTTTTTTATCTGACTTATTTTCAACATTTATATCTGTCAATTTACATTGTTTTAGTTGTGAATCTATTTCATTTGAATAATAACAGGAACAGACAAGTCTGGTGCCTGTGAAATGAACTACACAGAGTTTCTAGTGGACATCACTCAGCCCAACATGGGTGTTATCAGAACTGGTCCTTGGTTTGATATGGTGAGTTCTAAACCTCTGTCAAAATAACAAGCTAAGCTTCATCATCAATGTAGAGTAGTCTTCAGACTGACAAATCTCCTGGACTCCAACAGCTGCCCAAGGTATAACTTTCATTTGCAAAATTATCTCAAATTTTAGAATTAAATATTTCATATTTACTTGTTGTAGGTTGTGTCCTATACGACTGACAACACCAGTCTCAGTGTGCACTGGGAGAACTTCACAGATGACGAGTCGGGGATTTCTAAGTATGAGGTGTCCCTGTGGCAGAACGACACCTGTGATGAAAGCAGCACCACCTCTCTCATCAACGATTGGTTAACTCTGAGCAGTAACAACTCCTACTACCAGTTTGTCGACCAATCATTAAAGGTAACACAATGGAGACTAACACTGTTTTGTTTTTAGAATGTTTAGGAAATTTTGTCATACATGTATTTAATTTAGTACAGAATGTTCCATATGAAATGAGATAGCAGACATTATAAACAGATTATTGTTCAGTGATGGTAAATGCAATGAATAAATGAAACAGTAGTAGTAGGTATTGTCTTTTCTTTTTATCTTGAATATATTGCAAGTTATCCTTTGCAATTAATTATGGAAATTGTATATTGTGACATTTTCAGAAGCAAATTCCATACTACGTGAAGTTGAGAGTGACGAACTGTGCTGGTTTATCTGTTGTACTGGAATCAGCCCCTGTGTTGTTTGATGAGACTGTACCATTGGCTGGTCTTGTAAAGGATGGACTAGACTTCACATCAGATCTTTTATGGTTTAATGATACAACTAAAGTAGAAGGTAACAATCTTGACAGAGCTGTATTTCATCATTTTGTGAATGAGTTGTTGGGGGAAAGTAATTACATTTTGTATGTTTTTACAGGCACATTCCTTCATTTACCCAACCCTGATCCAAATATCCATCCTTGTCCAAACCAGAGAATTGCTATTAAAGGAAGTGGGTGGGGCAAGCTGAACAAGCTAGGCATGTTAGATCCTTCAGGGGAATATTGGAGGATCAAGCAGCAGGATATTTATGTCTTCCCTGCTGAATTTGAAGACAAAGTGGATGTTAAGCTGGTCAAGACAAAGGATGCTAGTAATAATGACATCATGGGAGCTGGCGCCATCTACAGGAGAGCTGAACTGTTTAATGGTGGCACTTACAAGGTACTGATCCTATGTTAGAAAAAGATTATTGTCTGAAATGATTTCACTGAAATGCTTTAGGATATAAGGGAGGTTTTTGTTTTGACATTCTTGTGTCTTGCTGTAGCTAAGGATCCAGGCAGCAGATCAGGATGGAGAAGCTGTGACAGAGATCCTGTTCTGGGATGGCCCGGAGACTGGGATCGCCACCTATAAGTACCAGATTCCGAAAGAATTTGAAAACTGTGTTTGTTGCTTTAACAACCCCATTCCACTGGTAAGTTAAAAGTACATATGAAGTTGCCATAGATTCTTGAAAATAAAAAATTGATGCATTCACATGGTTTGTGATTTTATGATAAATACCATGATTGCTACAATTACAGGAATGTGGTGGCTGCAACTGCACCGCCTATCTTTTGGACAAGGGGTACTTTCTGAATGAGACCTTCCCCACGACGACCAGCACCACCCAGTCCCCGGACACTCAGACCTTCCCCCCCTATGACGTGGTGGACAGTCAGGGCTCCAGTGTCATAGACAAACCGGACCTATCTCCACAGTTTGCAAGGGATTCATGTGGTGTTCAGATCTACTCAGGTATGATGCAGTTCACAAGAAAATTAATGCATAGATTTGATATCTGTTTTTTATAATATGTATAAATCTAAGTCAAAGACTTAACTGACTCAGAATAAAATATTTTTCCCATGAATAAAGGAATAAAGTGAATTATTCTGTTATAGCTGTATATAGGGTGTTTTATTTTTTACCCACACTACTATCACACTATTTGCAAGCAATTTTTCTCCTTTTTCAATATGCCCAAACACAATTGTGTTGAAAGGATCATGCAGAAATAAGATGGAGACAGAAAATCTGATGTGTATCAGTTTAATGAATTTCTTCCCATTATAGCCAATCCAAATGCTAATCTGAGTGCCTTTATTGTCACTTGGTGTCGGTACAAGTATGATGCTAGAAGGATGGGGGTGTTAGCCACAGATATTAACATTAATCCTGCTGAGGACTTTCATGACTATAAAGTGGACTTTGCCATTAAGAGTGAAGATTCAACATCGGTAAATATCACATTACATAATTTATGGAATGACCCTGTATTAAAATTAGCATTTTTTTTTTTTTTTTTACTAAAAATTCTTCTTTGCAAGTTCATAGAGAATAATTAAGTTTAAAGCATAAGCTGTAGATTTAGCAGTTGGTTTCTCATGGGAACTACAGCCCAGCTGATGGATTTGTTATTACAAGAATGTTTTGAATTCCACCTGAAAATGAATAAACATGGTTAAGTCCTACTATTTTAAGCTCACCTCAACGAAGTTGGGGGAGCGTATGTAATACCCTCGGCGTCGGTGTCGGCGTCCCGGGTTAAGGTTAAGTTTTTTGGAGCAGTTTTCTTTTTAAGTACTTCTATGTCCTATATTGATTAGACATGCATGGAAGATGTTTCTAGTGTGTTTCATTGTACCAGTCAAAGTTTCAGATGCTGCAATTTCAGCAAAGGAATAACTAGGTTAATGTTTTTGGAGCAGGTTAACATTTTTGGTGCAGTTTTTGGTGTAGGTCTCATTTTCGAGTAACTATAAGCCCTATATTGACCAAACTTGCATGAATGGTACATCTTAGGATGCACACTACCAGGCTTGCTTCGGATGCTGAATCTGACCTACATTTTCTGCATGAGTGAACAGGTTTATGTTTTTGGTGCAGTTTCATTTCCAAGTTACTATGAGCCCTATAATGACCAAACTTGCATGGATGGTACATCTTAGGATGCATACTACCAGACTTGCTTTGGATGCTGAATCTGACCTACACTTTCTGGACGAATGAACAGGTTAAAGTTTTTGGTGTAGGATTCATTTCCAATTAACTTTGAGCCCTATAATGACCAAACTTGCATGGATGGTACATCTAAGGGTGCATTCTACCAGGCTGGCTTCAGATGCTGACCTACATTTTCTAGATTAGTGAATAGGTGAGTTTTTTTTATACAGGTTTCATTTCCAAGTAACTTTGAGCTCTATGTTGAGCAAACTTGCATGGATGATACATCTTAGGATGCACACTAATGGACTTGCTTCAGATGCTGATTTCGACATACATTTTCCAAATAATGGACCTTGTAAAAGTTATGGGTGCAAGTCCATTACCAAGAAACTATAAGGCTTATATAAACCAAACTTGCTTCAGATGCTGGATTTTTATTACGTTTTCATGATGGAGAACTAATTTGAAGTTTTTATATAGGTCTATTCCAAAGTATCAAATCAATTATATTTTTATATTTTGCATTTTTGGATGTACACTTTTTGTTGATTAATTGTGTGACTTTGCCTTACTTAAAGACAACATTCGTTGAGGTGAGCTCTGTAATCTCTGATTACCTATGTTTTTTCTTTTCAGGTGAAGTGGTGTTTGATGGTGTACATTGACAATGAATACATCAATGAACTCTGTGATGTTCCTCAGATGTCCACTGATGCTTTCATGTTCTTCCATGTCTTCAAACGAATGAATCAAATTCCCAATCCAAAGAATAAATTTGAGGCATGGGCAGCCTATGCCTCCCTGGCAGGCCTGGAGATGCCTCCCCCAATAGGCACTCTCTGTAGATCTGGGCCACAGTTCAGGGCATTTACCAACCCCATCATATTCTATGAGGCAGCCATTGGTACCAGCATTTTAGCTTCAGATGTCGTTCCATTCAGGACGGTACATAATTTTCTTGCATAATAATAAAATAATGGTAATGAAAAAATATCCATTTTACTTTGTATTAAAATTTAAATGAGGATATTTTTAATGATAATTGTGTTGTGTCTTCTTAGGTTGTAGAGCCCTGTGTACCTTGCTTTAGCAAGTGCTCTCGCTTTAACTGTAACTCCAGCTGTAATTCCACAGTAACTGTACAGAAGACGTTTGTTATGGACAACTTAAGTCTACAACCCAAGAGAACTGTATACAACGAGACTGGTCATGGTGTCGAGGAACTTGTCACCTACTACCTGACAGGTTAAACAGTAATCTATTTATGCAATAACATATGAGAAAGCTGATAATCACTAGTATCAATGGACAGATTTTAGGGTGCTTGTTTGGAAATAACTACTATTTTCTTCTTTTTTGCCAAACCCGCTGGTGTTTACTGTGTTTTCCATGATGCTGTCTTTGGTAGTGAGGGGAGTGACCGCCTCGGGAGACTCTGCGACGTCGTCCTCCGATGGCTTCTATGTGGACAACACCTACCCCGTGTTTGATCAGGATATTATGAGTGGGGAGTTTTACTATGACGTAGGACAAGGGAACAGCACTCCAGCAGGATTCCAGAACTCCAACAACACTATCAAGTGTATCTGGAAATGTGATGATGATGAGAGTGGTATTGTGGTGTGTATCTGATACAGGAATTTTAATTTCTAACATACTTTATATAATAAGTATAACTTTGATGGAATGAAAAAGTGATGTTGTCTTTTTTTTCTGTGTTACCTCTGCAGTAGAATATTTTATCCTTCTCTAATATTATTTCATTTGTATTAACAAGGAATTTTTCTTTCCAAAAAAAAATTTTTACAGGAATATAAATGGGCACTTGGTACCAGTCCAGGAGCAACAGATGTGATGAATTTTACATCTAACGGACAGCAAATTGTTGGAGTCAACAACCAATTAGAGGGAATTCTCCAGCACGACCAGGCCTACTATGCTACCATTACTTGTGAAAATGGAGCGGGCTTGGTTTCTACATATACTGACACTAAGGGTAGGTACATGCAGAGAAGACAATTTTAAATAAGATGATATTAAATTTTTTTTTTTCAGATAAATAATGGTTATATCCATATAGGTACATCTCATATTATTTATTTAAAATGTTTTCAAAGCCATGCATTTCTTGTTCTCAAAAGGAGTGACCGTGAAATTGATACCACCAGAAATCGAGACTGTCAACACTACAATACCAGGAACAGCTAAATTTACAGAGAAAGTGTTCCCTGAGGAGTCCCTGACTCAGGAAGACCCTACCAGTGTGGGATTTACCTTCACAAAGTCCGACGATCCATCAGTTGACAGATATGGTATGTGTCTACTTTTTAAAATAAGGAAATGAGTTGTGTAGTAAACATTGAATTGTACATGCTTGCAATATGTGACCATGTATCTGTGTAATTTTGCAAACTACATATATCATGTATATAGCCAAATAGAATGGTACTGGAAATGAAATTTTTGTTAGCAGATGGTCTCACTTTACTATACTAAAAATAAAGATCTTGTGAATGAATAAAGTTATTAACAGTATCTCATTTGTAGATTTATGGTATGTTTCTTAATTTATAGATTTATGTGTTGGATCAAAGAATCTATCACAGGACATTATTCCCTGTACTTGGGTTGGCTACAATATATCGGGTTCAGCAGAAATAAAAAATGGTGCATTATGGGTAAACGGAATGGAAATAAGAAAACTTTCAGAGCTTCGGCCACAACAGGACTACTCCAATGGAACTAACACCAATACACAAGACATCTTTAGAATGCCTGTTGGAAAGCAAATGTTTATAACTATGAGACTCTGCAATAAGGCTATGTTGTGTACAAACAGAAGTCTGGCAGTGGTTGTTATCAAGAACAGTAATTCTAAAGTGGGCGTGTCTGAAAATGGAACAGCCATCGAGGAAAAATTAGCCATCACATCTAGAAAGAGAGCAGCCTCTGAACTGGACATCAAAACTCCAAGTGGTAAAAAGCCTTTGTTAAAATCATACATGTAATAAGAGACAATATACTTACAGAAAATTTTATATTAGATATATATGGATGCTTCTGTCTTTGTTGTATTTGAAAGGATGTTTTCGAGAGTGCTCCTGCAGGGGATATTATTCTCATTAGAACAGTTCTAGTTTGTGTTGCACTTATTTCAATTGTGGTTCTATAGACTCTGTGTGTTAATTAAAATATACATATTTTATACAGGTCTGGCCCCTGGACAGTCCATCATTGTGACTGCTCTGAAGTCCTCGGACCTCAATAGCACGTATGGCTCTGATGCCTCCATTGATTTTGTGTCCTACATACAGGATCCAGACACATCAAGGGACATGGTTCAAAGACTCCTGGTAAAAAGGTAGGTGGAAATCAGTATCAGGCTCTGGATTGAAAAGACCAATGACATACATTTCCAGATGATTGGGGGGGGGGGAGGAGGGGGGATAAAGTTTATTCCTTGCTACTACCGGGTATGTGATATATTATTCTATATAATGAGAAAAAGAACCCTTATAAATTACATTTTTTTGGCTTTCTTTTCAGATTTTATGGACAGAGATTTGCATTCTCTATTGTATCACTAGGCAATGTGCCAATGCCAGGACCCATCACTATAACTTATAGTGACAGTGTAGGCCAACCCTCTACAGGCAACAGAACCATGCTCTTGCACTGGAATCCTGGTACATATTAACTTTTAAGTAAAGAGGAGAATGATTTTTTTTTTATTATCTCTGACCAAGGTCACATTTCATTTTTTAAAAACTTGCAAGTTTGGAAATTCCAAATATGTCAATGCAGCTAATAAGTTACTTCTATAAGCCACAGACTTTCAGACAGTCTGTACTTTTATGCATTGCTATAGAATTCCTGTGAAATTAAAGTGTCTGGGAAGTCTAATACGAGCAGTATTATACAGTATACTATAAATTCCTGTGTCTATATTACAGTGATGCAGTACTGGGAGATAACTAGTAAGACCTGTACACATCTAACAGCACAGGAACAAGAGATATATGACCCAGTGGCTCAGACAATGACAGTCAAGGTTTGTTTACTGAATGATGGACTAGCATAGACAAATTGTGCATTTGAAAAAGTATTAATTTTAGTTCTGCACTAAAAAAAATTCATCATGGTCCTGTGCATGTCAATAAAATAAGATGTGGTTGACACATCGTGGGTGTATGTTTTGTATATGAAAATAATTAGTTAATGCAGTAGTGGTTGATATAGGAAGAGTAATTAACATGTAATTATAGGTGTGTGATACATATTTGGTGGACGAGACTGTCCAATCATCAGGATCCTCCAGAAAGAGGAGAGCAGCCCCCGCTTCCCCAACCTACTTTTCCCGAGAGACCATGTTTGTGGTGTCCACGACTGCGGCCTCTATCTACAACTCTCCTCCCCGGCTCAACGTCTCCAGGGATGTCCAAATTGTCGAAGATTCAGGTAGATTTAGTAGCTTTTTTTATTACATTGGACTTATTTGTTGTCCTAATAAAAAAGGAGTTATTTACATCTATTTTTAAAATATGGAATAATTGTGATTTAAAAATTTTACGAATACATGATTGTATAATTGTATAATTCTTTATTTTATCAAAAGGAAAAGCTTCATGGCAAAAACTATGTTAGAAGTCTTGTAAGAGATACTAAGAAATCACATATATTTTCGAGGGGTCAAATTTTCCTGGTTCAAGGAAAACATATTTTTCATGGGGATCTGATTTCGTAGATGAAGAATTGTTCTGTAGCAATATATGTGAAAAAATTGCATTTCGTAATGGACATAAATTTGTGGGTCTTTTCATACCTTGAAAACCACAAAAATTAAAACCTCACGAAAATTAATGATTTCAAAGTAGTATCAAACTCATTATTCATACAATCTCGGATTGGGTGTTGATGTACAGAATAGTAACACATTTGTTTGATGATCACAGGCACTGTCAACTATCAACTGGAGGCTACTGATGAAGAAGGGGATGCTATCTTCTTTACCTTGTCAAATCATACTTTAGAGTTTGGAAATGCAACACTCTCAGAAACTGGATTGTAAGTGCACAGGATGTCAAATTGTTTTAGCTTGAGCCATTTCTTTGCTCTTTTTAAGTCATAGAAGTCATATGCATAGATATGATGAATAATTTGTATTTGTGTTCTGTCTCTAGCCTGACGTATACCCCCTGCACAGACTGTGCTGGAGTTGAGTACCTCAACATTACAATGTATGAGAATCAGACTGACCCAGAAATTCCTCCCGCCAACTCCACAGATGTCATCATAATCACTATACAATCCATTAATGACCCTCCCATACTGTTTGCCTCCTACAATGGGAAATCTCTGCTCCAGGCAGATCCAACAGAACCTGTTGTGGTTTGTATACTGTCTTACCCTATTTTGCTTACCTTAGCCAAAGGTGCAGTTAAGTTTCAAGTTCAATTACTGATTAATGTTTGTCCTTCTTGCCTCTGTTGTTTTCCATGGGATGAACAATTAATGAAGTGTAGTCTTTATATCATAAGATCAGGTTACTCAAATGAGCATTGTGGGCCACGGACTTCGTGTTTTTACTTTAATCCCTTAAAACCTGTTTAAAACTTACAATGCTCCTCCCAATAATGCTTTTTGAATGTAATATTTTTTGTTGTATTAGTGGCATATAAAATTTAAAAATAAAAAAAAATAAAAACATTTTCAATCGATCTACTTGTATTTAATATGCTTCATGTACTGGTATCTTTTAAAGGTGTTGCGGGAAGCACATTATGATTTCAATGAGCATGTTTGGCAAGAACCATGGACTGCATTATTTGGGGCATATGACATTGAGCCTGGAGATACAATGATCTTCAAGATGAATGATCCGTTCCTGAGTAATTTGACGACAGGAAATGAAGACACAGCTGTCCCTACTCTGTACACCAACTGTGAAAGTGCTGGGGAAATAACTGTAAGTACACGCTTATTGTGTTTTGTGTATTATTATATAGTCTGTATTAATTATTTTGTTGTATATTTAGCACCAAATCAGTAATGTTTGAAATACTGTACCTACAGGGAAATTTTCACCTCTGCTTTATTTTCCCCCATTTTGCCCCACCCACATTTTGGCAAATTTGAAATGGGCGTATTCAAAGATAACAGTTTAATTTCTTAAATAAAACTATGACTGGGCGAATTTAAAAGGGGGCAAAATTGTTTGCAAGTGTAATAGGGCGAAAATAACACGGGGCAAAAATAACGCTTTATACAGTATTTTTAGTTGCAGAAATTTTAGTAAGTGTTTAAGAATTGACTTGAAATACTTCATACAAAATAAATATACTGATTTTGTCTCATTATAGCCTACTATGATGCCGTGTGATAATTTCACCCAGAATCTACCCCACGCAGCCAATCGCATGTCATGGAAAACTTTTATTCTCAACTTTACAACACCAGTGAATGTGTTTGGCAATTTCACAGTGAACTTTTATTTTGAGGACAGCTCAAATGGAACCTCACTACCACTCACTGTCAAATTTGCTATCATGGACTCACCTTGCCGAAATGGAGGAATGTGTGAATGTAAGTACAAATAAACAGCTCTTAGAGCAAAACATTATCTTTTTCTTTTAAATGCATAAGAAATTCTCAAGATTCCTTAATCCACCAAAAGCAATTTGTTTCTGTTCAACTCGGCTCAACTTTATTTCAAGAGAAACTGGATTTGCTCTGTTATATTTACAGCCACCAGTTTCTTCCCCTGTCATGATACCCACAGAACCCACAATTTTGATTCCTACTACCGCTGTAACTGTACCGGAGGGTACCAAGGAAAGTACTGTGAGGACGATGTCAACGAGTGCCTAAGTGACCCCTGTATTCGACCTTATGTCTGCTACAATAGACTGAACCACTATGTGTGTGCCTGCCCTGAGGACAACCCACATTGTGAGATCCTCCCCTGGATGATTTCCATTATTTTGATCATCATCATTCTGATTATTGTTTTGGTTGTGGTTGGCATATACCGATACAGGCACAGGAGAAGGTAACATTTTATTCTTAATATGGAAAATTATGTTTATAAATTCAAGTACATGAGCAGTACTTTTGTGTAATTGTAAGCTGGCCTTGTAAAAGATGTGATCACAGCCCATTTGTGTCCAAAATTAAACTATTATCTCTTGTATGGTTTATCTGAGGATGTAGCCATACTTTGAACAGTGCATCGGATATATTTTCTGGTTGAGTGGCTTCATTAAAGGAATTTTGAAGCAGGCTTATTCCCAAGAAACTAGAAGTCTCACCTGGACCAAACTTTGCATCTGATTGATGCATTTATTTGCTTCCTGCTAAATAATCCAAGTGACATGAATTTCAAGTTCTTAATTAAAATGCCAATATGAGCATGTAACAAGTGGCTCTTACTCAACTTGAACCTTTATCTTACTTGATTGAAATTTTTACAAAATTTGAATAACCTACACATGTATTTTCACTTTGCCTTATTATGATTCAGAAATGTATCAAGAAAAATTTATGATTCTAATCCCATTTTTCTCCTATTTTCAGTGAAAAGGATTACATGTTAAAGAAGTGAGTATCTCTTTAAGTACCCGGTAAACAACTTGAATTATTGAAAAATATTATCAGCTTGGATTAACCACGCTTATTGAAATCTGAAACTGAATTTTCTTTTTTTTTTCAGTAGTTTTGGATCACAGTCATCTTTGGGATCAGAATTTAACATGGATGATGACGTGGTTTTAGGTAAGTGAAACGGTTGTATACATACGGTGTATTTCTGCTTTCAATCTAATGTTTTATGTTCTAATGTTAAAATTACAGGTTATATGAATTCGAAGCTCAAAAAATCAAACACTGATATTTGATATTAGTTATTTTGATGCATATGGTTACTGTGTATGCTTATTTATCCATTTATTTACTTTGCAGATGACAAAGTTTCTCTTGGTGGATCTTATGATGTAAGCATGAATTAATCCATTTCATACAACAGTAGTTTTAAAAGTCAATCTAGTATATTCTTTCTATAATACAAAAAAGCAGGAATGATTGATATAAATTAAATAATCATCTGTAAAATGAAGTAAATTCAAATTTTGCAGGGGTTTGAAAATCCAGCACTCAACATTGAACACGATTATGACCCAGAGGATGAGAGGCATCAGTTCAAGAGACACATGAAGTCTGGCTTTGCTCCCCTCCTTCATGCTGCTTCTCCATCACCACTGCCAGCATACGGCGAAGGCCAACATCCACATCCTGACAGCTTCCATCCCAAAAACTTATCTAAAGGAGTGAATGGCCATGCAAGTTTGGCAGGGACGCCAAATGGTCAGAGCAGGAGCGGTACTCCAGACTCCAGAACAAGCAGTGCAGCTCTTAAACATCGGGCCAAGGTAAAACCAGTGGAAGAAGATGCCGTATCAACCACCAGCCAGGTTATGGGAAATGGACAAAGTACACCAGTCAGTAGGTCCAGGTGCAACACTCCTGATATTTTCACTGCAAATTCGGCAAATGGGAGGTCCACTCCTGTAAGGCCAAGCACCCCCTCCCTGACAAAGGTCAACAAAGTGTCGCCTGTAGACCAGTCCCCCAACGGAAGCCAGTACTCAGGAAGCAATCCATCCTCCTCGGACCACGGGGGCTCTCAGCGGGGGTCTCCCCAGACTCTGGAAATGTCACAGTCCACTGAGCTGACCATCTCAGACATGGAGGATACAGGGACCAAAATGACCAATCTGTGATGACCTCTGGACATGGACTTATTTAACCAAGGATTTATAAATTTGTGTTTTCTTTCCTTCTGACTTTTGTTTTCATTTCTCAAATGAATATTTATTACAAAATTGTCTTTCATTGTATCAACTCGTCTGTGATATTAGCTCTATAAATCGTCTTTGTCATTTTTATCAGTTCATGTTTACACTATGATATGCGTTTATAAAGATTGTTGTGTCCATATATAAAAAGAGAAGGAATATATCTATGAAAGGCTATCTGTGATATAGAATCTGTATTACCAAACTATCAGCTGTGATAAATTTATATGCAATTATTTTTCGAGATAGAAATATCCATGGATCATGGATGGATAACCCACATTTTATCAATTTCTTGGATAGATGTATGTTTCACTGAAAAATGACATCCCAAATTTATCAGTATGAAGATGTTTGAAAACCACAAAGATAATTTTACTCTTTCAGTTTTTAATATGTAAATATCTATCATTTCAGTGATGATTTTTTTTTTTAAAGTTGTATACAATAGCTACATTTGATAGATGATGCGAAGTTTTTTTTCTTTAGTATCCGTCCAATATGATTATTTTTCCCAATCATGAATGCATATTTTTTTTTAATTTCTAATAAATGGAAATTTAGAAATTCTTCACCAATAAACTATTTTCTACCTTTCATTATGCTGTTTTATTTTCATTTAAGCAACTTTAAAGTTACACAGTATATTTTTACCAAATTTACAACATTCTGGCTTTTACCAATAATGTAATTCAAATTCAGGTGTCGCTTAATTGTTATATTTTTGTTAGAGCACTGGGTGTTATCTTTCTTGAGCATATAATCGTATTCCATTTAAGGCTCTCATCACTGCCACTGCATTACGTTCAACTTTGTGGTCTTGGTCTACAGAGAAGGAAAATCTGCAAGAAAATTATAAACATTATTTATCCTTCCACACTGTCTGATATTGTGACGAAATTAAAATATTTACGCTATACATAAATTTAAATCTTTCATGTTTTTTCAGGTAAAATTAATATTAGGTGCAGTTCATACATTTTGCACAACTTCAAAAGGGGAAAAGATAATCGAAAACAAAATTCATTCATGGAATACAACAAAGAAAATCATTTTTTCTAAGTAAAAGAACAAAAAGTATACGAGTCATGGTGAGGATGGAAATCTTGAAACATTAATACTGCATAACAGGTTATTTTAGCAAAGGGAAAATTTTTATCAGTTGAAAGGAAAATCATCTCCATTTTCTTGTACAAAACTTGTGCTAGATTAAATATAGTAGTGAAAACATATTTTTAGCTATATGAAAACCATTGCCAATAATGCCACACATATATAATCACTAAAAATTCCCATTATATTGCTGCATTTCATGTTTTATATGCTTGAAATCATTGAAATTTGAAGTACCTGTGAAGGAGCTTTGCAAGTACTAATTTCTCTTCATTCATGGCAAAATGTTGCCCAATACAGTTTCTGAAAGGAAAACTTTGGTTTTATACACTGATTCATATTAACAGTATAACAAAATATTTTTGTCAAAGAGCTTTTTTTCTTTAAGAATTCCCAACCTTGGGCCTGCAGAGAATGGAAGAAAAGCAAATGAATCCATTTTGGCTAGATTTTCTTTGGAGAACCGTTCTGGTTTGTATTCCATGTGGTCTTGTCCCCAGACAGCGGGGTTGTGATGGAGGCACCAGATGTTGGCCACTAGGCTTGTTCCTGCTGGAATCGTGTGTCCTTCTATGGTAATGGGTGCTGTGTTGGTTCTGGCAATAAAGGGAACAGGGCAGTGCAGCCGCATCCCCTCCTTGATACACTGTGTCAGGAAGGGTAGCTTTCCCAAATCCTCCCTTCAAACAAAATTTATGAAAAGTCAGTAAAAATGTCATTTAAAGATTTAAACTCGATTGCAATGCCAGATACTCTTACAGTTCATTTTCTACACCGACAAAAAAAAACTAAGCAGAAGTAAAATTAAGGAACTTTGCAATATAAACCACTTATAGATGCATGAACATACCATCCTATTTCTCCATCTTCACTCTCTGATATAACCTGATCTATCTCCTTCTGACATTCTCTTTGATATTCTGGATACTGAGAAAGTGAGTATAGGATCCACGATATTGCACTGGCTGTTGTGTCATGACCTATTTAAGAAGGAAGCAATTCTAGTACTGGTAATTGTAATTCTCAGTCTTGTATTTGGTCTTTGAATGTTATTTTTCCAGCCAATGACAGAACAAGTCAACAACTTTTAGACTGTTTTGTTTACCTTCAAACAAAAAAGTGTCGACCTCATTTCTTATTTCCTCGTCTGAGAGTCCTACACCCTTCTCATCTTTTGCCGTAAGAAGGATGTCCAGAAAGTCTAGATATCGTTTAGAAGTTAGATCTACTGTTTCCTAAAACACATTAGACTTTGAAGATCATGCAGATCATATTATCTGAATAAAACACAGTTAAGATTTCAGCACATATAATAATTACAAAAGAATGTTTAATATAATGTGGACTGCTGATACCAGCTCTTTTCGCCTCTTTTCCATGACTCCTGTTGCCACATCGTGGACATAATTGCAGTTTTTAAGGAATTTTTTCCCCTCTTCTGTGTTGTAGTATATAAAGTCTGGGTACAACCAAGGTGTCCTACATAGTTTTAAAGGTAAGCTTTAATTAGTAAGTTTTTCTTTCATTGATTAAAGAACTCTCATTTCTATATTTTCAGAAATTCTACCTGTTTCTGTAGAACCACATTTCCGCTATTTCATTGACTGCTTTCACATATGGATGGACTTCACCGCTTTAAAAATGAAATAAACTAGTTGCTTTTGAGTACATACAAAATATACTCTTTAATTGTATATGTGATACAAATATAGCTGAACCTCAGTATCTTGAACACAGATATCTCTAATACCACGGATATTATAAGAACTAACTGGGAATTCCTTTTACCATGATTTTTGAAGCATTGAACCTCAAATATCTCGGAAGTTTTTTTCTTGGTGCCATAGAGTTCGAGATAACACGATTTGACTGTACTAATTAAGGATGAGTACCCACCTTTGAGCCTGGCAGTGTGTCTGGTAAGAGAAGGCACACCTGAGAATGATGTCAAGTGTGCATAAACACACCTGACTGAATACTTCAAAACTTTTCTCTTCCTTGGCAAACCTCTCAATGTTTCCCTGCAAATATTGATAATTTTAGAATCTTTCTGTATAGTTTGCATGAATTTCTGTTCACACATTTCTATCCATCCCTTTGTATGTAATGCCTTCTATGTCAATTTTTCATTGTTAATATCAGATTATGAAGCCAATTTCACCAAACCTGGCTCAAGCATCCTTGGATAAAAAGAATTCAATTATTTCAAATAGAGGGCCAAGGTTAAAGTTTATGTGACAGACAATGATATTTAATGCAGGGGACAAAAATATGGTGCATGTAACGAGAGAGAGAGGGGGGATATTCTTATGGGACAAGAAATGTAAATATCAATCATGCACATTATTCTCATTACATGATTATAGATTTGAAATGAAATGTTTCTTATAAGTGACAAAACAATTCCCTACCTCCAAAAGGCCTGCACATTCTCTGTACACATTGATATAGGGTTTGAGGATGTCGAAGTGGAATGCTGGTGTAAGCAGGCGTCGAGATCTTGCCCACCTTTTACCCCCAGCAATCAGAAGTCCCTCCCCCAGCCACGGAAGGGCGTGGCGATACGCTCCACCAAAACCAGCAGGTTTGGGATCTATTTGTAAAGCAGTAATTATGTGTATAGATGTAAAATTGACAAAGGACATTTTGATACAAAGTTTTTTTTCAGAAAAGAAAGATATCTACGCGCAAGTACGCGGTAAATCTACCCACCCACCCCACCCACAAGCACAGAAACGCGCTATGCATACTTTTCATCTTTGGATAGCTTTACATACATTTTGTTGTATATATTCTCTTGTGAAAAAAAATCTGGATCAGTTTTTTTTTTTGGGGGGGGGGATATTAAAGTTTCTGGACCCGTCTTAGCCTAGCAGAATTATTCTCCATATAGAAGGAATATTGGGGTATCGATTTTTCAGAAATATCATGTTCAATTTTCATCGATGTTTTTCAGTATATGTGTTATGATAACTATTAGAAAATAATATCTTACATTTTGCATCATAAATGCTTTCTTTTTTTCCCATACAAGTTGCATTTTAATTGCCAGTAAAAGCGAAAAAAGAAGTCATTACCGTAACAAAATTCAAACTTCAATAAAATCTTCATTAAAAAGCTCGGAGATAAATTTTTTAATGTCCAAAACGTGTTTTACTTGCTTAAATTTGCTTAATGGTCGTTCATGCCTGTAGTTGAACCGGTGCATGACTATGGATTAAATTCAGGTAAATGTTCATCACATTCATCATAAGACCTTTCATATAGTGCATATTATTTTCATTTTCAATATTAATGTAAACATAATGTTTCAGCATGCGAGAAGCATATTCCCCCTTTCAAATGTTTTTCTTTAAACTGCTGTTAAAAGAAACAAGAGGCCCATGGGCTTATAGGTCACCTGAGCATCATGCAACAACTTTCAAATGATTGAATTTGGTTCATGTTTTAAGCTAGATGCTATGACATTCACAATTTTGAAAGAAGCACCATTGCTAATCCTAACTATACACTTAGCAATTGTTTAGTTTGTTTACTTAATACCCATAAGCAGGGTAGGGGAACAAAAATGCATGTCAACTAATCAGTAATATTCAGCAATAATCAGGAGTGTCCTTACCACACATGAACCCCTGACCCTAAGTCTACACATTGCACAATTTTTTTGAAAAGGCACACTTGCTTATCAAAAATGTTCAATTAATACCAAGGAGCAGATTTCAAACAATTCATTTTCAGTATATAGAAGTAGAGCCCCCCCTTTTTTTGGTATCTCTGACCCAGGGGCCTTGAAATTCACAATTCTGGAAGAAGAGCCCTTGCACATCATAACTATATAAATAGTTCATCTGCTTATTACCCAGGAGTAGAAAAAAAGATTTTCATAGATGTAATGTATTATCACCATATAATCATGATAGAGCCACACCCTAACACTATAATCCCTGACCATGGGGCCATAAAATTCACAATTTTGGTAGAAGCATTCTTACTCATCATAACTATGTCCTTAATTAATTTATTTAATACCTAGGAGTAGAGAAGAAGCTTTTCAAAGAAATAATGCATTTTCACTATATAATCAATAGAGCCCCGCCCTAACACCAGAACCCCTGATCCTGGGGCCATGAATTTCACAATTTTGGTAGAGGACTCAATGCTGATTACAATCATACCAACAGTTTGACTGCTTGATGTCCAGGAGTAAAGAAGAAGATTTTTAAAGATTGCACTAATTTAGTGGTTTTTGCCCCACCCCCAGGCCCCAGGGGGACAGGGACCATAAAATTCACAATTTTTGTTCCCCTTCACCCATAGATGTTATATGCCAAATTTGGTTGAAATTGGTTCAGTGGTTTCAGAGAAGAAGCTGAAAATGTTCAAATGTTAACGCATGACTCACGACGGACGACGACGACGGACGAAAACGGATAGCAATAGGTCACCTGAGTTTACACAGGTGACCTAAAAAGCTAAATATTGGGATTGGACACAATAATATTACAATGGTTGTATTACTTCTGTATGGTTAAAAAATAAATGAGAATTTTTAATTGTGCATTTGACTGTGCTTAGAGCCCCCCCCCCCCTTTAATTAATATGCCTTTTTAACATATCGGCTCTTAATGAAGTATGAAACTTAAGGGTAAATATAAAAAAAAATTCAGAGTCCATACCTGCTCCTTTGAGTAGGATTTTCACTGTATCTGGATGGTTGAGGGTACACGCCACTCGTAGGGGACCAAAGTACGTAATGAAGAATTTGGGATATTTCCTTGTCCATTGTAAAGCTCGTTGTAATCGTGTATTGCTTCCCCCTTTTCCTAAAAACTAAAAGTTAATAATATGAAGTTTGACAAGCAGTGTACGTTTAGTATTTAATTAATACAGAGATTTATCAAACTATAATTTTAGGTGACCTAGACCAAATTGACTTTAGTTATATATGACACTGGGAATCAAAATATTACAATTTATCGCCATCAGGCATTTGTACATGTATATATAATGTGCATACTTATATTTTGCTTAGTCCATTGATACTTTAAATTATACGTGTATCTAGATATTTATTAATTATTTGTTACTATTTTATTTCTAAATGTACTATATATTATAAGGGGCCCGTAGTTTGGCAATAAATCATTTGTGTTATAATTTGCTTAAAAGCTCATCAGCCCTTAATAAAGAATTTTTAAGGAATGACAGATCGCTACTCAAGGATCGGATCCTTGGGCAGCGATCTTTGTGAGCATATCAAAGGATCTGATTTTAAATAATCAGACTAGGTAGATTTTTTTTAATCAACCCTCCTTCTCCCCCATTTACTTTGAGAACCACTACTAGTATGATTTATGCTGATTATGTTTTTGACCGCCTCTCAGAAATAATGAACGTGATAGTTTGGAGAGAGAGAGAGAGAGAGAGAGAGAGAGAGAGAGAGAGAGTACTAGTGTGTATACTTACCAGTTTCATGTGACCCAGAAGCCAATGTTTACCTTCCGGCTCGGGGAATCCTTTGAATGCACGTCTCAACTGAATCGCCCGTAATATAAGCTTCAGTAATAAAATCCCTACACAAGTCACTAACCCTACCACTGTAAACTCTATCCAGTTTTCCCGGAGAATTCGGAATATACTCAGTACAGCCATGCCGTCTTATCAACTAATGATATAAATTCACATGCATAAACTAAAGTAAACACATTTCATCCCCATTCACGGTCCTTTAAAAGGTCAAAATGTAGAACGATATACAACCTGATACTTATACCTGTCCCCTTTTCTAAAGGAATACAAACGTAATATTTATACCCCCGCTTGAAAAGGGGGAGGGTGTATATATGTTAGTTTTTAATTATTTTTTTTAACATATGTTAGCGTTATGTTAGTTTAAGAGTTGTTGTAAAATGTGCTTTATAAATAAAAATTAATTTCATTACAACATGTATTGGTAACAATCCTCTGTTAAAACTAATGTCCAAATAACTGTATCTCACTTCTATTCTCAATGACCGTGTAGTGTAGGGCAGCGCCGCGAGAATTCCATCGGCATCGAAAGCAAGTTTTTTGATTTGCCTAGATAGCCGAGCGGTCTAGCGCGCTGTTCCTGCACTGCTAGGAGACAGATTCCGAAGGTATATATGAATTTCTTTGTGCTTTCTATATATATATATATATATATATATATATATATATATATATATATATATATATATATATATATATATATATATATATATATATATTATCAATATACATATATAGTTTACAAATAAATATGTGTCTATAACATTATTTATGAAAACTCATGGCATTATGCCGTATTTTGAAGGCTTTGACAAGATATTCACTTAGCTTTGTAATAATTAGATTATCTTCATTAGACATTAACCAGAGAAATTTGTCTCCTTTTGATAATAATATGAAATTTTTGTTTAGTAATGAGATATCACGAAAAAAATTATCTCTCTCCTCAGTATATAATGGGCATTCAGTAAGAAAATGATATTCATCTTCTATATTGTTTTGGTTACACATTAAACATATTCTTTTGTTTCTATCTAAGGGGATATATATATATATATAAAACTAGGGTACTGTGAGCAATGAGCTCAATAAATGATACCCCCCCCTCCCATATGAATAATGGGAGTGTCCATGTTTTGCTGTGGGATCTCATTATTGTGGCAAACTTTTTTCACTGCCAACTTTCTTCCACTTCCAATTTCCCATACAATACTTCATGTTTATCACTTGTAGAGACGACTATAATAAAGGGTTGGGAGATGGATAAAATATACAAATTACAATGTAGTTAAATAATGTGCCTGAGTCATTTTGTTAAAGGTAGATAATTGACCGATGCTGGAAAGTGGAGAAATTCTCCCCCAAAGT